GTACATGTACCCAATTCAAACGTTGCCAGATTCTCCACCCCCAGCGCCACCGACCCCGGCCAAGCTTAGCTGGGAGTTGATCTGGGGGTTCATCGCCGGAGCTTTACGGGGCAGGAATGCAGGAATGCAGGGCGTTCTGATCGATCCGGAGCCTGCAAGGCGGTTCTGGATGGAACGAGCCCCCGGATTGCACTAGTTTGGCGCCTTGAGGCTTTGGTTAGGGAGGATTTAGCTGTTCTCCGCAAGTGCTTCATCTGTGCGTAGCTGCTAGAGATTGTGCTAAGCACGCTGTTCTCTGCTAAAGAAAATCTCTTGGGTTTGGGGGCCCCCTGCTGACTGGAGCTTACGCCACATAAACGTCGAATAGAGTTATTTGGCCCCATCGCAGTAAGCAGCAGGCGTCACAGCGGGGAAGCTGAAAGATCGGCAAGCGTGTAGCCATGTGCTCGTATCGGGTGCAAAAGTGAAGGAGAATTGTGCTTGTTAATGGGGAAGATTTTGTGTGGGCGTTACCGGTGTGCACTTCCCATGTCTCCGGGATCCATGTATGACACTGTGAATTATATGTCTGTAAGAACTGACTGGTCGAAGTACGAACAGAGCCTGTCATAACTGGTGAATTTCTATTCATCGTGTATCCCTTAGTATAGACATTATTCTTGGCTGACTAGCATTTGCTCATTAATAGAGTTTATCGTCCCATCCTTCAAAGCTCCTGTGGTTGACGAGTCCACCAGATGCTGCTTCTTTGCTGTATATTCCGCCTCAATATCCCCCGTCCAGATCCAGCTCATGCGGTCTTTCAAGCTATCTCGCACAAACGGAAGACAATCTTCAAAACTCTTGCCCTTCATTTCAGGTGTCTGCATTTCATACACTTGTCCCGCTTGGCGAGCTGTAGCCTGCGCTTTCTGAGCACGAGGGAGGCGAACATCTTGGTACACCTGCATCCACTGTTCAAGTGTTTGGGTACTTCCTTTTGAAGATGCGGCAAGATAATCGGCTATGGCAAGACCCAGGATATATCCATCTTCGATGGCCTGGCCAGCACCGGCTCCTACGGTTTGTGTTAGTTGAACTCAAGAAATATTGTTTCATTTCGCGTATTCTTACCCTGATGTGGCAGCATCTATAGTCACAAATTAGTAAAAAAAAGCCCGAATAATATCTTATATGTGCCAACCAACTTACTGCGTGCGCGGCATCTCCCATCAATGCTATTTTGCCGTTTCCAAACACCCATTGATCCAACAGTTCGCGGTCATTTAAAATCCACTTGGACGGAAATTCGTTCATGAAAGAAATGGTTTTACGGACTGTAGAGTCGAATCCCTCAAACTCTTTCTGCACCTCGCTTCGGTGGCCCGTGGCTGTCCAGCTCTCCAGAGCGCGCTCGTCATCAGAATATACAAACGCAACAATATTGAGCGTCTTGTTTTTGCTTATAGGAAACGCTAGAAAGTGCTTGTCTGGGCCCAGCCAGCTTATCGAATAAGACTTGAATGGCCACCAAGCCTCGAGATCCTTGATCGGTACTAATCCTCGGTAGCACATACGGCCACTGTATTTAGGATTGTCAGTGCGAAATTGAGAACGGATCTTGGAGTGAATTCCATCACATCCAACCACTAGATCCGCTGTCGCCGTTGTTCCATCAGCGAAATGAAGCTCAACAAAGCTACCTTGGTCCTGAAAATGCGTTAATAACGTAACATAAAATCTGTTCTCTCAACTCCTGGCTCATCTTACCTTCAACTCGACGCACTGCTTATTGTTGTGAAGAGTAGCTGCGTTTCGCTCCTTGACATGGCTGAACAGCAATTCCAGGAACTCAGCTCGATGAACGGGGCTTTGTCGTATCTCCTTTTGGTCATCCACAGGCACAGTAACAATTTCGCTACCGTTGTCATATCGACGGAACGAAATCCAAATCCCGTTACGATGGCCAGAGATGTTATTTAAGTCTTTCCCTATACCAATCTGATGAAGCAGCTTGGCAGCATTGACTCCAATGCCCAAGCCAGCTCCAATCTCCTTATACACTGGCGCTTGCTCATATACATCGATGATGACACTGCCATCCTTGGGACAGTGGTGATGGATTGAAAGGGCTGCACAAAGACCGCCAATGCCACCGCCAACGACTGCGATATGGAACGGGAGCTTCTGACTAGGCATATTTGATAGAATTTGACTTTTCCCACCAGATCAACATCGCAGCCCTTTAGGCTTCTTTGGGCGCGCCAGACTTATATATTGGCGCGCTTTCGCTTCTCCATCGTTCAACACTCGGCCTTCGAGGCTGCTCTTTTTCCGAGACCCTCCGAATGTGGACAAGGCGGATGGGGGCTTAACTCCCCGCGGTGCTGCGCTTCCCCGTCCTTGTATGCGGGTAAGGCGGTATTTCCGGAAATACGCGCGGGCCAGTCGCATCAACTTTGCAGCGTGAGAACCTAGACAGCGTCTGCTGATCCATTTAAGCTGTTTGGATACATCACAATTGCTGCCGACGATCCGATCTGTCGTGGCATCTATTACGGAGTAATATTTTGTATTTTAAGATAATGTTTAGTTTCTGTTATTATCTAATAACCCAACATCCTAATTAGGTAGTTTTCGCTACCGTGAGTAAGTAGTAGTCTAAGTAGAGCGAAGAGGCAGCATGGACATACAAGCCTGGAATCTAGTTGCCCAATCTACGCCGCCTATGTAAATCTTGCTTGACAATTAACAAAAAAGGTCAATACTATTGGTGCAGTATAGTAAAATCCCAATACCTGCATTGATATTCTTGCCCAGGTGATGAACGCGTTGAACAACTCAACGTCCCATTGAAACTGTACTGGGTTAAATATTCCAGACATATTAACACGATCTAAGCATAGCGGAGAGAAAGAGATTTTGACAAAGTTCTAGTTTGACCTACATGAAACACGAAATATGTTATTTTCATTTCATTCATGTTTTATATCGGCTGCACAGCTTATAACATTGATTGTGTACTAATTCATATATAAATTAGACTACTTTACCCTGGATTCGCCGGAATCAATTTCGAGGCACTGCAGTGTACCTCTTCAGCGGCAATATACAACTAACCACTTGTTAACCTTTTCATCTTTGCATTATGCTTCATTTCCCTTTCCCTTTCCATTTTCCTTTCTTTCGTCTATTAAGAAATCTTTTGGCCTAGCAGCAGTCTCGTAGAATCTGGTAGTCCTATAGACCATAGAATTGACTGGGCATGCTTGAGCTAAAATCTCTAGCACGCTAGCCATCTGAGTACATCGGTTCGCAATATCCTTGGTGCTGGCGGCATATCTCAAGAATTGCCTGTTTTCCAAATTTTTTGTGCAACTCAATTGCTTACTCGTCACCAATTGAGTTTTGGCGCCTTTCTTTCTTTTCAAGAAATAGCGTGTTATGTTGTTAAATCATGCATGTACGCAAAATCTGTACGATGCTTAAGATCTCGCTAGTTCAATTGTGGTAGAAGGCATCCTTTGAGGCGCATTTACAAACAAAGTACTACCAATATCTGTTCGACAATGCAATGTCTTCATAATAGTCTCATGGATAGGGACCTAAACTTAAATCTGGAGACGTGAAATCTTGTCCATGGGAGGATTTACAATACTCTGAAATCTGTTCGACCACGATGATAATTTCGGGAAGTGTGAAAATGCAAATTGTGAGATAGCCCAAGCGGTGGGTCGTTTAGTCGCCACCACAAAAAAGAATAAATAAGGATTAGTAAGAGCTTTGCTCATTGTAATAACATGTTTCTGTCTAAATGGTCCTAGAGATTTGAATTGACTCACCATCCCGGAGGGCAGGATTTTGTGTTATGTCTCCTGGTTATGTATCAAAGTCTAGAGGCAAGTCGGGGTCGGGATCGGAGTCGGAGTCGGAATGGATACCCACTGGCTACTTATTAAAGTAGCTCTTATCCACTTGTGTAATGGCAACCAGAAGCCTAGACAGCAAAGTCGAATTTCGTTCAAGGAGAGCTGGACGCAAAATGGTATATAAACTTGCATTTCCCAACACATAGAGAGACTGTGTCAACTGTTTGTACAATAAAATAAAACGAAGTCGTCACTTGTCCTTATCCTTAGCCAATAACGATGGCGCAAGTCTCGGAAACCATCCTTACACTGAAAAAGAGCGTCATTCGACGTTATCGTGCATCAGATGCCGACGCAATTGTTCGCGGCGCAAATACACATCTCGTCTCCCAATACATGTCAGATGCGTTTCCAAGCCCATACACACTTGAAAGCGCTGAAAGGTGGATCAAAATCGCCAGCGAAGAAGGAGCCCTTGAGTTTGCAATTTGCACTCTTGACAGTAACACAGTTATTGGCAGTTGCGGGTTTCAACATCTGAAGGGCGTGGAATCAAGAACAAAAATTCTTGGATACTGGTTATCGCCAGATTATTGGGGTCAAGGCATCATGACGGAAGCCATCGCCGGATTAAGTCAATGGGTATTCGAGCAGGTTCCTACACTACTAAGACTGCACGCCAGCGTTATCGAAGAAAATGGAGGAAGCTTGAAAGTCTTGAAGCGAGCGGGTTATCAGTATGAGGGTACCAAACATATGGCAGTTTACAAAGATGGGAAGATAAGCAATATTGCGATGTTTGGGTTCACCAGGGATCATTACGCCAAGATGGCTGGGAAGGAAAACGGAACTGATAACTAACAGGATAAACAAGACGTCCCACTACGTCATAGAGGATATCTCAAAGGTGTTTTGCTACGGCTAGAATCATTAGAAGAGATATTCGCTACTTATAGTATAATGTAGCATAAAGGCTCAGAATAAGAGCTTAATGGTCATAAAGGCAATCGCTCAATAGTTGATCATTCAGATTGTTTATTATTTACAACTATAAACAAGTAGTCTAGCATTTAGATGATATGGGGCACAAAGAATGCTGTTGGTTGAGAGAATCTCGCTGAACAATAGCCAAAATATATATCCTTTAAAACCTTATTCTAGCCAATTGAACGTATCGATCTCGTTCAAATCATGGGGATGGATTATGTGAGAAGTCGATCGCCGGGATGTCGTGTCTTGAACTATGCCAGCAGCTGTACGAGGTGAAATGTTGAGGACTTGGTCTAAAATTCGCATGATCAGACTGCTCGCCTTGGAACATCGATCTGTACAAGGCACCCGGAGCATTAGCCATTCGGTAAAAGCGTTGAGTAAGCTAAGTTGTTGAATAATAGCCGAGGTAGGAGTTGAAGATATAGATGGGCCGTCATCGTGCGCTAGAAGAAGGGTTTTACATAAAGTGACAGCAGCTGGAACCGCGTAGCCTGTGATGAACCATTCGTAGTCTCCCTCCATACCCACAAGGCAATCATTCCGCGTCCAGAAAGCAACTGTGACTGATATGATATCCAAGCAAATATTAGTTAGATTCTGAGTAGCCTCGGGTTGCATATGGTGCGATAATCTTTCAATAAGGTAGAGATTTTGAAGATGCTCTAGTCGAATGAAGAGTTTGGTGTACAAAACACGAGGAACCGGCGATTTGGACTTTTCGTCGCCATCGGATAATTGAAGCCAGCTAGGAAGTTGACTGTAAGTGTAGACTTGCTTCAGCTTTAATTTGCTGCGTTTGGAGAGACGTTAGTCTTAAGATGTCTAGATCAAGGCGCAAGCGTACTTACATCAAATCAGGCAGAATTTTTCTTTTATTATTTAGGGCAATAATCAGAATTTCTTCTTTCAGGTGCGCAATCAAGCTTCTTGCCCGAAGAGTGGTTGTGGAATAGATTTCACCACCAGTATTCCAGCCATAGTTATCAACTTCTAGCGAAGGAGGGTTTGCAGTTTGAGCAGGCTTCTTGTGCAACAGAATAGTATCGCAGATATCCAGTGGCAAAGCCGTAGAGCAGTATTGTGAGGTGAGAAGAGGAATTTTACCCGAGAATATCGCACCAGATTTATCAAGAACATAGATTGCGGTGAAAAGACGGCGTTCAGACTGCTTTTTCGAATGACGGTCCTGTAGTGAAGAATCAGGCATAGCATGGAGTCGCAAAGAGCATGCTAAAGACACCGTGTCTGAATGAAGCTTCCAAAAATTGGCATCTAAAACGATCTCATTAGCACTGTTGGCTCTATTAAGGCGACAATAAGGAGTTCTCACTATCAGGTCCATCCACAATAGACGAAACGATGCTTGTCCGGTACAAAAGGTAAAGAAGAAATAGATTGCTGGCTTTGGCCAAATGACAGAATCTGATGCAGCTTTTCATGATGTCGAAAAATTTGGCCACTAGGACTCTGGGTCGATATTGACTGATATGCACTCTGTTATGAACAGAGAATATAGCCCAGCTGCTGAAGAGTAGCCCGATTATCTCCCATCTTATCCTTGTGCCGGAGAAGGATGTGTACCAGTCTTCCGATAGATAATCCTGGTCATTGGATAGTGCTTCTGCGGTATTTGAGAATATTGTGAGGGCCAATTCCTTTAAATGCTCTCTTTGCTGATCCTGCCGGAATGCAGAAGGATAAGTACGCCTTAGTTCGGTCAAAATCTGCGTTGTAGAGAACGGAAGCCACCCGTTAAACATATTGATGACGTGAGCTTTACCAAGGATTTGTTCGGCCTCAAGACTCGGCAAGCAAGACAGGGCATCCAAAGCGGTTTGTAAGTCGTCGATGTCTACACCTAGTAAAGAGCTTCTCTCATCGGCTAGTGAGCTGGGGTTTGGCGGCACGCTTTCGTAGTGACTGAGAACATTGCTCTCATTCAGCGGATTTAGGGTTGGCCCATTAGACGTCAGTTCGACAGCTTCAAATATACTGCTTGGTGGTAAAGAATCTAGCGTGGGGTCATTTGGCGGACACATGGAATGAGCATTGCTGGAATTATCGGAGCTCTGTGGATGCTGGGGGCTCGCTGCAAGATATCTGCAGGGCCTCTTCACCCGACTTCGCTGGCAGCGTAGACATGCTGGAAGAGAGCGATCACATGCATACTTTCGTTTCTGGCAAGGCTCACAAGCAGCTAGACGGCCATTTTTAGTTCGTGGAAAAGGGGCGTTGAGTGTTGATTCATGCGGTTGATCCATTATGTGATGGAAGATTGAGTTTCGCGACGGCTCTCAGAAGATGGGCGACATCAGTTTTGTTTTACTGGACAAATACGTGTATGCAGTGGCACGTGATAGCGCTACTTTCAAATATAGCACGTAAAAAAAGAATAGATAACGATGTGAAGACAAGGAAACGAGACGAGGCAACAAGTTCACAATTGAAGTTACCCCAATGACTAGTTATTAACAAAGGGGAAAGAGTTTTAAATAATTACACTTAGTTGAGAGGGCCAAGTAGAGATTCATGATACATACCAAAAGCCTTCATCCGGCCTTCTTTGGCGGGGCTTGATTCGCCACGGCAGTGGCCTGCTGGAACATTGAACGTAGAAAGTTATAAGAAGAAACACAGAACAGCCAAGGAACTCAGCACAAGTTGAAGAGATATGGAGAGCAGGGCTATTAAAACAACAGAAAACTACATTCAAAACACAGCTCACACAGGAGAGTTCACTTCGAGGCGCAGCTCAAAGAGGGGCACGAACGATGGCGGGAAGTCAGCGTAGCCTGACGAACCACTAGGCGCGGAAAGAAGAGCGCAAATGCAAGGGAATTATATGGTGCGAGCAAGGAATCAAGGAAGTTTACGGGAAAACGTCAGGAAGATAAAAGGGCTAGAAACACATACAGCGGTCACTATTGCCAAGAGAAAGAAGAGTGCAATCCATCAGGCCACCGGCTGATTTAGATGCGTGGTCCCAGGATTGATAGTCTAAAACAATCGGACAATTGAATAAAAAAGACGTTAGTCCACCTATCAAATAATATAAAAGTTTCATCATGACCCAAAAGAAGCGAAACGCATCTTTATACGTAAATGCAGTCGATTGCAGTTAACAGCCTAATATACCCCTACGATTCTCACATAATTGGTGCGCATACAACCTCACAACAGAGGTCCACAATTCGGATATAACTCAATTATCCTCGATATTAACCTCTAACTTCTTTACATCGCCAGCTTATACATCTGGCGCATTTAAACTCTAGCCTATAAGGATATATAGGATCTCGCTATGTTAAGTATATATTAGGCAATAGCTGTCTACAGTCTTGTCATACATACGGTATTTAGATTGTGCCGAACATTGGCATATAAAAGCCATTACTTTCCACCGATGTAGAAATGACCGTTGCGTCGACTGTAAACTTTGTCCACTGGCCGGTTTTGACTGCGGTCATAGCATTACTTTGCCATGAAGTACGCTTCTGCGTTTGCACTCCTTCTCGGAGCTGCTATTCCTGTACAGGCCGCATTTACGTGGAAGAATGTCAAATTTGGCGGCGGCGGCGGCTTTATCCCTGGAATTGTCTTTCACCCCAAAACGAAAGGCGTGGCCTATGCCCGAGCAGATATCGGCGGTCTCTACCGTCTGAATTCTGATGATTCCTGGACCGCCGTTACGGATGGCATTGCTACTGATGCCGGCTGGCACAATTGGGGCATCGACGCCATGGCTCTTGATCCCCAGAACGACGAAAAGATATATGCTGCAGTCGGCTTATATACTAACAGCTGGTTTGTACACCGACTCAGGTCTAGACTTGATAACTCTGACACATCTATAGGGATCCCAACAATGGTGCTATCATCAGGTCATCAGACCGTGGTGCAACCTGGTCTTTTAGCAACCTAACTTTTAAAGTCGGAGGCAACATGCCCGGGCGTGGTAATGGAGAGCGCCTAGCTGTTGATCCGGCCAACTCCAATATTATCTATTTCGGGGCTCGGTCCGGAAATGGTCTATGGAAATCTACAGATGGCGGTGTCACCTTTTCAAAGGTAGCATCATTTACAGACACGGGTCCCTTTGTACCAGATCCGAGTGATACTACTGGCTATAATAGCGACAAGCAGGGACTGCTATGGGTAACATTTGACTCAACAAGCGGCACTACTGGTGGTGCAACGTCGCGGATATTTGTTGGTACTGCTGATAACATAACTGCTTCGGTATATGTGAGCACAAATGCCGGCTCTACGTGGAGTGCAGTCCCTGGACAGCCAGGCAGATACTTTCCCCACAAAGCCAAGCTCCAGCCAGCAGAGAAAGCACTGTACTTAACTTATTCCGATGGTACGGGACCATATGACGGCACATCTGGGTCAGTATGGAGATACGATATCACAGCTGCGACTTGGAAAGACATAACTCCCGTCAGCGGATCAGATCTCTACTTTGGCTTTGGCGGTCTCGGTCTTGATCTGCAAAAACCAGGGACACTTGTCGTGGCTTCACTTAATTCTTGGTGGCCAGATGCCCAAATATTCCGTTCCACGGATTCAGGCACGACATGGAGCCCCCTGTGGGCATGGGCTAGTTATCCTGACATGACTTACTATTACAGCATCTCGGTAAGTCAAACTGATGATACATCTTATCATTACCATTGACCACTGACGAATGTCAAGACTCCGCTAGCGCCATGGATCAAAAACGATTTCATCGATGTAACCAGCGAAACACCCCCTGGGTCACTTATCAAGCGCCTTGGCTGGATGATCGAGTCACTTGAGATTGATCCCCTGGATAGCAACCACTGGCTCTACGGTACTGGTATGACGATCTTCGGTGGCCATGACTTGACTAAGTGGGATACCATTCACAATGTGACAATACAGTCGCTCGCAGATGGCATCGAAGAAACTGCTGTTCAAGGCCTGGCCTCGGCACCTGGTGGAAGCGAGCTGTTGGCAGCAGTTGGAGACAATAATGGCTATACCTTTACAAGCGCAAATAGCCTTGGTACTTCTCCCCAGAATATCTGGTCGACTCCAACATGGACGACCTCGACCGGTGTTGACTACGCCGGTAACTCTGTCAAGAATGTTGTCCGAGTCGGCAACACCGCTGGCACTCAACAGGTCGCAACTTCATCGGACGGCGGTGTCACATGGAACATTGACTACGGCGCTGATACAAACATGAACGGAGGCACCGTAGCCTATTCCGCCAACGCCGATACAATCTTGTGGTCGACAGGGTCATCAGGCGTGCAGCGATCTCAATACCAGGGCAGTTTCACGTCTGTCTCCAGCTTGCCAGCAACCGCCGTCATCGCCGCAGACAAGAAGACGAACAGTCTCTTCTATGGTGGATACGCCTCGACCTTTTATGTTAGCAATAACACAGGCAGTAGCTTCACAGCTGGGCCGAAGCTGGGTAGCACAACCTCTATCCGGGACATCATCGCCCACCCAACAACTGCAGGCACTCTATATGTTTCCACTGATGCTGGTATCTTCCGTTCCACTGATTCGGGCACGACCTTCACTCAGGTGTCCACCAGTCTTACAAACACTTACCAGATCGCTCTTGGCCTCGGCTCTGGATCAAACTGGAACCTGTATGCCTTTGGCACCGGCTCAGCTGGCAACCGCCTTTATGCCAGCGCAGATAACGGCGCAACTTGGACGGATATCCAAGGTAGCGCCCAAGGCTTCGGCGCCATTGACGGTGCCAAGTTAGCGGGCAGTGCCACTGTCGCTGGGCAAGTTTATGTCGGTACCAATGGTCGTGGTGTTTTTTATGCTCAGGGCACAATTAGCGGCGGCACCGGTGGAAGCTCTTCCTCCACGAGTAGGACCAGCAGCACCACCGCTGCCAGGAGCAGCACCACACTCAAATCTTCAACTGTGTCGACTAGCCGGACGTCAACTGTGATCTCGTCGACTCGTACCAGCTCATCTTCGAGCCCTACGGGATCAGGAGTTGCACAGCATTACGCTCAGTGCGGCGGCGCTGGCTGGACAGGCCCGACGCAGTGTGTATCACCATATACTTGCCAAGTGCAAAATGATTGTAAGACAACATCTCTACCTCCTCTGCCCCCCATGTTATTCTCCTAGATGAGATTACTAATTTGAGATGCGTAGTTTACTCCCAATGCGTTTAAGCAGAATGAGTTGACATCCTTCTTGTGATACTAGAGACAATTGAACTTGGTGTATTCAGCGTGAATAGTGCAAATATGAATGCCAACAACGAAAATTTGACGTGTGAGTAGGGTAACCGCAATGGTACATATTTTCCCGACAGTGTATGCAATTCCCATTCGTCCTAGTAAACGTCCAAAACGCCTCCATGTGATTCGTTTTCGCGGCTGTGAGGTATCCCAGCAACTTTCCGTTCTGGCAGGTACTCGCTTAGTTGTAAGAGCTACTTATATAGAAGCAACATCGCTCATAACCGTCATTCATTGCTGGGAGAAGGATCAGGTCTGGTGTAACAGATAAGCGAGCAAGTATCTTCTCAAATTCCTACGTGGGCATCAGGAATAGCCAACAATATGTAAGCATGCGTAGCTTATCAAGATATTTCTGTTACTATTTTTGGACACTGGTAGCTAGACGTTTATTGTATGTTTTGTATTAAAATGGATCAGGGTTTCCTGAAGAGCGTACTTTATCATAGCCGCGCACGCCTCTTAGCTTTTGCTCCATTAACCATGAATTGTATATGGCAACGGGAGTGCCATAAGCGTAGCCTTAAACTGATTTTGCAAAGTTTGTGCGATGTTGAATAATCTTGTAGGTGTGATTGGAGACATGTTTTATATGAGGTAGCGTGCAAATTTTGAATGAGCTGACTATGTGTGTGTGTATATGTGCTCTATGTATACTAAGGCTTTGAATATGTACAAAAAGTATATACGTTTGATTTATGTACACTCAAGGTTTACAAATATACCTTGAACATGGAACTTAACATTGGTTGAACTTGCTGTCAGAGTAGAGCCAGCCAGTCATCCGATTGGCAATATCATTGACATATGAGGCTGTGGCGCCCTGGCCATCGTTCAGATTTCCGCTGTTAACTGAGCCCGAGTTATAGCAGCGGGCGGCCTAATTATTACTGGTCAGAATCTGTGTGATATAACTTTGAGTAAATGACTTACTTCATAGATGTTTCCATATTGGTTGATGCACTGAACAAGGCCATCGCCAAGGGAAGTTCCCTGAGTTCCATCGATGACCATTTGAGTAATACTAGACTGCTGAGATGAATCGCTGGCTGAGTTTCCAACAAATGTTGCTCCACCATCAGACTGCATCAAGCCGGGGTTATCTGGCTGAGAAGGATCTGGGTTGGTGCTCGGGCAAACATTGACACAGCCAATGGACTTTGGGAGTGTTAGCTGATATAAACAGAAATTCGTAGGACATGGATGAAAAGAAAAGTACCTCTTGCAAAATTGTTGCCAGAATGAATCTATGATCGACCAAAGAAGCCTGGGCAACTTGCTGGATGGCATTCCAGATTAATCCAGTCTGCTCTCCACTGTTGCCAGGTCCAAAAGCACCGGCGCCATTTGAGCAAGATCCAATTCCCAAGTTGGCACACGACTGCGCCATGGCAGTCTTGGAGTTGTTCCACATCGCATCAAACTCGATCCATTGGGAGACCGGAGGGAAGCTTTGCCAGCCGCCATGATAGCACTCTGTGACCACTTAGCATTCTTGCATTCGAGAGACCAGACATGTTAAAGTATGAAACGGTAGGGGAAAATTACTGTAAGTGTCTGATCCGCCGTTTCCAGTGCCGTCGAAGATATTGGCATTGTTGTTGTTTCCTGCTCCACTGCTGAAAGCTGCCGAGCTGGTAACTTTCTGGCCCGAAGGATTGGAAACAGCTAGCGCCAAGCTAGCGAAACCCAAGGGTACGGCGATTGTGAAATGCATTTTGATGCCTTTGCTTTGACCTGAGACAACTATAAAATGATGATGTGATGTGGGATTGATACTTTAAGTTTGAACGTGGAAATGATCAGCCTTTATATAATTGAGACGCAATGAACATTTCACGATAATGAACGATGAGTGGACCGACCTAAATCAACCAAGGAAAGAGTAAACACGCGATAAATCTGTAACTGTCTTTCTAATACTTTACATACGATACTGCTCAGCGATGGCCGAAATAGGAAACTTGGCTGCAAGATACCTCTTGATAATTGGTCCATCGTGGGATGCATCTATTGGTGGATAATAACAATTTGCCGTGTTTCCCGTATCTGGGGGAGTTGCAACTAATACTAGTACGAGGGAGCCCTAAAGTAGAAGGAGGTTGAAGCATTTCGGCACCTCGGTCCGTTTACGGCGGACTCGTTTTGGTTACGTTTAAGAGTTTTAATATAAATAGTCTGTATATACTTTATCCTCCTGCCGGAGAGGGAAACATTTCGTGTGAAAATGCGTGTGGAACTGGACTATTACTAACAAGGCGCTTGCGGATATCTAGAAGTAGGCAGTCAGCGAAAGGTGAGAAAGAGAGTTACTAAGCCTAAATGTAAACATATTGTTCCATCAATGCGACAGTAAGGGTTCTAGCAAGGCACAGAGGCTATAATATGGCAAGTTTGAGACTAACCGCTGCGAGAGAAGCATATTATAGTAGAGATGACATATTTTGCTCAAATTTGATTTGCGCCGGGAATTTATACAGCAATAATATCGAACGACCAACTTGCAGCAAGTTATGGTTTCATTGTCTGGTCCCTATTTCACCGGCGACGGTGATTTGCAATTGGCATGCATTAACTCTTTGCTTCAATATTAATAATCACCAGTTTACGGGTTTGTACTAAGGTGCGGAGGAGCTGAATCTCGTCTTACACTCTACAATTGACATCAATTGTACTTTAAAAATGGAACGATTATAACCAAAACTTCTTTTAAGTGTAGATAAAATAAACATTATAAGACCTTTCTTGTCGAAATCTACAGCGCTAAACCAGTGGAATCTCATCAGTCAATGGAGATCCGAGACGCATCGGTGCAAACATAACCAATAATGTTGGACCCCGTCGAATGTAATCGATTTGCGACTTTGCTCTTCCTTCATGATTCGGTAGCTTGCTAAATGATTTTAACCACAACTTTGCCAACATGCTTTCTGGCTTCCTAAGAGATGCATTAGTACGTGTATTGCATAAGAGACAGAGTATACTAACCAGATATTCGAGACCGTCCCTTAGTTCATCCAGCTTGAATACCCTCTTATCCAAGACAGGCTGGATTCCATTGGCTTCTATTGCAGCCATCATCTCCTCCATCTGATCTTTAGAGCCGATATGAATACCACGGAAAGTGCAAATATTCACTAGGGCATCTATGATATTTGCTTTTCCAGCTTCCGTGCCGGTTAAAAGTCCAATCACAGTAATAATCCCCTCATGTCTAACTGCCTGTACGCTCTGGGATAAAGTGTCAGTGCCGCCGACATCAATGACATGATCAAAGCCTTCGCCATTGGGTGTAAACTTTCTGGCTGTTTGTCCCCAGTGTTCATCTTCATTATAATTGATGATATGATCGGCACCAAGGCTCTTTAGCAAATCGTATTTCGCGGGGGAGGATGTTGTAGCAACGACTCGAGCACCTCCTGCTTTCGCAAACTAACGTCCTTGTTAGATATCTCTTTGGTCGAATGGTGTTATGAGCAGAGTAAACGAACCTGAATGGCGAAGAGGCTTACGCCACCAGTGCCTTGAGTTAAGACCCATTCGCCCGGCTTCACGGCCTTCAACCCATAAAGTGCATTCCATGCGGTTACACCGCAGTCGGAAAGGGTTGCACCTTCGAGATAGGACAGATTAGATGCCAGGCGCACAAGCCAAGACTCTTCAAACACCCCGTATTGCTGAAATGTGCCATCATAAGAGCCGCCTATACTGCCATTGTGTAATGCAGCCACGGTCATCTGGCCGGATTGATGTCCTGGGTTAAAAATGGCTGTGACTCGATCTCCTTTTGTCCACTTTGTAACTTTCGATCCAACTTCAACAACTTCGCCGGCTCCATCAGATCCGCCTACCACAGGCAAATTCAGATGGAAAGGATAAGCGCCCTATGGATGTGATTAGTAAGAGATGGATATTTGTAAATTGCGGATTGAAACTGCCTTTGGCTTTGGGATAAGATGATCACGATAGTTCAACGAGGCAGCGTGTAGTTTAACCAAAACTCCGTGTTCTCCCACTGTGGGGACTGGTCCATCGGTAAAGTTATACTCATCAAGGTCTCTCCCCTGCCCCATGATAACCCATTTTTTCTGTGTTGTAGGAAGAGCCATTGTGGTTTTGTTGGACAGAAATAGGTAAAAATTGTTGAAAAGGATATAATGAAGATAGCCAATTAATGCAAAAATTGTACTTGTTGTTTTACTTTCTTCTCGACAGCTCAAGTGGTCGAACGTCCACGCTTTTATAGTCACCTATATGGCTACATACCTACAAGTAATGTATATGTAATCATCAAAACGTTTTCCTATGACCCAATTTTACGACATGATGCATATCTTGCAGTATGCTTGATAAGAAGCACAGTGCGACGTAAGGCTAGCTACATCTCGATATCAAATCGACTGTAAAATCCAAGGGGATGTTTTTACTAAACATTATTTGCTAAGCATCCCTAATCAAGTTTGGACGGGGCGCACACGTTGCAATAGACACTCGCATGGATCGACTTATTGCACGATGTAGCTCCTTTTTACCTAATTGTTGTTCCTAGAATTGCGTATGTCAGATCAATTACTGTACATTCTTAAATCCCACGGTTACAGGTGATGCATCATACTATATCATTGGCTGGCCTCAAATTAAGTCGAAATATATATATGCATATCTATGCTCACAACTCTCTTGTATTTGCGAACTGGCAGGAGGTGTATCAGTGTCGAGGTTTTGTTCCACAGGAGATATTGCCCTAAACAGGAAATATTTTCAGCAGCGATTTTGCTGATTAAAGCTAGCCTGGGGCGGTACAGAAGAACACAACACCAAGAATCTCACTTTACAGGGTAGTGGTTGCGTAATTGTAACGATTAGGTGTCATTAACAAGAAATCCATTACAAAGACATTCCAAATCACATGGTGCTCAACGCCCTAGATCAACACAAATTGCGTCGCACTACCTGATACACAGTTTATCTACTGTGCGCTGCAAGACCGGCTGCGCTGCAAGACCGGCTGCGCTGCAAGACCGGCTGCGCTGCCGATCGGAAGGATCGGAATGAAGATCGAGTTTAGCATACCCATGAATGGAGTATACCTAGGAACGCTGCACTTCGCGCAGGAGAGTGAGAGCGAGACGCAAGCGCTTGAGAACGTGGAACGCAATATTGACGGCAACCTGGAAGCGCATTTGAACTATATCTGAAAATCTGTGATTACTTCCTAGAAGTGTACTTTACTATCGTTTAGGCTGACAAAAGAATTACTATATTCGGCAGTTGTAGCTAATAAAATAGCATTGCATTAAGCTTTTGACTACTTGAAACATATAAAAATCTAAGCAACAGCAAAGTAAACATTTTTGCTTGCCGACGAACAATAAACATTGTAAGAATTAGATCAGCGCTAATAAACATTGAAGAAACAGCCCAAAGACAATGCGTCTTTGAGTTACAGCCACTGAACCTAGATACAAATGTCAGAACGTAGAGCTGCTAACGCTGTGATTCCATACAATCTATTGCTTATATAGATAACAGATGTTGTTTTTATGCCATCTATAAAGCCAACAGCCCGCTTGTCGATCCATTACACGTCTTCTTAGTCAAAACGTAACAGCATTAAGACACATTTACATATCTTTTCGAAATGTCGGGCCAAGGCTATCTAGACAACACTGCCTTACACACGCAAGCAAAATGGCGATCAGCCCTCCTCACATACCCGGGGAATCTGAAAGAAGCTTTACGAGAAGCGCAAAAAGATGCCAAGAAAACTATGTATGGCATTGCTCAAGGTATCCCTAGCTCTTTTTTAACCAAGGTTTACGCTTCTGTGAGGCCAGACTTTGTCTGGATTGATGTTGAGCATGGAATGTTCGATCGGATCGTCCTTCATGAGTATGAGCATTCCTATCTATGATAAGAAGTGAAGGCTAACTTGAACAGTGCTATCCATGCCGCTCAACATCATTCAGAAGGCAAAACAATGGCCTTGGTTAGGGTTCCCAAGGAAGACGAGTGGGCTTTAACTACCGCACTTGACGCTGGTGCAGCTGGAATTATCATCCCCCACAGTGAAAGCAAGGAGGAGGTTGAGGAGTTTATGAAGAAAGTTTATTACCGTAAGTGTCTTAACAATGAACATGGGATAATTGAGAGCCACATAAGCTTACCTCATCTGAATTGACAAGCTCCTCTTGGCAATCGTTCGTTTAGTCCGTGGGTTTTTACTCCTGGCATCTCAGATGCTTCACTATATCCAGATGATGCGTTCAACATAAAGAATTCAAACAATCATGTCGCTGTGATCCCCCAAATAGAGAGCGTCAAAGGAATTGCAAATGTCGAACAGATTGCCTCAATACCTGGTGTCTCAGCACTTATGTTTGGGCCTGGAGATTTCATGGCAGATGCAGGACTGCCACTTTCTCTGGGCAAACCTCATCCCACCCTCGTTTCTGCTATGGAGAGCATGTCAATGGCAAGCAAAAAATACAACAAGCCACTCTGGGGGTAAGTAAATTTCTGGAAACAGAAGAACACATAAATATGCTAACTCAGCCTAGTGCCGCCACGAGCCTCGAAATGGTTCCACAAATGATTGAGTCAGGTTATCGTGCGATTATGTTTCTAGATGTATGGTCGATTGCTAATATGGTGAAATCTACAATTGAGAAAGCAAAGGGGTCGGTTGCAACTTAGACAACTCTATAATGAATGCGGATGTCATTTTCACGTAATAAAAGCTGATGTCCCTTTAATTCGCATATATGGATCAAAACATCTTTGCATTTGTGGTACTAAGCCACATGCGCTTTGAAGCCTTTAAGACTCGACATATAAAAAGAGTCCATCAATGCACATCGCTTTTCAGGTTCACCTGAAAGAAGAAGCAGTCAAGTAGGCAAAACGTGAAATTACTCTATTCTATCGCTGCATATTATACATTAATTACCACGGCAGCGCATCGCCGTTCCAGCTGTAAAAGTTCTTCTTTCCAGGGGTAAAGGTTTGGATAACTTTGACCCTAAAACAAAAGTTAACCAAAATTTACTCCTTGGTGGAGATGGCAACACTTACATTCCAGCGACGCTTTCTGGGACTTCAATGTCGTAAAAAGGGTTCATATCGGTCTTCACCAGTCCAGGATGAAGTAAAAGAACAGGCAGACCCTGCCTGGCCAGAACGGTGTCAAGCTCTTTTCCTAGACGGTTCAAGGCAGTCTGGTGTATGTTGTGAGTGAAAGGTCTCGCACAAGGGATATCGAAATAAAGTTTTTACCTTTGAGATGTTGTACATCGCTGTCGCGTCAAATCCCTTTGCGATTCCCTCTTCGTGAGCCGCAGCAACCTCATCGGCCAGCTGCATGGAAGCAAACGAAGAAGAAAGGAGAACCAAAGATTTTCTCTCGTACTTGGATTTCAATAAGAGGGGCGCAAATGCAATAGCGGTGTGATAGGCGCCAAAAACGTTCGTGGTCATGTTATCGATCAATGACTGAGCACCCACGTCAAGTATGTTTCCAAATCCATTCAAAACGCCGGAGTTGTAGATGACAACGTCCAGAGACTCGACCTGCTGTCCGATCTTGGTAGCAGCCTGGTTGATGGAGTTTGAGTCATCGGCATCGAGAGCCAGAATTTGGAGCCTTCCTTTGTTTGAGTCGGAAAGAGCCTGAAGGTCAGTCGCCTTTTCGGGGTTTCTGGCAGTAGCAAAGACAGTGGCTTCAGGGTAATCAGACAGCTACAAGTCGCATTAGACTATAATTGTTGTGTCGGATTCAATGATATGGACATACCGCCTGCTTTACTAAGCCCAAACCAATGCCACGTGAGCCACCAATAACAACAATAGACTTTGCTTGAGACATCTTGGCTAGGTTGATTGGAAATGAGTTGAAAGATTCAGGTTTGTTCTTTGTTTTCGTTCTGAGTTTACTTTAGAGTGTGAGTTGATGCAATGAAGTATCTGTGTTTGTATTTTCAGCGATGATTCAACGCTTTATTTATGAACCACCCTGTATTCTTGTGATTTCTATAGATGACTATTACAAATTGCAGTATCAACTCAATTGGCAATTGATCTAGTAGAACACGAAAGCAATAATTTATAATTCGATGAACAATATTTCGGCTAGCAGCCGCTTAGTCTTCTGAAATAGGAAAAATATAGGCCTATTCCCTAGCTCTTTTCCCACTTAGCTTTTACCTCAATCGCCCAGCAGCTCGCCCAAGCAACCGTCTGTGATTAGAAACTTTTTACTCAGCGGCATTCACGAAGTGGGGTTGCGTGGACAATTGCCAAAGACGGAAAATCATGACAAGGCATGATATGCCATAAGAGGAAATTCTTATTTTGCTATAAGAAGGTAGCGGCGTTCGTATCGTCCTAGCACCTGACGTCATGGCTGCGACGAGAACGAATTTTTGCGCTGTCTAGAGTAGTGAAAGCCGATAACGAGTGCTTTGGTAAAGCTATAATTTTATAAACATTTTGATTTAAGATGCAAAGCAAAGGATTTCATATGTATGCATGCTATATCGTATTCAATACAATTTACACCATTGGTGTTCTATTTCTTTTGTCTTTACGCAGTACCTACAGGTGAAGTACCACTAGCTGTCTCATTCACAGAGAACATGTTCCAAGTATATCGTGTGGCTCGTCCAAGATCAGTAGTGTTCCACTATTAGTATAAATTGATTGTTGTTTATCTACTCTGGTCTCTGAGAGAGCAAACACAGAAGAGTAATGTCTCACATTCCAGAGCACGAAATGTCAGGCCAGCGAAGACAAAGCATTTCCTGGTGAGTTGCCAATCGGGGGTTTTAAAACACCGAATTACAGCTAACCTCATACCATGGATATCTCAATCAGGTAAGATAATAGTCGCATATGGAATCAAATCCCTAATGTCGTAAAGCTCCCGGGCTTTATGCCCTATTGCTACCAGAATTCAGAGACTCGGATTGACAAAGTTCAGCTGTAAGATGTAGGCTTAGGACAGCGCGCATCATAAAAGCCACATACATCAGCAGCAATGCTTACAAACTGCTGATCCAATTAACGACTAAGGATAATACGAATAACGAGCATATGGCTACATGTATCATAATGCCGTTGGAACAGGAACGGAGACCAGGCTGATATGATAACTCAGCCCCTTAACATGCGCTAGCGGTGAAATGCGGCTTTTCCCGCCTAGTGATTACTATTCAGGCTCAGCTTATAGCCTAGCTGCTTAGAGATTAGTTGTCGGCGCGAACATTCGTAGAGAACTATTGGAGCACGACATTATTATTTCGGGAACAAAAAGGCTTATTTGGCTTATCGACCGAGTTGATGTTCCCTTTAGGCAAATGCTTTAACAAACGTTGGAAAGATACTATTTCCACTCTTTTTCTCGTGGCTCCACAGCATGATTGAATGCGAAAATCTTCGCACCTAGTATTGGATGATTAAGTCTAAGACATGCTGGATGACATAGAATAGATGTTTGAATAGACCACGTGGCAAGAATGAAGTGACTATATCTCTTACCGAAGTGAGTATTGGCACTTATGGTACCTAGTTACACTAACAGTAGACGTTACTCGCGGCATATGAACTCTCATATCGCTGCTACCCTAAATTACATACCTATATATAGCTATGTAAAACTGTTCGCCATGAAGCGATGTATAAAACCTTGAATCTTGGCGTTTATATCCCACTGTATATGTAAAAACCAGGTTTTCACCCAGCTCGATCACACCCCTCTAGCAACGTAGACTTTTCTCTCGAAGAATTGGCATGGGGGGTAATTCAAGCTTTCCAACCTTTCCAACCTGTGAATCACGTAGCAAGTAGCGTGAGGCGGCTAGCAGTTATAACCAAGTGTCCTGTGCTTCCTACCAATCGTTAGTGCTCCTAGAGGAATCTTATTTATCGATTGATGACTCTCACTTCACAATGAAGCAAGATGGAAAGTGAGTGGTATGTGTAGTAATAGTGCGATACAAGGTACAAAACATCTAGATCAACGAATAATACTGGGGATCAATGTGTTATGTCAAGTTGAATATGAATTGGATTGGTCTAATTATACTACTTATATTTAAAAGCGCGTTACTGCTTGTCCGCCGCCGCCGCCGCCTCCATTCGCTTGACAGTGTCTTCTGTAGTCCAAATCGCGTTGGCAATGTAACGGAAATTCACCATCGCAGCTTGATAACCGTCGCCCTCATCATTTTGACCAGCGGCAATGGCATCACGTACAATCGCAACCTCGAAACCGGCCTCGACAATGTCGCGCACATGATTCTCTAGACACAGATTCCCCACGGGGCCTGCCATAATCACCTTCTCAACGCGTCGCATACGTAGCTGCCTAATTAGATCATTTGAAAGACACGACAAGCCTTTATGAGGAGACGTGTTTCCTGTCTTTCCATCCATAAGGTATTTCTTCAGTCGCTCAGGGTAGTCGGCACCTGAGCCATGAAAGCCTTCCAAATCGACGGGGTCTTTCCGACCAACAAAGCCTTTGGGAAGCTTTACGAGGTAGTCTGTAATTGTATTGTTTGGAGCATTCCACTGATGATCAGATGGATAATAGTAATGAGGCGAGTGGAGGACATAATAATCGTTCTCTTTCGCGCACTTCAAAAGATCCTCGATATGATCAAAGACGTTAAGCTCTTTCAACTTGTCCGCGATCATATGATAATAGCTTCCAGTTTCGAGGAAAAATTCATTTTGAATGTCTGTAAGAACAAGGGCCGTGCGCTTTTTCTCCAGCTGCATTTCTGGATTGTGGTGCGTAAAAGTGAAAGACATCTTTGCAACGTGGAGCGGATACTTTGCAACAAGGTCGAGTGTCAGTAATGGAGTTGTATAAGATTTGATTGAGATTGAAGACTAGTGCAAATATGTGATTTCAAGAAATATATGTTGAGATACTGTTGTATATGCTGAGAATCTGTATATCGAAAAAGTTGATTGCATGCAAGAGTTGCCATGAGATGGGAGACAGAGCGACATATATATAGATATGTACGTAGTTATAGATAATTATTGAGATAGGTTTATGCATCCCTCAACATCACACATTCGCAAGCTAAGTCTACAGAGTACAAACCACGAGCATGTAGGTAGTACGTAGTAATCGGCAAATAGTCTGCATCTAGACGTACTATTTAGGAGGGTGGAACTTTAGCCATTAATCAGCCATTATATTCGCCATGCTAGACCAGAAAGGGAGATTCGTTGGTCATCAAATTGGCTCTTCTGTGCACGCCACTCTGCTACTGGGCGTCGGACATAGTTTAGTATCAATCTCCGAAAAATAGTGAAACTTCTATTGGAGCGAATTTCTAGACTGTCCTTTTCGTGCCGGCCTTGAATAGCTATCGTTGATCATGCCATTGCCACTCACTTGGAATCAAGAGGTCTGCGATTATATAATTCGTTTGACAAATACAGACAACAATGCTTCTATCCTCAACCATTTTTAATACAATCTTGAAATCTTCAGCGTAGCGCTCCGGAAAGGTAGCAATGAAATTCATAGTAATGTTGATTGATCTCGGTACTTGGAGACAGTTCAAATGAATGACTTAGCATTTTTTTAACTTTAAGCGTGTATTATACCACTGTGAATAATTAGCGTTATCACTATTGACGAGCCGGTTCTTCGCATACTCCGCTACATGCGTACACAGAACACTGTTTAGACCTAGAGTATACGGAAGATGTGAATGGAATTATTCATCATCAATTAGTCACCGGCTTGCGTGATAGTATTTCTTAATGTTCATATATGATGTCATGCTTGATGGAGGACTGGTGAATAGGTATATAAATAGGCTGGTTATTGGACTTTGAAAAGACCAAACATCAACAGGATAACTGCAAATTTCAACATTCACATCACAATTTCTAAATCCAAATCTTGAAATATAATGGAGCGTGCGATTACGGGTCGAAAAATTGCCATTGTCGGGGCCAGTGGCCATCTTGGCAAGCCGACTCTCAAGGCACTACTATCCAAAGGTGTTCATACCATCACCGCAATTCAGCGCAACGAGTCAACAAGCAACTTTCCATCGGAAGTACTTGTGAAGAGAGGATCATTTGAGGATGAGTCTTTCCTTGTGGACGCTCTCCGGGGTCAAGATGCGGTCGTCGTAATTGTCCCGATTCCTAATATGGATCTTGGAGACCTATTTGTACGCGCAGCTGCCAAGGCGGGAGTTCCATATATCCTGCCAACAGAGTTTGGTGTTGATGCTCCAGAAGTTGAGAATGAGCATTCTATGATGGCACCAAAAGTAGCGAGACGCAGACTCGTTGAAGAGCTGGGAGTGAGCAGCTGGATTGCAGTGATAGTCAACTTTTGGCTGGATGTGAACATTCAGATCGGTCTCTGGGGCATCGACGTTAAAGACCGAAAGGTGGAATTGTTTAAGAACGCTGAGGCTAAAGTTTCGACGACGACTGTCTCTCGGTCTGGAGAGGTCATTGCTGCACTTCTCAGCCTGCCAGAGACAGAGTTGGCTCAGTACAAAAACAAATCTTACTATTATTCATCTTTTGAGCTCTCGCAGCGAGATATCTTTGAAGCTGTTAAGCGGGCCACGGGAACACAGGACGCAGACTGGGATATTAGAGAGAGGGATGCTGCACAGGTGATTGCAGAAGCTGAGCCGAAGATACGACAAGGTGATGGCTACGCAGAGTGGTATAGACTATTCGCCAAGTTTTTCCAAGGCTTCAAAGGTGGCAACTACGAAGACAAGGCTATCGATCTGGAGAAATATGGTCTGCCGAAGGAGAACCTTGATGTGGTCGTCAAGCAAGCAATTGCTGAGTTGTAATTAAATTGTTGGCTTTTGATAGAGCGTGGATCTGTTTAGACTTTCATTTTTTCTGAATTCAACACTCTTGTACTATCATAGCCTTAAAAATGTGCTTTTGCGATATGATGCGAAAATTCTTGAACATGAGAAGAGCTGTTACCAATAATACACTAGATCTTCTATGTAATCCTCGCCACTTTTCGCAAGGCGCAAGTAAATTGGTAGGACAATGATTGTATGTGTAGTTGTAGCTTAGGATGCTGAACACCTTAGAAACAGGCATGGATAATAGACTAACAAGCCCGTGCTCCAAGAAGAATGGCCTTACATCATGCTATTCCAATTGTCAATTACCTAATAATCACTCAGTAGTCGGCCATGTCAACTCCAACCGAACACGATACCGTCACCTCTAAGCACACCACAAGCTGTGTTCTGGATGGCGCTTCTTGGCCTCCTCGGCTAAGGCTAACCCGGGTCCGATTGTCGCACCCCGCAGTATCAATGCAAGCCTAAAAGTTCACTGCAACACCCCGCATTTCAACGCTACGGCCAAGCCAACCAGCTGCGTCACCAGGTTCTCTGCAGTGCTGTTGGTGAGTTTCCTTGAAGCTTGGTCTTTTGATGCGTGGCTTCGAGCAGTCTAAAGAAGGGCTTGCGATATCATGAGCGTTGAGCTGAGTGCATATAGTAGCGTTTTACTTTTAGCTACTGCAGTTGTTTTGTGCTCTAAAGTTCATGCTGCTCTTCTTCCCAGGTTACTAACAACTGTCATGCATACACGTACCACCTTCTGATACGACCTCAAATGGGCCTGTTTCTTGCCGATCATCCAGAGTATGGTTGCCTAACTGCCAATTGGAAAAGCAGTAGGGACACGGTCACTGGGATAAATGCTTGGTCACAAGGCCTAATGCCAAGTTGTGATGGCAATTTAAGTTTAGAGGAGGATACTTGATGTCATCTGCCACCATGCAGTATCGCGTTTAGAGCTCGCCAACATCGCTTGCAGTTGGTATAAGAGCTTGTCTTCTATCGTTGTTTTGTAAAAACACTACATCTGTTCATCTTTGAAGTGCCGCCTACCCCTCAGAGATAAGCCGAAGGCTATCGATACGGGTCGTTAAGGTACATCATGGGGCTGTCTTCATACACACGGGCCGTTGGCACAACTGGCGTGCTGTTGGCTCAGGTTGCAAAAGCATCATACAATGTTTTAGATCTCTCAACGCAGCAGTGGACTCTTACAAGCCCAAATTTCCCCAATATCTCCGTTCCTGGGAAGGTCCCATCACACGCCCACGTCGACCTCTACGCGGCGAACATTATTAGTGATCCGTATGTCATGCCAGAGGCCTGAACGCCAGAGTATAGTATAACTGACATGACAATCATCACAGTTTGATCGGATTAAACGATTTCAATCTCCGCTGGGTTGGCTTCAACAACTGGACATATACCAGTGACATCAATGGACTGTACGATCAGCATACTGCGACCAATGTGCTGCACGTACAGGATCTGACCAACCGCAGGCAAAACCCCAAGAACCTGACCAGCTACCTCGTCTTCAACGGGCTTGATACCTACGCTGCCATCGACTTCTGCGGAAACCAGATTGCCAACGCTGACAACCAATTTCGTCAGTGGGTTTTCAATATCTCCGAAGCTCTGGCATCCTGCCAAGACCAGCAACCTCAGCTTGTTGTCAGATTTGGCGCTGCACCCAATATCTCGGCAACCATTGCAGCGGAACCCGGGCAGGAGACATGGCCAAACGGCATTGATGAGGTTTATGAGATTCCCAACAGACAGTTTATTCGGAAGGAGCAGTCTGATTTTGGATGGTGTGTTGACTCTTACCCATGCCGAGTTCTTATATAGCTGACGCCATCTGTAGGGACTGGGGCCCAGCCTTTTCTCCTGCGGGCATTTGGCAGCCTGCATACCTCGTCCAGCTTGATGGACCGGAATCTGTATACGTTAAGAATTCGGCGTTCGATTTATACCGACATGGCCAATTGAACAATTTGCCACCAGATCAGACGGCAGACTGGGTTTTTAATGCGAGCGTGGATGTTGTCGGAAACATCCCTCCTGAAGCATACCTGAGATACTCAATTGTGGACTTGGACACTCAAAAACAGGTGAGCAGTGGGAATCTTAGTAACATTGAGAATGGAGGCGACGTCATCACCGGCATTGCGACTCTCGACGCTTCTGAGTACGAGCTCTGGTGGCCCAATGGCCTCGGTGCGCAGAAGCTCTATAACGTGAGCGTCGAGATCATCTCAAGCCAAAAGAACATTGCCGCTGTCACCAAGCGAATGGGCTTTAGGACTATAGTACTCAACATGGAGCCTATTAGCGACTTACAGCTTTCCCAAGGAATCATTAATGGTAGCAATTGTATGTCACCATCTGCTCTTGTTCCCATGCGCATCATATGTGCCAGCTCAACTAATTTGGAGCGCAGTCCACTTCGAAATCAACGGGCACACCTTTTATGCCAAAGGCAGCAACTTTGTTCCTCCAGACCCTTTCTGGCCGCGTGTCACACCTGAGCACATACAGGAGATCCTCTCTGATGTTGTCGACGCTAATCAGAACATGCTGCGCGTCTGGTCCAGTGGTGCTTACTCACCTGACTTCATGTACGATCTGGCCGATGAGATGGGAATTCTGCTCTGGTGCGAGTTCGAATTCAGTGTTTCTTTGTATCCAGTCGCGCCAGCCTTTCTTGAAAATGTCCGCCAGGAGGCTGTCTATCAAGTGCGCCGCGCCAACCACCATCCGTCTTTGGCACTCTGGGCCGGTGGAAACGAAATGGAGAAGGATGAGCTACCTGCTGTGAAGTCTCAAGCTCCGGATCAGTATGAACGCTACCTGGGCGAGTATCTAGAGCTATTTCTCAACACATTGCTACCTGCCGTCTATGGCAACTCTCGGAGCATCAGCTATATGCCCTGCAGCACCAACAACGGCTACTTGGAACTCAACTTTAGTTTGCCGATTCCCTTTGTTGATCGCCTCTACAATACCACGCCTGGTTACTTGTACGGAGACAGCGATTTTTACGATTATAACGCAGCCGATGCGTGGGACATTAATCATTATGTTGCTGGTCGATTCGCCAATGAGTTTGGTTTCCATTCCATGCCCAGCATCGAGACTTGGCGTGAGGCCATTCCCGACGACCAGCTCACCTTTAATTCAACCATGACCGTCTTGCGAAACCACCACTACCCACCCGGCAGCCTTACTACCACGAATACGGCTGACCCTCTCAGAGGAATGGGCGAGATGACACTGGGCGTTCAGCTGTGGTATCCAAAGCCCATGAAAACCGACCCCGTCGCCAATTTTTCTGCTTGGTGCCATACCACCCAAGTTTTCCAGGCTGATTTTTATCACACCAAGATTCAATATTATCGTGCCGGTACGGGTATGCCTCATCGGCAGCTAGGTTCATTGTATTGGCAGCTTAACGATATCTGGCAAGCGCCGACATGGTCAAGCAGGGAGTACGACGGTCGATGGAAGGTCAACTTTTATGCGACAAAAGACATATTCCAACCTGTTATCATTGCCCCAGTATTCAATGTCACTACAGGCATACTGGATATATATGCGATTTCCGATTTATGGAGTGATGTCTCGGGTGAGGCCAGTTGGGAATGGATCGGCTATGATGGCAAACCAGTTGGGTCAGCCAACTTATCTGTCGAAGCGCAAAAATTCACAGTCGGGCCAGTCAACTCAACAATTTTGGCAAGCATGAATATACCTCAACTGACAGGCAACGGCAGTCTGCCAGCTGCCAATGCCGTCCTGATCGCCAACATTACCGCTACCGGGACACCACCTAATGCTCAGGGCACTAAGACTTATACCCACTCCAATTATTACACAGCTACACCTCTCAGTAAAGCTAAGCTGGTTGATCCAGAGTTATCAATCCGTCAAGAGGAGAATGGCTTCACTGTCACTGCTGAGAAGGGCGTCAGTGCATTCACATGGATCGCACTGGACCCGAGCGATTCGAGCGCCATCGTCACGTTTGAAGATAATGGTTTCTGGCTTCGACAGGGCCAAAGCAAAACGGTTGGATACAGTGTTCGTGGATCAAGCCCTGGCTGGGAGGGCCGTGTTACAGTGAGCAGCATCTGGAACAATACCCTACCTTCGTGATAGAATATGTTCTGCCGGCGCTATTGTTATGTACCTATTAGGTCCTTATGAAATACCTCTCCTGAAGCCAAATATTATCTTGTTACGGATGCAAATGCTGGCTTTTCGAGTATTGTTTTGTGTCGGTAGTAGATCATAGAAACTAGGCTTAAGCAAACGCAACCCCCCCGGGTCAACCTGCTTATTCTGGAATCGAACAAATGTCTACTACGCTACACAACTACTGATCCGATAAAATTAGTATCATTAGAATGCTCTTACAGCTAGGACTGTGTTAGCATCTGAATGTTTATTAAGAGCAGAAACTCTGCCCTTGGTAATTAATATATGACCCCCACAGCTATACTGTTTATCAAGTTCGACCTTTGCTCGTAATGGATGCCTGGAGAAACCCTTTCGAGACAGCCTCATGAAAGCCTCTATGCCATATGCTAGCCATTTTTCGATATGCCGAATCATTTGGGTGCGTTCCGTCAACCAGCTCATCAGCGTTAGGCCCATCTGCGCCATGCATATCTACGAGGACTATCCTCTTGTGCTCTTTGTATTTTTGTAAAGCTAATTCTTGAAACTGTGCATTTGCCTGTACTATTCGCTGCTCAGTCAAGGTGTCCGAGTTCAGGAGGAGTGTAGACAAGATAACCGTAGAGCCTGGGCATGTGCTCCAAATGTACTCCAGTAACCCACTGATGCGATTCCCGATTTGTCCAATGTCCAAATCTTGTAGACAATCGTTGGAGCCAGCGTTGATGGTTACGAGATTGGGCATTTGGAGAGGTATGGATATACGTGCTTTTCGGTCGATCTGATCAATCGTAAATCCCCGCCATCCTTCGTTCCGGTTATTAGGCATCGCGCCGGATTTTCGCGACCCTACCATTTCCACGGTATGACCGTCCGTAGTGAGCATATCGTAGAGGAATTTCCGGTAGCCATTTTTGTCAGAGGAACCAACGCCATATGTAATCGAGCCGCCAAGTGGCATTAGACGCAAGGAGGCAGGCTTTGTGATGCAGGCACTACCTATAAGGACAATGGAAAACAAGATACCATTAGTGAATCGAACCGTATAGCTTGGAGGTTTGGCTTTGCGTTGGTTACAGACATACTTGAAGTAGGGCGATGGGACTCTCCTGACAATGGAGATGACGATTCAGTGCTATAACTTGAATGCACTGTACTCGTATATGTGCGGAGGGGTTGGTGGCTACTTCTAAGTAGCGCGGGACGAGCGCATAATGCAAAACCGGACATTGTACGGGTTCAAAGACGCTGGAGTGATCTGATCTGCCAGATTAGAGAGGCCATGCCGACGTCTCTACGAAGGAAGGAAGAGAGTCGATTTCAGCGAATGCACAGGCCGTCACTAAGAACAAAATGTACAGCAAGGGCGTCCATAACATTGGCGCAGAGCTAGCAGACATTTCAGGCTAGACCCAGAGCTCTGTGCCATTTCCCCGTAGTCGAACCAACAACTGCTAGAGGTACTTACCTTATGTACTAGACAGCGCTGAGGGTTTTTGTAACGGTTCCTACAGTTCTCCAGTGAGCTTTTTTGCCTTCAGAGGTTACGGAAGCGGCAAATCGTATATCACTTCATGTTTGCTAACAAAAAGACGAGTCGTCATTAGAAAGCGGGATGGTGCGTGAAGATGATTACCTAGATATCTGCATAGGTACAGCTTGTCTATATCTGTACCGCACCTTAGAGATTTACACAGGCGCAAGATAAACATGGATGGCAATCATTGCGGGGGGAAAGAGCGCATAACTGTAGTTGATATACAAAGCTTCTGTTTCTTGTGGCATCTGCATATATCACCACATAGCCCTGAGCTTGTTGGAATCATTACATTCGGCTTAGCTAAATTCGAGTAGATGGCAACTTCACGATAGGCACGGAGAGGCTAAGGCTCTGTAGCCACCCTCTGCGCTGGCTTTGGAAATATTCCTAATCAATTGACCCTTAAAAGAATTGGGATCGCTCACCATTGCCGTAAACTGCGCCATGTACACCATCCAAGAAATGTCAAGGAATGTAATGCGGCGTTCGTTAATGCTTTTGCTAGCAACCTCACATTTTTAATGATTTGAGTGCGAGTGAATTATTAATGCACTTTTTCACTACCATTCAGGCGGCATACTCTCGAGGGCCATTCAGCTATCTAGGACGGCAAAGCCCAACCCAACTTTGCTTTCTTGCATTGATCAAAGTCGCACATTCTGCTGAAATAATTACACACGATACTCTCTATCTACTATTCCCGACAATGTCCGCTACAGAGCCCGAGTCTCCCCTTCTGACCTCGCTCGGCCAATTGATTGATGGCCGTCACTCTGTCCGGCGGTTTTTACCTAAAAAGATATCTCCTGAGATATTACAAAAGTCGTTGGCGTTAGCTCAGTTAACCGCATCAAACAACAACCTGCAGCCTTGGCGAGCGATAATATTAACTGGCAAGCCATTAGACAATCTCAAAAGGGCTCTGTCAGACGCATGGCACGAAGGATGGCCTAATATACCCGACACACCTCATGATTATATGCATCACAAAGAGAACTTTGGCGCAGAGCTATATGGGAAGCTTCTGGCCATTGGTCGGGATGATCATGAGAAGAGACAAGCTGCATTGGCAGAGAATTTCCAGTTCTATGGAGCTCAAGCAGCAGCAATCGTGTATATGGACAACAGACTCTCCAAGTATGATTTGATAAGTTCTGGGTTCTGGATGCAAAATTTCACACTTGCCCTTCGAGCACAAGGGGTTGAAGCCTGTTATATGGCTAGTGTTGCGGGATATCCAGAGCTCTTACAGCGTGAATTGGGGCTTCAAGGAAATGTTAATATCTTGAGCGCGATTGCGATAGGTTACGAAGACTTGAGTTACGTGGGTAACAGTCTTAGGATGCGCCGAGATCCGTGGGCAAATAATGTCGAGATTCGATGAGGAAGAAGCGCTGATAGATGTCTTAAGATTTGTTAATTCTTGTCTAAAATCTGAAAGTACTCGGAGTGAATCTTTGATAGAGCCAAATATCAGGATAGCAATTTCTTTTTAAAATTGCACGGCGAGCAGAGCGCGATATCCATAAGTAAATGTATCACACCCGATACGTTTGCGCACCAACAGTAATATGTGTACATGAGAGACGGTGTCCTGTATGAAAATGAAGGTATCACTAGAGCTTGTTGCATTCTACTCTTATCCATTATATTATCACCATTGTACAAGTGTATCGTCCACGATAGCATTGGCTTGTCCGATAATGCAAAGTGATGTTCACATATCGTTGCTTAAATCTTACTTTAGTGGCTGTCCCTCATTTGTTATCCACTAAAAACTTACACACCTACTAGCAGTGCTCTAGCTTAAGGGGGGAATAGGATTCATAATCTCTACTGTAGTGTTGCGCACCTAAAGATGGCATTTCGATGTATTACCTCCTGCGCGAATGCATGCTTCGAAATCCAAAACACAATGCTTACAATTATTCCGAACAATGCGACATCATTTAACAAGAGGCCGTTACATCAAGACAAGCTTATTCCTTCTATCATTAATAATTGGCAGCAATCAAACGCAGCGATTTGGAAACAAATCCAGTTTCTTAGGCTGCTAAAACAACATATATACTCTCGTATAACCTCCAACAGCAACAGACAGAAAGTCAGCGTGTATCTCAATGATTAATAGCGCACAGACAGAAATCACGGCTTACTTCAATATCTAGACAATTTAGCTTCTGCAACAGCATATTTATCCTATTCAATAACGAAAGTACGACATCTACATATAACAACAGCACTATGCCTGTCACTAAGAGTATCGGGTTCCAAACTCGGGACGGCCTTACCTTGAGGGGACAACTCACCTTGATGGACAAGCCAAATGCGCCGCTGCTTATTATGATTTCCCCAGTATGGCTACATCTAGAGCAACTACAAAGATTGGCCTTACTAACATATAAATAGTTTGGCGTAACAAGTGCACACTTGATGAATACGCAATCGAAGGTTTTTAACAATGGTGGATTTGCCACATTAACTTATGATCCGCGAACATTCGGCAAAAGCGACGGACTGCCAAGGCAACACATTAATTTTGAGAAGCAGTCAGAGGACGTTTTCGATGCTGTGACGTACGCAACATCATTAACGCCAGAAGTGGACGCAAATCGTATCGCTCTCCGTAAGTGCCAACGTCTATTTTGCCCCCCCGAAAAAAAAAAGAAAAAAGAAAAAAGAAAACAAAAAGCAATATTTGATGGTCGTGTATAAATACTAACGTACTAAAAGTCGGGGGTGGTCATGGTGGAGGGATTGCCATCCGAGAAACGGCAGTTGATCCAAGAGTTAAGGCTGTCATCTTGCAGGTTCCAGGCCTATCAGGAGCCATGGATGCGCAATTCTATCCTCCTGGATTGCTAGAGCAATCGAGAGCAGCGGTGACCGAGTTTTCAGAAAAATCTACAAGAAAACAGGAATACATCCAGTTATTCCCTTCAACTGCCGAAGAAGCCTCCACAAACCCGCCAAAAGTACTGCTGCCAGGGCCTCCGCTGTTTGAGTTCTACAAATTTCTTCAGACGATTACTGACGGCAAAGATGTTGACTGGGAAAACAAAGTCACCCTGGAAAGCGCCTATTACAATTTTATTAATGAATTCCAAGCATACTTACCAAGAGTTGCGCCTACTCCTCTCTTATACGTAGCTCCTAGTGGGGATCTCCCTGCTGAGCCCCATGAGGAAGCATACGCGACAGCCAACGAACCAAAGGAATTCTATAAGATTGAGCCATTCGATTTCGCAGGTTACATGTATGGAGGTGCAAAGAAAACACAGATGGATATTGAAGTCAAGTTTTTGCAGAAGCATTTGATGCAATAGATGTTAACCCTAATAGGGGAAAAATACTAGGCTAGATGACTTGGATAGCAGAAACTATATTTTATTTATATCATTTTTCACTCTATTAATAATGTAATTTCTATAATGCTTTCTGTTTAAACACATACGCCTTCTAATGTAAGCCACTTTCAAGATATAACTCAATGTCACCGGGTCTTTAATATCACATAACATAACATTCTCCTTATCCATTACTGATGTCATATTAGAATGCCGTTTAGGGCTGATCTAGCAAACTTCCCACGTTCGTTCCAACGCCAGCCTCCAGCGTAGTCATAAGCGACTTGAAGTCGGCGAATAGAGTGTTTGCTCGTTTGTGGTCAATAAGTGATGAGTTATACAGCATTGAAACCTCGTATTGATTGCGTTGCCGTTTAACCATCAATATGACAGCCCAGTGGTAGTCAGTATTGAAATGATCCAGATCTGGCCTGGGGACAATCTTGGTTACATCTGAATCGCTGGCATCTGTGTCGCACACATCCTTGGATTTGTTCAACTCGGATCTCAAGTTGACAAAAGACTGAACCCAAGGCCGCCCATCGGCGCTGGGGACTACACCAGGAGCAAACCCTTGCTCCCACTTGGTTGTGGTGGTAATGTCATCTTGGACTCGCTGTAGTAGCTCCGTTATAGGCTCCTGCTTGCTCTGTACGGATATTCGAAAGGGTACCGCATTGACCAAAGGCCCCATGACACGCCACACGTCGGCAAATGTATTGGAAGATCTTCCGTGGCGGCAGAGGCCAAACGTGATGTCTCGGTGTCCTGATAGTTTTGCCAGGGCCATTGCCCATGCGGCGAGGATGACCTGTGTTGGGTTCCTTGGCGCATCGCCGTTGGGCTGGGGATGGCTAAATGGAACTGGAAGCATGTCTTTTAAAACATTCTCGACACTGCCGCTAACCACGGCTTGGTCAAGTGGATGGATGTTGGCCACATTCGCACCACGCAAATAATTCTCCCAGAATTTCATGACCTCTTCCTGCGGTGCAATGAGATGCTGATGTTTGACAAAGGCGCCAAACCACGGGCGTTCGATATTCTGGGCTTCTGCATATTTGACCGGGGATTGCAGGATTCGCGATATTTCTTTGTCGATGAGAAAGCGCGTGAAAGCATCGCAATGAGTATGATATAAAGAGATTGCGAAAAAGTTGCGGCCTTGGTGGGCTGCATCTCCAAGAACAAGAGCGTATCGCGCGGCTGGCGCGCCCAGCTGAAGCTTCTGAGCAGTTGTGCTTTCAAGGAGAGACTGAAGGCTGGAAGGATAAGACCAATGCGACGCTGTTTCTTTAAGCAAGGCCAGTGCAAATTTATTTTCGCCTATACCGATGATAGTGGTACGAAAGATTGGATTTTTCATTTCCAGCAGGTATGTGAATTGCTTCAAGCCTTGTTTCAGATTGGGCCCTTCAACTTCGTATATGTAGTTAATACATCCTGTGCCGCCATTCTGTTGATGATGTAAAAAGAACTCTATAAGAAACGGTGTTAGCAAGTCTCTTTTTGACTATTGTCCAATCATGACTCTGTGTGAGCATATACTCGAGCGTGCATAATTCGATGGACGTGCCTTGAATAGAGCTCACGGGCGCAACTTGCGTAACGCTATCTTCTGCGACCCCAACTCGTTCCAGGGCTGAAGCAAGTTGGCCAGAGCTTATGCCAACCATACTATCAGCAGCGACGCTTTCTATCGTTTCGATCGACCCGATACGTGTATTTTTCTTCGCAGTCCCACCATCTGTGCTTTGCTGATACGCACTGATAGTGTCCCACACATTTTTAAACGTTGCATCTAATTCATCACAAACAATGGTCAGCATTCTCGAAAAGAAGCGATTCGTCTGTGTTCAGCACTGCCTTACTGTTAAGAAAAGTGGCCAAGTCGATTGTTTCGATAAAAGACGCGATTTCGCCTAGAAACTGAATAGCTTTGATCTGGGCCGAATTAGCAGCTGCGATTTGTCCATTATGGAAATTTTTCAGCTTACTGAATTACCCCCCACTTCAAGTAGCCAGTTAGCATTTCTTTGAACCTTCTGGGCTGTTATAAGATGGCTGGCTACCTCCAGGGTTACGTACAGGTCATGAAATTATCGTTATCCGCAAATTTATCAGTTTCAATGCCGAGGACATCTGCCCATACCTGGCGCAAATTATCGATAGACGTCATCTGGATTCTTTTGCACTGCTGCAAATTGGCGAAGTTCAATATGTCAAGATCTTTGCCGCTAGCAAAACAGGTCAAAACTTGAGATGCAATGGATTCCTAACGTACTCTTGCCTCGCTTTTATATATACAAAAAAAATATAGGGGATGATTTATCGCCACTTAAATAACAGAAAAAGCTTCAGAATGAAGGTTGGAGATTAGGCAAAGTAAGGGGTGAGTAGTCACATGTCAAGCATCATCACGATATTGCGTCTGCGTCAGATATGCTTCCCATGTCATTACCGATCTTACAAGCGATCGTAATATTACAGGTAAATAAGCTGTAGATGCTAGCGTCCGATGTGTTATTCCAGTGAAATAATCTACCCGTGCGTTGGTATGGAACAAGTTCGCCGACGATGCCTCCATATTTCCTGACAAAGATTACGGAAGACATTATACATGAAACAATTTGGTCAGGTAAAGCAAGCATTATGTTACTAGCTATAGGGAGGCGGCAGGTAATTATTTTCGTCCAGATTTAGACAGGCAATTTGGATGAATTGGTCGGTTGAAAACGCTAGCAGGGCTCTCGATCCTTTTCCAGGTACATGGTAGATGTCAGATTTTGTTGCTACAAAGGTGGGTATAGTTAGGATGCCTCCGCAAAAGACCTTGTTGACTTGGACATACAAGGTCTTTATCATGTTACCTACACTGTATATCAGCGGCGAAGGAACACTCCCTGTTTAAAAGATCCTTGTATATTCGCAGCACTGCCACTATACTTATAACACTGCCTAAGCACTAGCAACTCGGCGTTTCAAAGAGTCTGCCTATATGACACAAGCACAAGTTCATACATATGACAATGGCACAAAAGATCTCCTAAATGACCGAAACAACCAGCAAAAGGATGATATCCTCGAAGGTAAATTACCAATCTCATATCAAGAGTTTGGTAACAAATTTCAGAGGTGCTTATCATTAATCTCTTGTTGCTCGATCAGACAAACGCCAAGCCCTCGGCACAACACTGCTATTCCCAATTTAATGATTATCACGTTTCAATTAAAGGTTTCAGGCATTTGTCTTCTAGAACCAGGACTAAGAACAGTAACCCTTGCTGTGCTTACTTAATACTCTGTTGGTATTGATATGCAATCTTACTTTTCAAAGTTAACAGCCATAAAATCCACCCGGCTCTTATAAACTATCTCAAGGACATATTAGTTACCTATATAGAAGAGGCATCGTTAACTGCGCAGGTGTAGTATCATGTTTAAATTAGAAACACTTCCGTGATGCTAAGCGGCCCGTGTAATGACTATATCACTTTCTCTGGTTAGATTGTCAGCATTCCCTCGCGTCTATCTTTGTTCCACCAATGGCCCTGTCTAGAGGCGAAAAACTTTTTTTTTTTTTTTTTTGGCAAATGAAGTTTAGAGCAGTCCTTTCGCAAATTGCTGGGATAGTTGAGTTCTCATCGGCTTCCCCGTTGGGGTATATGGGATAATGTCAATGAATATAATCTAGGCCGTGTATGAGTCAGCTCCGATTCTACAAGATGGTGTAATAGATGAATAATAGTCTCGTGGATGTTTACCTTTTGAGGAACTTTGAACTGTGTTAAATGTTGAGCAATGTGGCTCTTTAATTCCGACGCAACCAGCGGATGTCCCACTCTGTGTGATGCCAAAGACACGGCGAGTCCTTGTGAAGTAAAATATTTGTTAGCGCCAGATAACAGGATTCGACAGTAAATCGATATTTGCTCACCAATCTCATCGCCGTACATGTTGTCAGCAATACGAAAGCACGCGGCCCCTGAAACTAGCTCGTGAGACAAGGCTACGTGCTCAATCTCGGCAGGACCAATTTTCTCTCCGCCTTTATTGATGACCTCTTTCTTTCTTCCAACCAATTTTAGGTAGCCACCGGGCTCAATGGTGCCAAGATCGCCGGTGCGAAAATATCCGTTGGGAAGAAAAGCCTCACTATTGGCCTGAGGGTTTTCCACATATCCTTCCATAACATTTTGGCCGAGCACACAAACCTCCCCTATAATACCAGGGACTTTAGTCAGCGTAGTAATCGAGGCTTCCTCAACGTTAGGCCCTGGTGCCAGTGCAGTAGATGGCAATATCATCACATCTACGGCATCAGGAATGGGAAAATGGCTTCTGCGTCTCATATTGCCATCTTTCAAGCGGTTGCAGAATATTGCAGGAGCGGTCTCAGTCATGCCGTAAACTTCCAGCAATGGCGGGCCCAACGCGACCAAGCGCTCATATAAATCCGGAGAGATCTCGCTACCTCCACATCTGATAAACCTCAGATGTGGAGAGACACGACCACCAGGTCGCGGGAAGTTTAGAAGCAGTCGATGAAGAGTCGGCACGGCATGAAACCATGTGATGCCGTAATCAGAACATCGCTGCCAGAAGGCGCCCGGTAGCGAATTTGGAATAACGGCGCAGCCTCCCGAGAACAGCGTAGCAAGTAAAGAGCCACAGAGACCAATGATATGATAGAGCGGCGTAATTATCATGGTTCTATCACTGGACGAGAGCTGATGGTTGCCAATAATAATGCGCATAGCAGTGAGAAGATTGGTGTGACTAAGTAGGACCAACTTGGGTGCACCTGTGGTCCCGCTTGTCGAGAGCATGACAACTTTGTCTCCAGGTAGCACCTCATCTCTTGAGAAGATTGCCGCTCCGGCGTCAACAGCGACAGGTGTGCAGTGGCTATTGGTGATTTCATGAGGCCTCAGGGCGAGTTCCAGAATCTGTTCACCTCCGTCTTGCAGTGTACTCGTTTTGTAGCACAATGCTACGTGCACTCCCAGCCGCTGTGCTGCTAGGAAAGCTGGATCGGTCATATATGAGCTATCACCTGGGCCCCGAGCTTCGGGTAGCATCACCACCAAATCGAGTTTCATCTGGGAGAAGAGATCCCTGAACTCGCTTTGCGTGTACTGTGGGTTTAGTGGGGCCGCAATACCGCGCTGGCGTATGATTGCCAGAAGTGTAACCGCAAATTCTAATCCGTTCGGCAATACAAGTGCAACTCTGCTGTCTTTTGTAACGCCAATACGAGCAAGATCACGCTGCAGCGAACGTGTCATTATCGCTAACTGGGTATATGAAGTTGCATCTTTGATCGATGTAGATCCAGCAGAGGGGGAGATAATCGCGGGTGAGCCGTTGCTTTCATAGTTGCTTGGAAAGACCAGGGTGTCGGTACAAGATGCCATGGCGTACGGGAGATTGCGGATGAAGTGTTTTCTGTATCTCCAAATTCAACCTGATGCCTTTTTAGGATCTCTAAGCACTTATAAAATACAGTCTGACCCTTTTTATAACTATGTTCGGCATAACACTGGGCGCGTCTCTGACTGCAAATGCTCATTCTGTCTTTGCAGGTGTTAGAATATTAAGGGGGTGCTTAGTGTATCCGCTTTAAAAAAGGGTAAGATTTATATAAGGCTAGTAGATAAATAATTTAAACGAAACATGAAAGCCTTTAAAAACTGTCATTACACGAGGCTTATTTACCTTGGCAGTGGCTATTTATATCTCTTTTGCCGTTGTCTAGATGAGACATTCGCTGTCGACCTTTCGGCCAACTTAAGTACCTAGTTGTCAACAGATACCAATAATGGACTTCCATCTTTAAATTTAGATCATTTCGTAATACTGGTAGTGTAGAATCTTTGGAGCTACAAGCAGATATCTAGTGCAAGTCTCAATCCGATATATAGAGGATGGCAACGCTGCCTGTAAGTGTTTCTTACCTCACACAATTAAGTAGAAATACTTTCGTTGTTCGCTGTTCATTGTCGGTCACTGTTAGTAGTGTGTTAATATCTAACACCGTCAAATGGCATGCGCGATTGAACAAGTTACCATTCGTAAGCTGTGTTTACAGCTAATTTTGCTGGGCACCCACAACAGCGTTTGAGGAAACGGTAAGGTCATTTAAGTTTGTGATGGAAAGAAGAAGAAACAGTGCCCTTGACATACAAATGATAAATTTGTCCATCTGCGTCACCCAACTTCAACTACCGTAAGGAGTATGCCAAAGTCTGACTTTACTCTATCTTCGACATCGATTTTGCTTACCTTATAATTTGTAGTAGACTACTTCTCCGCTTGTGGTTACTATGTTTCGTGGTAGGCATCAATGCTCTTCCCGTACCTGTATCAAGATCGCACAGGCTGATATGTTACATTGGCGTCAAGTAAGTGGCACGATAGTAACGGAGGTGATGATACTAGACAAAGTAACAACAATTGCGAGGTGGTTAGCTTACATCTCCTAAATCCCAATAGTGTCATAAAACTTTCTTTCAATAATACAATTATCTGTGAGTTTTCTTACTTTGATAATTACGACAATCGATAGTCAGTGCGCCTGATAGGCGTTCAAGCTCCTTGTTTGGATTCTATATAAACGTTTGTGAGAAGTGGGTAATGTCTGCGATTCAAGTACCACATCGGTAACGATACGCAACTGAAAACATGTTACAGGTGTTTGTCATGCAAAGGAAACAAGTCACTAATATTTGGTGGCTTATGTTATGCACATGGAAGTTGAGGTAGTACACGTGAGTAATCTAATACGCGTACCTATATCCATTAGTATGTGTTGCTAATTCTTAGTGGCTAGTATGACTCAAGTCACAAACCATTTAATTTCACAATAGAACAATGCTAAGTACAACCAGGCAAAGAGTTATAGAGATAGCTTTTCACAGTACAATGCTTAAAGTGGCAGCTAGCTTTCCCTCTTCATACTGCATATACTTTTGCACAGATTTTTAGACAGCTAAGCTTCAAGAAGTTCTTTTCTTCTTAGGACGTGACTATACGCATCGAGATTTGTGTAGTATAAGCAGCGTCGAATTATCTAATAGCTCAAACGTGTGATACGTAGTGGCCGTACTATTGCTCCTATAATCTTAGAGTGCATACACGTCTTTGCTGTATTTTAGCCTACGGATCATAAGCGCCTTGTATTCACACATTGTTTCTCTTCGAGAAGAGATATTACTAATGTATTCGTAGGTCGAAGTCAGGTATTTGTAAGTGAAGATAAAAGATTTGTAAGTCGAGGCATATACCACCTAATAAGACAGACATGCAGGAGATGGAATTATATACTAGCGCATAATGTTGCCACCATCAGAAAGAGCATGCCATGACTGTAGGATGAGGCCTTAATGCACCTCCCATCTAATGTTTATGCGGGTGACACATCATGATATTGCTTTGTTTTACAACTTCTCCGGCACGATGTCTGTCTACATCGCCTGTGAGTATTTCTCTTATCCATAGGCCCATTATGGTATTGGGTGTGCGGGCGCACTTGCTTGTCATCTCCAACCACAATATTGGTTATAAGCGGGGAATTGGCGGGGATGGGGCGCCTTGTTTGGAATACGATACTCTCGGATTTCTGTATTTGGTTCATGGTCTTCGATAACCGACATACGGCCCGTGTTAGATCGAAAAAAAGTTCCAAGAATTCTTACCAAATTGGTTCAACGCGATAGACAGAAGATAGTTCAGGAAATTCTATCACGTATTCTAAGTACTCAATTGTCTTAGATTGCGTCGAGAGCGACAAGGCAGTAGATACTGAGGCTGGTCATGCGATCGATAGCAGCAAACGGAAATGAAAGGGTGGTGTATAGGCAAAGAAGGATATAAAGAGCAGATGATGCTTTCAATTCCAACATGAATACAACAACAGACTGCATTCCATTACAGCAATCATTCAAAGTCTTGCCAATATGCGCGTTCTCACGTTTATTTCTATCGTTTTCCTTGGAAGTGCTGTCGCAGCTCTGCCACTCGCTACAAGTATGCCTTTACAACTCATTATCTACGCTTATCTTACTAATAAATGTCATATAGCTGAAGCTGATGCAGCCGTCATTAAGCGCCAATGTGGGCCACCCCCGTTGGGCTCGCACTTTAATGAACGCTGTATTCCGGTCGCCAACGCCTAAGGACAGGCATAGTGTGAAGGTGCAGGAGCGAATTCTGTGCTTTAGCTGGAGAAATAATCCAATGAGATGAAACCTAGGATATACCAGCTATGAGCAAATAAACAAAGATTTTAGGCCAGTCTCACGAGGCCCAAAGTAACTGACAAGGGTTCGCTCTTCTTCTGCCGCATTACTGTCACAAGCCATCTGATGCATGTTGAGGCTGCTTTGTCGTAGATGTATTTATACAATGGAGCACTGCCTTCGAGGGTGTATAGCGTATGCACAAAGGGAAAAAGACCTATTAAAGCTGTGGCTATGTCAAGTGGCCCTTCATGGGGTGTAACACATATCCAGAGTAAAGCGATAATGGCGGAACGTACTTGGACCATTGTTGTTCCACGTAACTCGAATCATTGCTCTTTTATAAAGCCTAGTTACTATCCGAGTCTCAAACTGTTGGACATCCTATAGAATTTGATTCAACTCGTATCACCCACCAGCACTAACTTCCATCGTATTAACTGCGTTAATGTAAGTACGACATGGGAAAGATGTCAGCGGGACATCTGGATGAACAGGAGTGAGTCTGCGGAGGTTGTAGCTTCTACTGCTAGTTATTGTTTTCGAAAGAAAAAAAAGTAACGAAGGACACCGGGCAAAGTTTGAAGCTTATGCGAAGGCGCTGTGAGATCATAACCTAATACCAATTTCGAGTAACACTAGAGTTACTTCTTCGCCGCTTACGCGCTATTATTTGTGCAGATATCTATTTATGTATATAGTATCGCATACCAGGACCAAACCTATCAGATGTCCGAGATTTCATTCGATAGCGATTGATGTTCATAGAGAGATTAAAGCCTCAAGTCGCTGGCGGACATCCTAGTTGAGTGGTAAAGTGGTGGTGTTTACACTCTTTTAGTCCAGCACTACAAAATACTAAACGTCTGGCTAGCTTATGGGCAGTAAGCTGGCTGTTAGACTATATGTAAGTAAAGCCTAAAAGCATAGCTTGCATCAGAGATCATTATACATGAATTGATCACGCCAGTTATTGTAGATATGCTAGATCCATTTCATCGAAATGTACAAGCATCGTATTCGCTGAGAAGTAAAGAACTGCGCAAGGCATGAATTGAACGTCGCTAACACAATCCAAAGAAATTGTGCATTTATCTTTACAAAATTCGACTTTTCATGAAAGCACTCCCTAGCGGATGAAACTTATGGATTTTAGCGCTTGACGAACGCTAACCCTCGCCATCTTTCACAAATAGGGAATTATATTAGCTATAAGAATAGCTTTCTTGGGATGTCGCACCAATTGGCTGGCGGCTCGTTCGGAGGTTTTAGACCTGTCTGCAATGAATCAGCGCTAAGCATCTCGATGCGAGCGCTATCTATAACATAGTAGACCATAAGCGCGATAATTTAACATTTAACATCCATTGCATGTCAGAGTACTTAACATTGAGAAAGGCAAGGATACATATATATTCTGCCTAGATCAAATTTTGGGCAAATATATATCGTGTTTGCATACTGAAAAATATTCACCCATACCTCTGCCTTAAACAACTTCAATATCGTGATACCAAGTGCCATGAAAAAGCCAACAGCATGGACTCAGTAGCGCCACTTCCGCCTCCTCCCAACATTATTCAAGGCAGCCTCGCCTCCGGTGAAGGAATCCTGTGTCTTGGTCTCCCCAGAAGCGGTACTTTATCCATTGTCACTGCACTTCGGCACCTGGGCTATACGCATGTCCATCACGGTGCGGAACAGGTTTTCAACTCGACAAACTGGGCAGCCTCTATACGTGCCTCGCGGGCTTGCTTTCCTGTGTGGCATGGGGCTGATAAATATGAAACTCCACCTTTTACTAAAGCCGACTGGGACGCATTTTTGGGACATTACCAAGTTGTCAGCGATTTCGCTGGCTTCTATGGAGAACATATAGCAAGAGTATACCCAAGGGCCAAGGTCATTCTTGTTCAGCGCCCATTTGACTCTTGGTATCCGTCTTTCGACGCGGCGATTCTGCAGGCGCTTTTTCAACCAATTCGTGCCTTTCTTTTCCAGCGAATCATTGCACCTATTACAGGAATAACTGCTTTCGCGGCGCACCCCTACATGGTGTTTGGAAGCTTCAAAGCGCGCAATGTACGGGAAGCAAGAAACAACGCTCGAGCGGTATACGAAGAACACTACGCGACTGTGAGAAAGATTGTCCCGCCGGAAAATTTACTCGAATTTAACATTGAAGATGGCTGGGCTCCTCTGTGCACGTTTCTTGGAAAAGAGGTTCCTGACATTCCATTTCCATACGTAAATGATCGAAACGTTATTTTGGATATGGTCAACACGCTGTGTTTCAGTCTTACTATTAAATCTCTATGGATTGTCATAAAGCGTTTATCACCAGTCTTAGGTGTGATGGTTGGATACTGGCTCGCACGTCAAGACATGACAGCGCTTGGAATGATTCGCCGGATTAAGGACAACTTACCCTATCTTTAGAAGCAATCATGAACATAGAGCTTCTTTCTTTTACCTAATTATTATGAGTTCTCTTTAAACATTCAATGATGATGCGATAGAGATTATGGATTTAAACACATGATCCTAGACGTCTGCGCAATGGCCAGGTAACTCTCATAGACCAAAGAGGAGAGAATTTCCACGAGATGTTTGAATCTACCAAGAATTCTCTTTATTTTGATGTCTGTTTGATGAACATCTTCTCTTAGAAGAAAGACAAGGTGTTATAGCTTTCTATATCCTAATATGGTGATTTCAGACATCTTTGTCTTCAGCGAAATTGATTCAGAAGCCGAAACATAGAGTTACTTTATATCATCCCTGAATTCTTTTCAAGTCATACACAATCTAAGCTCATTGTCGTCTATCTTGACAAAGTTAATCATTTAGTCCGTCAACATGGCAATAAGCATTTCCCCTTGAAAACAAACAAATCTTCTAGCCCCCGTCGGCTGAAAAGAGGAGGGATACCATAGGAGAAGCATAAGCAGGAGTATAGTCAATGAGAGGGTAGTGGGGAAAAGCTTGAAAAGGCCTCTTGTTCCGGAAGAGTATTCTGCTTACTACTTGACCCTTTGCACATATTCACCATAATATTAAGTGGTATAGAAGAAGTCTATTATCATGGTTAGCTGAATAGTATGTAAAGGGCATGTGATGCGTACCTGGATGCAGATCCCCAACGTCTTCTAAGCTTTGTTGCCTGGAGTCAGAGCTCTCCGCCGAAGCCTGTACTTCTTTCTTCTTGCTGTTTAGTTGCCCAAGGTGCCAGCGAAGAACTAAAGAAATTAAGACCACTGCTACTGACATTCCCAGCGAAGCAGCGTTGCCTTTTTTGTCTGGAGAGCTTGTCAGACATTCTGCGCTAGATTGATTGTCAAGATTTGCTGCTTACAGTACGGTGGGTCGTTGTAGAGCTGATTGCCTGCAATTGAAAAGGCTTGTGCGCACATATTAAACAGTGCCAAAGCAGCACCTCTATGATCGCCAAGTTAGATGATCTGCTTTTTTAACGTAGCAGGCGATCGGTTAATTCTTACCGCCTAGTGTACCCGACGAAGTTCATAGCTGCCCAAGATATAACCAAAACAACTTTTGGAAACATGCAAAACGCTATGATGCAAGTCGCAGCAAACCTGGCATCGCGATTTTCGAGCCCTATGAGCATTGCGTAGCCCACAATGCCCCCAATCGTGGATAAGGCAACGGTCAATCCGCGAGCATTTGTTTTGTCTGCAATTCTAGAGAAAAGTAGTATGCCTAAGCAGGCACATCCATAGACAATGACAGTAAATAGTTGAGCCCCGACTGAGCTGTATCCGAAACCCTATCGATTATTAGCTTTATGAGATATCATTTCTGGCTTTAATAGGTCGGTAGGAGCCTCGGTGGGAGCTTACACGGATGAGTGCCGGTAAAAAGCTAGAGAGCGAAGATATCGTGAAAAGCGATGTGCAGTATAAGATTGTGAATAGCCAGAAGTGAATGCTCAAGAGCAGTTCCAATATTTTCTTTGGCTGTATACGGGCTTCAGATGAGTTGTGTGACCGCTTGCTTCTTTTTATCAGCTCATCTTTCTCTGCTTCGGAGAACCCGTAGCGGACTTCTGAGGGTGAAGTTGGAAGAAAGGCCAAAACAACAAAGGAAAATCCAATGGGCAAGATACCCTCAATCAGAAAGATCCACTTCCAAGCTCTCCAACCATTTACTCCGTCCAGATTCTTGCTAATCCCGTATGAGAGCAGCCCGTTGAAGGCACCGGCGAGAGTTGACGTCGAGAAGAAAATGGCAGCTCGAGTCGCGAGCTCGTGGTACTCATACCAAAAAGAAAGGTCTGTAAAAGAATATAAGTTTTAACACTTCTCCTCTAGCTTCGTAAATATTGCCACTCGGTGAGAGACACGTACAAAATGCGCCGCCTTGAACGAAGGCTTCGGCGGCACCAATCAGAAATCGCATGGCTATTAATTGACCACTGGACTTAACCAGTATCGTGAGCACTGTAAGAAGGCCCCACTGCACATAATGAATGGAACAGTTAGCCAAAGATGTTTCTGGGGTTTTGGAAGGGTGTCACATTACCGTTAACATGGCACCACAAAATTGCACCGGCGCGCGGATTTTCTTAATCAGCAATGTTCCTGGCAGTTGAAATAAGACGTAAGAAACTAAGAACATGGAGGAAGCATTAGAATAATCTTTTGCCGAGAGATGCAGTTCGTCCTCTAGGCCAGCAATTTGAGCATTCGCCAAATCAGAGCGATCCTAGTCACGTATAATAAATAAGCCTTTGAATCACACAGTAGTATTGTTGAAAGTTCTCATTTACCATGGAACCAAAGAAATAGACACTTGAAATAAGTGGAAGAACAAACAAGTCAAGCTTGAATTTGAGCTTCTTTCGTTCCTTCTCGTCCATTGTTGAGTCAAGTGGGGACTCGATATGCGAGATCAGTGTCTCATCTTTAGCCTCTGTACGCGAATCCTCTGGTGTGTTACTAGACATAGTCACTGCTGCTTGATTGGTTCAAATGATGATAGATATTGAAGTGAATGAGAAGTTGTTGATTGAATCGTGATGAAAGTGATTTTTCTTGAAATTCATCGTCTTTGCTAGCTACTATTTGTATCATTTACCAGAGACTCGACAACTTCACAGAAGTATACCGTATAGAGATCTATAACCAGGGATAGCATTGAGATCAGCGACGGCAACGTGAAGCGAAATTCGGTATAACAAGCGAAAGCAACCCGATTGGTTTTGCTTGCGCTGCTGGAAGTGGCTTGGTGTCTTCCCCGCCAACCTTATTGCATACCTTCTTTTCAGCCGAGGACATTAGGGGGTTTCGGATCATACTTGACAGCATACGCGGCCCTTGCTCAGCCTCTACTATGCCATATGCATCCCAAGACGAGCATTCGTCCTATAAGCCTTGAGCAATAATAATATTGTTTGTTTTGAGAAGCTATATTCAATCACTAATATGCGCTTTGATGCGTCTCAGAGTATATGCTGGCTGCGTGCTGTCTTTGCTCTGGACGTTGCGTGACTTTTCCTCAGAAGTAATCTCGAATCCAACTTGTTAGGATCTTCATCTTCCATAGAGTACACACTAATCTATAAGCCATTCGCACGGGTCTTCTTCACTCGAACTAAGAATAGTACAATCACATGCAACACGAGTCTGTAGCGAGTTTCGCATGCAATGTTATCACAGCTCGAGAAGTAGGGAAGCGAGTTTCGCTACTCACATATAAATTATGACTGTTGCCTCAAGAGATGTTTCCCCTGATTATCATTACCAAAGCTGGTAAAGCAGGTCGTCATTGGGCTATTTCACACGCAGCAACCATCCTCATCATGGAGAAACTTCTCAGCACTGCCCAAATACCTACAGAGTTTTTAAAACCCACATACATGATAGGAAAAATTCCTCGAAAGGCTCTTATATCGGAACCACGAGTGTCTTACAGCCTTTATATTCCGCCAGAACAATACAAAGATATCTCACGCGGTCAAGCAAACGGCGCGTCACAACCCGCACTGCCCAAGCTCCCCTTACTGGTTTTTATCCATGGCACTCTACGTGATGATTCTTATGTCGAAAGAGGCCTTATCCCTTTTGCAGAATCCACGCCTTGTGCCATTATGGCGCCGCTTTTCCCTGCCGGACTCGATAGTTCTACCGACTTAGACTCATATAAATTACTTCGATCTCCGACGCTGCGATCCGATCTTGCCCTTTTGGATATGCTAAACGAGGTAGCTCATCGCTGGCCTGGAATAGACACAACAAGAGTTTTCTTGATGGGCTATTCAGGTGGTGGACAATTTGTACATCGGTTCCTCTACCTCTACCCCGAAAGGCTATCAGCTGTGAGTATTGGGGCCCCAGGAACCGTGACTATGCTGGACCACTCAGCTTCCTGGCCGGCGGGCATAGCAAATACGGAAGAGCTTTTCGGGATACGCGTCGACAAGGACTTGATCAAACAGGTTAAGATTCAACTCGTTGTAGGCGATGCTGATGTTGAAGTTCATGGAGGAGCTGAGTTTTGGTCGTGGCTACAAAAGTTCAAGGCTGCAGCAGGCACTGAGTTATTGAGCAGCGCGCAGCCAGAGACGGAGTTGAGCATTATCCCAAGTAAGGAAATTGTTCAAAACAGGCTGGGAACTTTGAAGAAATTGCAGGCATTGTGGAGGGAACATGGCATAGATGCGCAGCTTGACATTGCGGAAGGGGTGAAGCATGAGAGCCTCAAATGTCAACCGTATTCTCTAAACTTCTTGCAGTCACTGATTAGGGAACGATAATTATACTAGAGCATGAATCGACGCCTTTGTGTATCTCGATTTTATAGTGGCGCTGCAGGTGTTTTTCCATTTATTAATAGGTATTTCTCGGTTTGTTATCTTTCCCAATTAGTGGCTAAGTAGTGCTACATCCATTGCTCGTCAAAGTAATTATTTGAAGGTGAGGCTAGAAACGCAAAAAGGTCGTCATATGTATTAGGAAGCCAGTCATTCCAATCGGATGATAGAGCGTCGTGTCGGGGAAGCCTAGGCTGGCCTTCTGGGTCGTCTAAATCTGATGTTAACTACAACATAGTTGCGAAGCAAGTTGTGTAAACTAACCAGTAATCGCAGGAGTGGGAGCTGTGCGCTCACGAATTTTCCTTGCAATTCTTAGGCTATCGTCAACTACGGTAGCACTTGGATCTCCGCTATCGTTAGTAAAGTATTCTGACGAAACTTTGTCCTCTGCGTGTCGAGATAGCAGTCGGATCATCCTCGCAGTTCGAAAGGGCTCGTCTAATTCTTCCTTTGACCAGGCCAAAAAGGTCTCGTACACTTCTTTTATCTTATTGCGCGCCAGGGTTCGCTCATGAGGCTGAATGTCACGGCCAACGGCGAGAAATTTGGCCAAATACATCCCAGCGATGCATAAAACACGAAAAAAGTGTTTTGGGTAATGCGCTGTCTCAGCCTCGCGCTTTTGGAGCTCATGTGATACTACCTCATCTGTTGGAGGCTGTGGAAAGCATGAACGTAAAGATGTATAAATGGTTGTAAGCTGTATGGCTGCATGAAAGCCTCTGTACCAAGTTGCCCACTCTTGCGTATTTGTTGTTTTCCCTAGCTCTTTCGGACTTGATGTCAACGAAGGGATGGAACACAGGCGCAGCCTTGCAGCCAAAAAGTCGATATGGTATCGCTGGGAGACACGGGTTTTAATATCGGCTCCTAGCAGATCTAAATCACGTTCGAGAAGGCCCAACAGAGACAGCTGCACCTGGCTCGAAGAGTGGACGCCGTAAAGAGTCGTGAAGACTCTCATAGAATGTTGCTGTAGCTCACATCGCGCCCAAAACTCGTCAGAAAAATGCGACTGTAAATGTGATTTGACGATTGGTAGACGCCCGGCGACGAGGCTCATTGGTGGCGGAAAGCCATGATCAGTTGCTAGCCTAAGCAGTTGACACGTCAATAGGTAGCCCCAAATTCATGCCATATGTGAAGGGAAATTATTGGGCAGTCATACTCGGTACTGATAACGAAACAGGCCAACCAAGATTTCAGGTAAGCCATTGAGTGAGCGGGTCTACTGTCTTCGGCATGAGCAGGTTCGTGGATGCCCATTTGCTGCACAGCTGAGACAGCAAGGCTGCAGTAATTCCAGCTTGGGTCATCGGTTTGACTTGCGACGGGCATTGGCCAGGTGCATAGCAGTAACAATGCTTGGACTGTGTACGGGCAGCGGATTGTTCTAACTACATGCTCGGATAACAATATGTGGAAAGCGGATCGCAGTTGCGAAAATTGTTGATTGTAAAGAGGATGGTTCCGCGCCGATACCAACAAAAGTGCCCAGAGAAGAATTTCGCTTGTTTGATGTATAGATTCTGCGGAACTTTCAATGTCTATAAACGGAACGTGATCAAAATAATGTTGATGAAAGCTGTAATGCGTTAGCGGAATTGTCTTTCTTGCTCTGAACACGTAAACTTGCTGCTCCAAAAGCTCATTGACAGTATGAGAGTCAAGTTTCACACCGCCAAGCTCATATGTCAAAGGGATAGCGGGCATGCGATTGTCGGTAGGCAATGGAGTATGAGGTATTGTATTTTTGACGCTATCTGTTTCCAGGCCTTGGATTGCAATCGTTGAGCCAGCACCTACGGCTGCAGAAGAATTCTTGTATGAATGAACGAGCCTTTCAAGCTCCTCTTTTTCTTCAATCGCCTTTTCTAAGGCACTAAGGCGGTAAAAAGGACGGAGTGGTTAATAATGTGGAATGTCCATATATCAAGGGAATGTGACCACCATTGCTTACCCTCTAACGATTTGTCTCTTGAATCTTGGATCGAAAACACATGCTTTAGCTTGCTTCTCACATCTAGAACAAGGAGCTGGGAATCGTTGTTGTGCATCACATCGTAGCTTAATCAAAGCAATTAGTCAAGAATAATTGTGGCTCCCCGATATTACAGTCGCCACTTGGGGAAGCTTACCTTAACCTGCCGGCACGTTGTGCATGCCATAGAAGTACGCGAAGCTCGCTTGGTGTCTGGCATCGTCGGACTTGTAGATGGATGTTCCGATTCTATCTACGATAAGGTGTAATGAAGAAGTCAGCTGGATCGCCTATATTCGCTGTAGCTAGAAGAAGGCGGCATGTGCTGCCGATTTTCGCTTGTCGGGCCGAGTGTCAAATCCGGTAAGCCCGAGCGGAATTCGCTTCAATGCCATGTCCAACAGAGCAAGGCTACTAGATGTTATTCAGTGAGATGAAATTTTATATAATTCATGTTAAAGAGCCAAGTAGGTATTGAGAGATGTTGGTATTTTTACAGTTATTTTCTCTCCCGCGTCATATGGTGATATCAAAAAAAATTTGAAACATGGTATCCAGCGCCACCGTGAGTGCTGGGCTGGAGCCCCTGTGCCGCATTATTACCCCCATTGGCATGCTAGGGTACGGCTTTGACGAAGCTGAAATTCAAGATGCTCTGGAATCTTCAGTTCAGAGCGGCATACCTACCGCAATTATCTTGGATTCTGGTTCTACTGACTCTGGGCCAGCCAAGTTAGCTCTTGGAACTATGACTTGTCCCCGTGCATCTTACGAAAGAGATTTGCGAAAGCTCATCACCATTATTAAGAAATATCGCTTTCCTGTTCTCATTGGATCAGGAGGAGGGGATGGGAGTGATGCCCACGTCAAAGAACTGGTGAATATCGTCGAAGAAATATTAGCGTCGCCCGATAACAAGTCAGAATTCCTTCACCTACATCTTTAATTGTCTAAACTGCGCGTACTGACTGTTATGGCTTGTCCTAGTTCTACTCAACTAAAAGTTATAGCAATATATAGTGACATTGGTAGCGACCTTGTCTTGGAGCGTCTTGAGGGTGGAGCTATCTCCGGCTGTGGTCCCTGTGTGCCTCTTTTAACGGTTGAAGATGTCAAGGCCTCGAAGACTATTGTTGGCCAAATGGGCCCAGAGCCATATGTACGAGCCATGTCTGCTCATCCGGATTTCGACATCATTATCGGTGGCCGATCTTACGATCCAGCCCCGTATGTTGCTTTCACCGCCTATCATGCATTCAACCAACGCTACAGTCAAGTCCTTGCTCTGGATAGCCACATATTGGGAGGTTTCACTCATATGGGCAAGATAATGGAATGCGGCGGCCTATGTGCTACACCTAAAAGTCCTTCATGCCAGGCGACCATCTACCGAGATGGCACCTTTGATGTGAAACCCCTTATGCCCGGCGCTATTTGTACTCCCACCACCGTCGCGGCACACACTCTATATGAAAAGTCTCGCCCTGATCGACTTTATGGGCCTGGCGGATACATTGACTTGTCCGCTTCCACGTATTCGACGCTATCTGACAATCGCTCAGTGAGAGTCAGTGGAACTACCTTTCACTCGTCCAAGAAAAGCGGCGAATGTTATACAGTGAAATTGGAAAGTGCCAAGATTATTGGATATCGAACGATGTTCATTGGATCCTTCATAGATCCTATCCTCATTTCGCAGCTCGATGCGCTTTTCCATAGAGTGAAGGGCTATGTGACTCAGCAACATTCCCACATCTCAGAAAAATGGGAGCTGGGATTCCATACGTACGGATACGACGAAACGAACAAAACCGCTCATGTGGGCAATGTCTTTCTTGTTGCAGAAGCACTCGCTGAAACACAAGCAACAGCTACCAGTATTGCTTCTACTGCGAGGGTGGCATGCATTCATGGGCCGTACAAAGGTCAGAAAGCAACAAGCGGCAACTTTGGCTTTGGATTGGGAGGCAAAGGAGAAATTGAGACAGGCCAATGCGCGGAATTCTCGATTTATCATTTAATGCAGCTGAAAGAAGGGGAAGAAGACGCTGTTGAAGTTGACCAGCTGAATAAAGCCGCAAAGAAAAGTCTGTTCTCTTTTGAGGCTTTTCTTATTGGGAAAGGAGATCGTCTCCAGCGCTGCTCTTCACGGCTACATAATGACCTTGCTTCAAGCCTTGAAACTTTATTTCCGCAGCTTACCATAAGCCCTGCCTCTCCAACCACAGCCGAGGCCCCATTCACCCTTCCCCAGACAATCGGCGAAGCAGCAAAAGTAATAAGATCCAAAAATGCGGGCCCTTACGAAATTACGTTTGACATCATCTTCAACAATAAAGAGACTTACGACCATGTGAGAAACACCGGTATTCTGACAACCGAATTAATTGCAAAGATATACAATATCTCTGTGGACGACATAGTGTATTGTGGGTTTTTCGACCAAGCTCTGGCATTCAAGGCCACAATTCCACGCATGCGCAGCGGAAAGCTCGTTGCATCGGGCGGCTTCATGGAAGATGACGTTCATGGATCACAGAAGTATTTGCCTCTTATGAGCTTGAAACTAGATACTATCTGATAAGTACTGGAAACCGATGCAGCATAAGGTATTAAGAGCATAAAGTGCAATATATGGTGGTTGTTTCCGTGAAAAATGTTCACCCAATCTTCTAGACTAACATTATATAGAAATAGACTAGTAGAGGCTTACAAGAGCCATGTTAAGCATTAGGTAGTTCACAAAAGGTTAAGAGGCAGGGTTACATACTCCAATTCTCCTTTTTTTTTGGTGTTACAATTGTCTCATTATTTGCCATTCTTGTTCAAGTTTTGTAGAACTACTCTTTGCCTCGGTTTATCATTCAAGTCTCCTTCAGTTGTGTTTCCCAAAGACGCGCCGTCGCCTTTATAGTTGTACCATTCCAACTTAAATATATGACCTAGCCCCTTGTAACAAGATGACCCCTAATGAATCGCTTGTTGTATTACAATAATCGCCACAATAGCGATCATCGGCCAACCCTTACGACCGCATGGCTCAACGGTATCAGATTGCTACATTAAGCACAAACGTGGCACTGGATGTAAGGCACTCCGTTGCCGCTGGTATAGGCGCATCCTCCGGAGCCGTCGAATGAACCACTAACTGGACGGCTACAGGCAGCATCTGCATAAGCTTGGCAACAAACATTACTTCCACTCCAGTTGTCTGCAACATTCAAATACCATGCATTTGGCAAATTCCACGATGAGCAAGGCGTCCAAATGTTCCAATCGTCAAGGTTGATCGAGCCGACATATCCGTTGCCACAGCCGTTTGCATAAGCATTAACTTGGAAGCCACCTGTAGCAGCAACTGAGGTTGCAAATGAGATTGCGATAGCAATAACAGAGGATGACCACATGTTGTGAATAAGCCAGACGATATATCTATAAGTAAAGTTCAAAGTTAGCATGCTGTATTGAGACATCAAGGGTTGATTACTCACTGTCACGAAATAAATCTCGAAGCTGATGACCTTGAAGTGAGGATATGGGAATCAGATAGGTTGATAGCTTGATAGTAAGAAAGCAAATACATGATAGGGAAACCCCAACCATATATAGCAAATGTATAGCTGTATGAAAATCACCTATGTTATAAACGAGGTTATCGCGATAGTATACTATTGCTTTTCTATTTTCTATTACTATTCAGATATATACCTTCTTAATGGAGAAATGGTTTCGACGAAACAAGCATTAAAATCTGATATCAGAATTTAGAACGATAAGGCTGACATCTAATTGCCTGATAATATAATCAGCTGGCCTGATTCGAAAAATATGGCTTAATTTTCCATTTTATGCTCGAAGCATAGTATATCATAGTATTAACCCTAAGAAAATATCTTCTCAAGCGAATTTTGTCTTTCGGCACCGATATGCATCTCCGTATACTATCATAATGAGTATTGTTGACAAACGTCAGGATGAACCTCTGTACTTTTACATAAACACGGTTTTACAATTACAATGCGTCTTGGTGTAACGTTGGTCTTTTTGCATTAGGGGTCAATGCGTTCGGTGAAAGAACTTACCTAGCCTCCAACCACACTTCTTACGCATGGTTTCTTTCCTGCGAAAGTAAATGACTTCGAATATAAAAGGAAACTTCGCCAACACGGCCCAAAAAAATGCATCTAAGCTTATGTCTTGAGAGTCCACAGAAAGGACGTATTCCATTTGCCACGGGAGACGGCTTTTCGATATCCGCCTCTCTGCTGCTTTACTGTCCGGTAGCCATCTTCTCGAAAACGCAACGCTTGACCCGAGGGCCGGTCCAAACTTCGGAATTACTTACTTGTATTATAAGCTTGACAACTCAATATCAGGGCCCGAAAATAATACGGGGTCCAGCTGTGCCGCCTGCATAAGCTTGATACCGGAATGTTTAACATCCACTAAAAGGGCTAGGCTCGTCAACATATACCTATTTCGACTAATTATGGAGCGGCAGCTGCTGGGTATCTGCAGTAATAGTACTTATCTAGCAAAGCAGCATACGGCCTCGTCAGTGAGAGATGTCTCGATAGCCTCACGCTGTGTTAGGAGATACCTTGCCTAGTCATGCGATCTGAGAATGGGTGCGAACACCTGCCACCCAAAAACACAGCTTCCGAGTTTGGCATTTTTATCAGACACTCTGCTAGTATATGAACCCTGCGTTATGCTAGGCCAGGGATACGTGGCGGACAGAAACAGGCGCGCTAATAGCTTTGGTGCAAGCTCAATCCAGACGCTAATTTTCTGCATGAGTTTAACTGTATCGCGAATAACAAACAGTTATCTCCGGATTGCCGGTCAAATATTCGGGGAGAGGAGTATGCTCGCCTATCCACAGACACGACGTGAATGCCATCTTTTTGCCCACAATGTCTGCCAATAACTCGTGGAAGCGAGAGTAATAAGCAGAGAATCGGGAATAGGTCCCGTTTGGGGACAATACAGCAAATTGAGCAAAGGTTTGCTATCAGGTAAGACTGAAATTTCATTTGATCATACTCTAAAGCTTATTAAATTCCCACCAATTAACGTTAAAAAGAAAACCAGTGCCACTGCCAGTATAAGCAAAGAATAAGTCCCGAACTCCTGTCGCATTGCTTACGGAGCAAGTGACCGTAGTCCATGTTTGCCAGCCACCGGTACTGCGAACGGCACATGTACCGATTAGGGCTCCATGCAAGCTGTCCAAATGCAGCTCAATGTTGCCACCGGTGGTTGCAGAAGCGACACGAGCGGAGAAAGACTTGGCACCATTGGCAAAGTTGACGCCTTCGACTTTAATGTAGTCCCCATTGTTAATGTTGCAGACGTCCAGACCTCCCTCGCTGCAAACTTCAGTGGAAACACCAGATGACCCAGCGATCAACTCCGCCTCTTGACGTTGATAGGGATTCAGCGTGTCTATTCTCGGAGCGCCGGTAGTTGTCATGTTCATCTGGGGGATAGAGCCGTCCGCATTATACACAAATCGCTCAACAGCCACGGACCTGTCATAGCCACCACCTCCGGGTAAGGCACCGTTATGATAAAAGAAATACGAATTTCCCTTATAGTCAATAACACCTGGGTGGTTTGTGAAGCTTGAACCCTGAGTCGGCATTACAACGCCTCTGTATGTCCACGGGCCTAGGGGACCTGGACTTGTTGAATAGCGGATGTCCTCGGAGCAGCAGTCCGCAGCAAAAACATTATAGTAAAGGCCGTTTCGCTTGTAGACCCAGGGACCCTCCTCAAACGAGGTTGTGCGATTCTCACTCCCTGAACGAGCTCCAAAGCCAGCGACAGTAAGCTGGATCATTGCGGGACTGCCGCTATATGAAATCATATCTTGATTCAGCTTTACATACCATAGATCTGGGTTGGCCCAGTAAAGGTAAGCCTGACCATCATCGTCGATAAGGACTGTAGGGTCAATTTCGTTGTTTTCTACCAGGGGATGACCAAGCGCGTCGACATAAGGACCAGTAATTGTGTCGCTTACGCCAACACCGATAGCCATAGCTCCTGTAGCGCCGTGGACCATTGGGGCATAGTAGTAGAACTTATTATTTCGGCTGACAACTTGGCCGGCCCAGGCATTAGCACTAGCCCAACTAAAGGTTTTGAGGCTCATAACTGTGCCGTGGTCCAGCCAGTTCGCCATATCAGCAGTCGAAAACAGTCGCCAGTCTGTCATGTTGAAGAACGTCGAGCTTGGCAGGTCATGATCGGTGAAGCAGTAGAGGCGATTGTTATATACAATTGGTGCTGGGTCTGCAGTGTATATAGTCTGTACTATGGGATTATCGGCTCTAGCTGTGCCAGTGTCGTCCAGAGACACCAGTAAGAAGAGCACAGACAAAGACGCTTTGAGGGTCCACATGTTGGCTCAAACGCAATGATTTCAAGCCAGGATGCTATGATTTTTGGACCTATATTTGAAATAAGAGAATTTCAGAACCCATCCATAATGAGTTATAGATATTCCGATTACCAACAGGCGCCATGAGGTCTCCTTATATAGATGGCATTGCTTTAGCTAAGGACTTTTAATTGAAGTAGACGCTGCTCGGCATGCTCCTCCCAACGCCAGATCTTTGCCGATGATCTGCGGGGAGATTAAGATCAATTTTACCTCAGAAAACAGGAAGATAGAGCAAGCTTTCAGGCTAATTGATTTAGGCTGTTCAGGACGCCTCCTCAGTATCATGCATCATATTAACAGCGTACTGTTACTGGAGCGGCAAACGTTAGCAGCCGTCATATAGGGAACGCTAAAAAACAATAACACTAGAGATCCTAGTTCAGGTATATTACTACAAAGAATTAATGTGGGCCATTATATTTCCCGGTTGTAGTACATGTACGACTCTGAAGAGGAATCTTCTGCCCTTAAATCTGATCTCTGCGCACCACGTTGTATTTTACATTGTGCATTGACACCGAGTAAAAGTATCTCATCCCAGGTAGTAAATATAATATTTTGAGAGAAACTTGGTCTATAGGACGATATAGAGCAATATGTATTGTGCCGAAAGCGCATGTGAAAGAGAAAGTTGTACTAATAATATAATTATAGGGTATTAACAAGGTATTACTAGATAATTGCAGCGTACATATGTTGGGCGGTGTAATAAAGGTATGCGTATGGGTTACTGATGCTGTTGCTAGCATAGCTATTGAGTGCCAGATGACATCCGTAAGCTTAGAAACACAACTACATCGATTATACAATAAGAATACATTATTCCACTCTATTCCACTCCATTGGAAAGGATTAGGCGGACATGCTGATCTGATACTGATCCGACACGGCCTCTCCAAACAACATGATTATCTTGCACAATAGGACACATGGGGTGCTGAAATTGCCTTGCATTCATGAAAGATTGAAAGATTTGGTTACTAGGTATATTATTGGCTGCAGGAGTAGACTTTTGTATCTATTATAGCAAGGTACAATCATCTCCTGACCTATCTGGCTTCACCTGGCAGTAAGACACCATTTGAGTTTCAAGCTCACATTGGCACGCCGTTCAATATCACTTTCAATAGCATTGATTCTTCAATCTCCTTGGCATGAGCCTTCAGTTCATCCACGTCCCAGTTAACCCAAACGAACCTTCCCTTCAAGAATTCGGCTTCAGGGGACGCAAGCCAAACGTGGAAGCAGCCTGGAAGTGCAGCTAGTAAGGGAGTTAGCTATTGCAATTCAAGAAAAGGATATACGCAAACTATTGGCATGAAGATAGGAAACAGTTGGATGTTGAAAGGTAGTTAGCTTACCGTCGTCTTGGCCTGGAAAGCCGGAAATTTCGTTAAGATCAGTTGTAACAACGCCAGGTTGAACGTTAAAAACGCTAAGATTTGGATGCTCAGCCTGTAGGAAGTCGAACATCTTGATGATTGCAAGTTTGAAGGATGCATATGGCCAATATCCAGCAAGCGGATTGATATGTGCAATGCCTGAGGAGATATTCAAAACTTTGGCTTTGGGCGCCAACAAGGGTACCATTGTCTGGATCGCGTTGAACGAACCAACTATGTTGCCCTCAATACTCTCGCGCATTTCCTTCTCGCCGTAATTCGCGAGAGGGGCTCGTGGCTTGAGGATTCCAGCGTTATTGACAAAGACGTCAATCTTGCCGCCGCCAGCCTTGTGGATAGCGCTGGCGAAGGCAGCCTCCAACGCATCACGCTGGCTAACATCGGCACTTTCAAAAACCACGGTGGTAGTTCCTTTGGGGTTGGCCCTAGAGATTTCTTCAGCAGCTGACTGTAGTATCTCAATTCGGCGCCCGAAAATGGCGATGACTCTAGCACCGGCTTCTGAGAAGGCAATAGCAGTAGCCTTGCCAATACCGCTACCACCCCCCGTAATGAAGACAGTCTTTCCAGCAGCACTGAGCTCAGCTCGGGAGGGCAGGATTGCAGGGTAAGGCTTGGTATGCCAAGTCTTGGTGAATGATTTAAACATCTCGTTGCCTTGATAAGGTCCGTCGTAGCCAGCCATCGTTGCGTTGGTAAATTGGTAGTAAGTCGACAAGATTTATCTACCGTTTGCTGATTGGAATAATTAAGCTGATAGGAATTAATAGAAATGACTAAAGTTCATGAGAGGACTCAGTTGTTTATATCGTTTTGTATTGTCTTTAAAAAGAGAAACTGCTGAATTAAAGGCTGTTAAGTTGCTCTCTCCTTCTCTATATATATCTACTGAAATACTATGTTCAGCGGACATTCTCTGCTCCTAGGCCGTTTTAATAAGCAAAAAGGCTATTCCAATCCTATTTCACGTATAGTTCCTGCCAATAGTACTATTGAGTGGTTCCGCGGAAGACTGTAAAGCTGCCGAAGGCTTTAAAATGAAGATACATTCAAATAGCGGCTTACAAAGCATAGGGGATAATCTCGCGTATTGGTAACACTGTTCAAGATAGATGACGTTAGGAGAGCTTCCGCGGCTTTTTGCTTATTTAGCCATAGTTCTCTGCATATATTTGACGACGCCATTAAATGACTTTGCAAATTTTGAAGAAGTTATTTAAATTACTATCATAGTGTGAATTCTTTCACCTCTATTGATCTAGCCCATTCTTATCCCCCAAGTACTGTCACTGTGGCCATTACTATCCGAACTGTTTTGTGTGGCTAGAAATGACGATGTATAGTCAACGTCGTTTGCCATTATGGCTGCTTCAAGGCATCGTCGTTGAGTATGCTGATGCAGTTCAGCACAAGTAGCCTGAAAAGACTTTAGCATTTCACTCCCTGTCTCCTGAACCATCTTATCAACTGTTTGCAAACCAGCTTCAATGAGTCGGATGTCTGATACCAAGTTATTGTGTTGCGGCTTATGCATGCCATTGGCTGTTAAAATCACCATAGCTGTCATATAAGTGCACCCTGTTGCCCTAAAATGCCGTTGCGAGTCAGCTTCGCTGAAAGCGTTCAATATAATTTGCACGAGCATGAACACCTGGGGATTGTGACTGTCTATATCAAAGATGCAGCCTGGAATATCTTACCAGAAGTTCCAACTGTCCGTCATACCCAATACTCCAAGTAGGACCATCAGATCACGCGCCTCATCTACCACTGCCTCCCACTGTTGTGGCAGGCGGGGTACTATACCTTGCCTACCATACCTGCGTAAACTGGCCACCCACTCGGCATCCCACGCATGGGCTTGGTTTACGATAGTTGTACAGGCTAGAGTAGTGGAGTGCAATGCTCCGATAAAGTGTAGCATACCCGAAGGCACTCTCATTATTGCCGCAGAGGCGCTGAACTCGGGCGGGATAGAAGCTTTCCACTGCTGAAGGGCGCAAGCTACGCTCCGCAGCGCATGGGACCGCTCGTTTGGACTATGTTTTTGAGAGCGCGTGGAATACAAATAGTCATATATACCGCCTTCAATTACGGCTAGCTGGATGCGAGTTACAAAGTAATTCATCTGAACGGTTCCGTCAGCGGTGGTGATGAAACCCGAATGTATGCCGGAGTCGCTAGCATTACTCCAGTCTCCAACCTGATGTTCAATAGCTGTTGGCGAGGGTAATTCAAGGTCGATGTCGTCATCAATTTGAATCGATGGCTGTTTCGAGCGCATGCTAAGGTCTTTGTCGAGAATATACGCCAGCCAGAACACACAAGCGCGCTGTTTCGCTTGAACAGTATCCAAGTGCGCCGAGTAGCTGCGGTCATGTAAGCCGATCGCATGCGCTAGACGCATTACTGTGGCAATCAAGATCAGCGAAGGCTGGAGATCTTGCGAGGCCTGGAGTAGCATCACCATGCCGACCAAGACCTGGACATTGAGCAACTGGATATCGCCCAACATGACTTTCGAGAGTACAGATTCTGCTCTATTAATACACTCAGTCGAAGAGGGAACATTATGACTGTCCACAGGAGTGTACCGTTGAGCGAGAGCTAAAACGACGTTTATGGCAGCCCATGCCACCGGGTCTCGTTGCAGGGGTCCAACATTGTAACAATCGTGAACCAACTGCAAAAGAGCATTGGCATCAAATAGGGGTAAAACTGCGTTGAAATCCTTGAGGTAGATTTGTATGACAGGTAAAACGTGATCCTGAGGGGGAAGAACCATGGATTTGGTAGAATTGTTGCCGTTTGCGTTTGCTATTATCGCTGACAGCTTGGATGTGGTAGTCTCAGTCTCCCGCTCGAATTGAGGTTGAGCTTGAACATCGGCCCCCTCTTCAGCAACTTCTGAATGGTTAGTGAGATGCTGCATCATAGCGTCCAGTTGTCCTATATGAACTTGTATATTGCTGGCACCCCCGATATTTGCACAATTCCGTCGTTTCTTCGGCCTAGCCTTGCGGCTGGGTGCTGTAAAAGTACAATCCATATTGTACGTGATGCAATGTGAGCAGCAAGGCTTCCGCCTGTCGCACTTGATCTTGCGCCGGTAACAGAAGTCACAGGACTGTCGCTGCATTAGCTTATCGCTTCTTTTGTAACAAGGAGGAAATGGCAGCTTGTACCTTTCTAATAGTCGTTGAATCCTCCATTGTCGTCGAAAGAATATTAGATGTGGATATACCTCAATGAGAATGAATATGCCGCTTTCACTCGTTGTGAAACAGATTGTGTCCGCTTCAGAACTACAGCTTGTCGACCAGATCGAGGTCGTTAAAGAGCCTCCGCGGAAGCACATCGCTGACAAATGACTTCTGGTTGACTTTAAAGTTGAGTGGGGTGTATTAACTCCTCTAGCGTTTTGAAGCATCCGCGGAGCCGGTAGAGCATATCAAACCTGGAAATTATTGGGGAGCTAATGCTCTAGCGCTCCGCGGATGCGCTTGGCGCACTCGCTGGTCGCTGACAGAGTTGAAGGGATCGACTTAGAGTGTGTCAGGGCAATTAGACTCTCGCTTCAGCCAGCCTTGCGCTTTCAATGGGTTCCGTATGCTCCTCCGATAATGCAAAGGCTGCGTACATGCTTATTTATCGGATGATAAATAGACTCTTGTGTTAGTCACAACTGCCGGGTTAGAGAACTTTTCTTTTCAGTATATGTTGTTCCCTTCCTGCTGTAAACAGCATGACCGACTGGAATGTCATGCCTTCAGTGTTCTCTTTCAACAGTTTATCAGTCTTCACTAGCTGCCAGCACTATGACCTACGAGCCTACTGTTCTGTTCCCAGAGCCAGAGGTTCAGTCTGCTGAAACAAAACACGAGCATTGGGAGAGGAAACTTAACGCAAACGACATTGACACCGCCGAAGTCTCACCCAACAAGAATAGCGTCGATCCTAAGCTAGAGGCCAATGGCCGACAGATCCATGGTCTTCGCTGGCTGATTGTCTGTGTTGCTCTTTACATCAGCTGTATCCTCTATGGCCTTGATACCACTATCGCCGCAGACGTACAAGGATCCATTATTGAACATTTTGGTCATGTTGAACAACTGACATGGGTTGGGGCAGGATTTCCTCTGGGCTCCGTGTGCGTTATTCTTCCACTCGGAAACCTGTATAGCGCTTTCAACATCAAATGGATCTTCTTCACGACTGTAGTGCTTTTTGAGGTTGGTTCAGCTCTTTGTGGTGCCGCTCCAACGATGAGTGCTTTGATTGTTGGTCGTGTTATCGCCGGCGCCGGAGGTAGTGGCATTTATCTTGGCTCGCTGAATTATTTCTTAGCCATGACAGCGTCTGAGGAACGTGGCTTGTACATGGCACTCATTGGAAGCTGCTGGGGTGTTGGTGCTATCCTAGGTCCTGTTATTGGCGGAGCATTTGCAACATCGTCAGCCACCTGGCGTTGGGCATTCTACATCAATCTTGTTATCTTTGCCATTTCGGCTCCCGCATATATCTTCTGTCTGCCTTCGATCCGCCCTTCCCAAGATGTCAGCATACGGGCACGGATCGCCCGTCTGGACTTTGTCGGTTTTATTCTTGGCGCTGGCGTTTGGGTTGCTTTTCTGTTAGCACTCTCGATGGCAGGTGGCCAATGGGGCTGGAGCGATGGAAAAAGTATTGCGACTTTGGTGGTTTTTGGAATCACTTTGCTTGCATACTGTCTCCAGCAGTACTTTGCCCTCTTCACATCCAAAGCTCACCGTGCATTTCCTGTTCATCTATTACGCGAACGCACACAAGTCCTACTTTATATCGCGACCGCAGCCGGCATCACAACACTGTACGTTGCAATGTACTTTATTCCGATTTACTTCCAGTTTACGAACGGAGACAGTGCCCTCAAGGCAGCTGTTCGTTTGCTTCCCTTTGTTATCGTTGCTATTTCGGTAAATCTTGCCTCTGGATATTTCCTCAGTGCCATCAAGATATACATGTTGATCTACGTCATTGGTGGCATTTTCTTGACGGTTGGCGGTGCACTCCTTACTGTTTACCTGGAGCCACGCACGTCGGCCGGAGCTATATACGGCTTGTGTGTAGTCACAGCCATCGGCAGTGGCCTGGCTATGTTGTCTGGCTATTCCATTGCCACGCTGACCACGAAGCCAGAGAATGCTGGGGCAGCACTCAGCCTACAGAACGTGTCGCAACTAGGAGGCCAGGTCATTGCTCTTGCTGTTGCGGGGCAGATTTACCACTCAACTGCTGTCAGAAGTCTACGATCCGTCCTGTCCGGCCAGGACTTTTCAGAACAAGACATAGAGAGCGCTGTTGCAGGCGCGCAGAGCAAAATACTGGAAAAGGTACATGGCGTTTTGCAACAGGAGGTTATCTTGGCTCTCGTCCACGCAATGCAGCAAGTGTTTGTACTAATTCCGGTGGCAGGAGGGATTATGATGCTTGCAGCACTGTGTATGAAGCGAGAAAAACTTCTTGGGGTCACTACTGTTGCCGCCGCATAGAATGGCGGCAAACGTATACGTGTATAATGATCCACGTCTTTAGTATGCTAGCCTAAGCGTCTCTGTCTAGGGTGCAAGGGCCGTGAGTCTCATTTGTACAACTATAGAGGGTTGAGTAACTGCTGAATGAAGCTATTCAATGTATATACAAGAAATCTGGTTAATCGGTGTTGAATACATACAAAGTTGTATGCGTCTCTGGCCTAATGCTTGGCATAAAGAGGGGAGGTAGCAAACTTATATAACAGTAATCCATTTAGGATAGTCCACTGCCCGCTGCCTATTGCGTAGCCCTTCTCCTACTAGCCCATTAGCCTGTAATTTTCTTGCGGGCTGTAACAGTTTTGCATGGAATAATGATCTCCATCTGATCCCCTTTGCTCCTTTTCCTAGCCGGAAGATGTGCTACGGAGTCCATTAAACCTACTAATACGTTATCCGCATACAAAAGCTCTAGTGTTCATACAATTATAGGATCTCAAAAGTTTATATACTACAGCCAGGAGGCCATAGTAAAAGTTTTTTTGCTAATTATAACTAAACAGCTTTTCATTACTATAGCTATAACTGTATGCTTTCAAATTCGATAAAAGAGAAACACGCTTGTCTATTTACACGTCCACACAAATGTATCGCCTAGCCATGAATTCGTGCAGGTAGATCCGACGCCTGGATACCACTTCTCAATGCTGGCAGCCGTCGTGCCTTGACTAGTAGCAATAGTGGCGCATGAATCACCGGACTTGGCGAGGTAGAACTTCTTGCAATTATTCCCTATTCCCTTCTTGAAGGGCCTTGGCGTGGTGGTGCCGTTGCCCGCGGTTGACATCATATAGGTAGGTGATGTGACTGGCTCAGCTAGAAAGATTGGCAAATTCTACGTCGACTGCCTTCTCTTTTGACTTGCTTCATCTGGTTTTAGATAAGGTATAAGCTAGGAGGGATACCGGATAGACTGTCCCTTAAGTTTTAGTATAGTGTATTTTTCAATAGCTAACCCTTTTATTACTAAGGCTACTATTTTACTTTCCACCGCTATTTCTCCGCTCTTTCCGTTGCATCCGCCGCCAGGCCTCTTTTTAAAATTCCTATCCGTTCGGATTGCTCATCAGCAAGTTTTAATACAGCTAGCGCATGCGTTAACACCCCATAGGGATATTGAACATGGTAAACTCCCCTTTGTCGAGGAGCGACGGCCGCCCCCGACGGGCGTGCTCTTTCTGTACGAGACGTAAAATTCGATGCTCTAAAGAGACACCTAAATGTTCGGCGTGCGAAGTGTACGTGTGTTCCCTTACTTACCCCACGTCCGCGGCCTACAGAGGTTCAAAGGCTCATTCTCCATCAGGCGGAACCGAACCTGTCGCTACAATGATCAGTTGCTTGAATCGACTCAGTCGCCACACTCACAGGCCAGTGGTAGTAGTGGTGTCGTGGTTCTGCCGGCCGAAGTTTATGACGTTTGGCCGCCGACTTTTTTGCCGAGAGCAAGTCTCCAGGCTGCTGCTATCCGATTTATGGACCATGGCCTCTACCTTCGTAGCCAGGCTCAGACTAGCATTCCAACCGTTACCGAATTGGATCCAATTCCTGGCTATCTACGGCCATTGCTAAGCAACATATCAGCTCTGCGTCAGACGGCAATCTCTTACTATCGACTTGCGAGTCGATGGCTGCCCATCATTTCGAGGAGAAAGATATTCAACCAGCTGTTGAACCCTTTGCTACCCCTTCGTGCTGATGCAGTGTTCCTGCTTCTATGCATGAAACTAATCATAACACAGCCTCACTTGGAACCCTTTTCTTGGCCCAGTGAGTATTATGCGGCCGTACGATACCGTATGGAACTCGAACTTGCCGGGCTGGCATCGCTGGAGATTCTCCAGGGCTGTATCCTGCTTGGAGCTTATGAACAGGGAAATGCCATCTATCCAGCCGCGCACACTTCCATCGGAATCTGTCTCAAGCATGCGTCAGCGTTGGGAATGGGCTGGACCTACTCAACGCCGTCGAATATCGATGCTGAAGAGCGGAACAGGGGCTGGTGGGCTATATTTCTGCTTGAGCGGTGAGTAACACTACTGAACATATCCCTGTATTACAGTTATAGTAAACCAAATACCTATTGCGGGTTAAACAGCACCTTAGGCCTCGGTAACCCCCATCAACTATTCATGACGCCAGAGCCGGATCTAGATGCACAGCTGCCATGGCCGGACCAGAACTGGGAAGATCACGCAGTTCCTAACAACTCATCATCTACACTTTCATCGCCGCCGACTGTAGTAGGTCGCTTCGCAAGCATCTTGCAAGCCAGTTTCGTGTTAAGCCGCGTCTTTGGCCACTTATCAGATTCATTCGTCGGGCCCCAAACCCGTCTAGATGATGTAGAACAATTCGAAAGGACGCTGTATGCCTTGCTGCGTTATGCAAGTGCGGCTCCTGGAGCAGATGCTAGGTCCGTATGCTATCAGAAGGCTGTGTGCTGCGCGTGAGTTGAGGTTTACTTTAACCGGATGTGCAAATAGTCTGTTAATAATTCTTTAGTGCTATTATAGCCTTACACACTCCACATCTTCAACGCGAATCCGGATGTCCACTCTACCAGCAAGCATGCAGTGCTTTAGACGATGCCGTCCATAGCGCATCTGATGCAGCGGAGTTATACCTTTCGAAAGTCGCTACTGATTCTGAAGCGGGAGATACTTCTCCATTTATAGTACCTTGGTTCTATATGGCCGGAACAAGAGCAATTTACTCTAGCGCATATAATGACCTCCAAGTAATACAAAATGCTCTGGCAAAGCTTAACTCTAGATGGAAGGCCGCAGGTCTGTAGAAGGTATTCTTCCAAATCAATCAAGGAACCAACTGACAAAGCACTCTGTAGGCATATACATGGAGCTTCTTGCGGCAAGCAAAGCAATGGAGCCAATATAGTTAGGAACCATATCTATGCAGACAGCTTTATATAGGCCTGACAAAAGAACACGTTTCAATAACTTTGACATACGGGACTCAGGCTTGTTCTTACATAGAAAACATGATTCTCTAATATCTCAATCTTTAATTACTATACAAGTATCGAAGTTATGCCTATCTCACTAACCCTACTCGAACATATTATCCCAAAACGCGCCCAATTGCCAGATTTTCCCCAACCGGCTCCAACGAGGCAGTTCTTGGATCGCACTGTGATCCTTTAAGTCACTCTACGTACTCTATTGGTTACATTTTTTGAGATCTATCGCTTTTCCCCCTCCTAGAACACATCGAGACCAGACTTTCTAAAGATCAGCTATTCCGACACACACGTAGTAGTTTTACCTTAGACTATGAAGCACTGATTGTATTTGCTAGAAGGAGCCGCCCACATTGCTGTGGTAGCCGAAAAGGTTTATGTATGCTAAACTGCTTATATTCATGGATAGCCTTATCTAACCTAACCCAAACTGACTAACGAACTTGGCAGGGCTGTTTTCAATGCTCACTATGCCCTTGAGAAGTTTAGTTGAACCTATATGACTTCTTAGATATTTCACCAAATCTTGAGATAACCGAGATCCTATGTTCAGTGGGGTCTTATTAGTGGAGTTCGCAGCAAAGTGACCACAATAATAGGAACTTGAACGGCTGTCAGAACACAATTCATCCGCTCTGAGTTCTTCCGACGGACTCTTCTCTTTGTGAGGTTGCGTCAGGTCCTACAAGCCTCGTCGTCTGGGTTAAACAATAGTAAGAGAGCCCACCGACAAGTATTATAATATTTATAATGGTGTCTCAGATCCTGGTGCGAGGTAATCTCCCCCGCAGTCACATTACGGGGTCGAATGCAGTTAGAAGCTAGAGACATATTTCAGGAGATCATAACGTCTCCTCTATGTCATGCGTAGTAACAACTGGCACATCTTAAATTTGTGCTTGTCTAAAACATTAAGGCCAAAAAATATTTGGTCTTCCAAGAGCTAGACCGAATTTCTACCTCGTATTGCAGATTGGAGAACGCTGCATGGTCTCCATGTCCCTCCGTTGTCAAGTTGAGGATACCATAGATTGTCCATACTGGTTCAAGAGAACTAGTATCTCCATGCTCGAATGACGATTCACTTGTCCGGTGGCGACGTATGCCTTGTTCATCGCGTGAAAAAACATGCAAGACCGCCCTTTGTGTACCATAGACCGTCTCTGAGAGATAGTCGCAGTTAAACGTGCAGCCGCGCGAGGACAGCAGCCGAAGGTTATCACCCTCGATCTTCTCCGTAGTTATAGAGTCTCTTGGGCTCGTCTTTGCTATAAAGACTGAGTTAGTGCGCTCAGCCAAGTGAAAGGTGGCCCCAGCAACTCCATCGACAAGTGATGTACATGATGGACACGGCTGCTCGAAAAGCCGTAGCTCAGCAGTCTCGCCCACTGGCACTGGTGCACGTTTATCTTCTGCCCAGCGCGGAAACATCATGTTATATATCATCAGCGAGTCCTTTCCCGGAGCAAACAGCTCTGACAGTTTGACTTTGCTGCCAATTCTTTACAGACTCGACAACGTAGTCTTCCTTGACGTAACCACCGGTGGAAGCGCCCGCCGCTGAGCAGCCACCTCCCCGGTCAACAGCCGTAGCTCCTCTTCACGCTGCGTGAGCTCATCTCGCGCTCGCCGATACTCGTCCGATGGGTTGGGTAGATGTACATTTTGGTCAAGGAGCTCGTCTCGCCACTTGTTCATATCACGGGGCTGACCAACGACAACCATTTTCGCGCTCCTCTGAGTTTTCCAATGGAAAGACCTAATGAGTAGGAATAAACAACCCAAAAGAATTAACAGGGACAGAACCACAAATAGTAGAGGAAACTTATAGGAGACGCGACGCAGGCCGCTTCACTCCATCAAGTTGGGACGTCTTCGGATTGTCTTGCTCCTGCTATACTATATCCAGTGCCTCGGGGGATAGCGATGGGTTGTATATCTTTGATTTATAAATTCCCACCCGATAAAAGTGCGCAATACAAGTGATCGATTGGTAATAGCTACTTTTTATCCTACAATCAAGAAGACCGGACATTCGTATGTGTGGGTACAATTGAAACAATACTAGCAGATCCAAATTGCAAATCAGACACTTTACCTAACTAACCCCTCCGTCTTGTATCCGAGATCATTTCAAAAGCCTGGTAGTGAAATCTTTTAGTGGCTACTAGTTGTTAACGAGGCATTACTGATACCTACAGTCCCTGGATTCTCAATCAATTGAACGAGAGGAGATCGTTTGTTACTCGACGCTGCTGCTGTAACACGCGCTTATTAATATATTTCATGATGCGTATTCTAAATGTGGTATCTCCTCAAGGGTAATTTTAGATAACCTTAGAGCATTGTATCTTAACACACCGAGCAAAAACGGCCGCTGATGGACGCTAAGAGGGGGGCGGAGCAAAGAGCGGGAAAGCGGGAAAGCGGGAAAGCGGACATTTCTCCGTTTTAACGGATGAAGCGGCCGCTGTGGCACAACAACAAGTACGAAATTCGTACTACAAATGCAGGAAGAGCCAGGAACAGTAGGTTTTACGGAGCTTACAAATTGAGCCTGAGTGCCAATGTCACAAAGGGAATGCCAATAGTACGTCAGAGTACGTTCGAGAAATCTACCTGCCCAACCAAGTTACACACTTCACTGACCGGGCGAGGTTACTCACTTAGTTACTAACTTACTTGGTCAGCGAAGGCTAACATATAAGAGTAAATCAATATTGGATGGCGATTGGTAAGACAGTCTATATCGGAGGTTTGATCCATATGAAGCTTCAGTAGATTTCTATAAGAAGCGGTTCACTACTCAATACAAGCTCCAGTCCTGTACAAGATATCATCGCCTTTCTATCCGCCAAACAACTTTCAATCTTATCCATTGTAGTGGAAATACCAATATCAAGGGACATATACGAGCCTTTATTTAAAACAGCAAGACATCATGAGTCTGGATCTTAGATACTCGGACGCTACGGCGCTCGCCGAGCTGATTCGCACAGGCAAAGTTTCTGCCGTCCAAGTCATGCAGGCTCACCTCGACCGCATTAAATCTCTGAACCCGCAATTGAATGCTATCGTCACCGTCGACGAGAGTGCATTGGAAAATGCTAAAGCTGCAGACGCAGCAGTGCAGTCCGGTAAAAAGAATCTCGGCCCCCTGCATGGTGTCCCCTTCACCGTGAAAGACTCAATCGATACCGCAGGCGTGGCAACATAACGCGGCTCGCTACTTTTTGAAGGCCGCGTGCCTTCGTCTGATGCCGTCAGCGTTGCGCGGATGAAGGCCGCGGGCGCTATTTTACTTGCGAAGACCAACCTCCCGGAATTCTCATACGCCTGCGAAAGTGAGAATCTCCTTACAGGCAGGACAAATAACCCTTGGAACCTTGAGAGGACGCTAGGGGGCTCTAGCGGTGGAGAGTCGGCGGCCATCGCGGCCGGATTATCTCCTATTGGCTTGGGCACTGACCTTAGTATCTTAGTACGAGGCCCGGCTGCGATGACAGGCATTATGGGATTTAAGCCAACCCACGGGCGTATCCCTATGACAGGCATATGGCCACGAGAGCCTCGCTGTTTTTGGCACGCGGGACTGATGGCGCGAAGCGTTCGCGACTTGGCTCTCGCATACTTGATAGTGGCTGGCCCTGACGGGCAAGATGCATTTTCGTTACTAGGAGCTAATTTTGATGCTGGTGTCGGAGCGACACCTAAATGACAGCTCAAGGTTGGCTGGCTGGTAGAGCTAGGTTTTGGCGCTATCGATTCCGAGATTGGGTCAACTGTCCAGGCTGCGGCCGAGGCTCTTAAGGCTGCAGGCTGTGCCGTCGAATCTGTCCGCATTCCGGCTCTGGAGCGCGACTTCGCCCTGGATGTGTTTATACGCATTTATGTTAATGAAATGAAACCCGCCATGGTGCAAATTACCAGCGGGCAACCCGAAGAGAAGATTTTCAAGAATGCTAGAGGTATGCTTAACACTCCCGAAACACCAATGGTTGATTTCGTTGATGCTGAGCAGGCTATTGAGAGGCTCAAAGATGGTTTTGCCGAGTATTTTCAGAAGTACGATGCACTCTTGTGCCCCGTGATTCCATTACCCTCGCATGGGCACGCGGTAGAAGAGCTTACAATTGACGGGCAGACCGTCAGTAACTTTAATATTTGTTCTACCACCACGCCTTTTACTGTAACAGGGCTTCCAGGACTGTCAATCCCATTCGGAGCAAGTCACGAGGGCATGCCAATTGGTGTCCAGCTTGTAAGTACCTGGTACGCCGAGTCTACAGTCTTGTATCTTGCATCAGTCCTTGAAAAGGTTAGCCCTGTTAGAGGGTTCCACCCGAGTATATAAACAGAGTTGTTGAAATATTTTGCAGCTTAGAAATTTAGACACTCTTTAATAATATTTATTCACTATTTATTTATTAGTAACTATAGGTCTCTTAACCGTTTTACTAATATAAACCTAGAATTATTACCAAGTTTATCCCCTAGGAAATTTACCTTGTATTAACTATTTAGTGTACAGTTTATTATACTCTTAACCGCTCAGCTAATATAAACCTAGAATTAAACTCTAGGTTATCCCTTAGGAACTCTTTATATTACTAACTATCTAGTGTATAGTTCGTTATATATATGCTGCATCCGACTGTCCAACTGGTAGTAAAGCTCTCCGATACTTATTAGCTCATGGTATATTTTCCGTAAATAAATATATTTTGCCTTGAAGACAGAACATCTGGGGAGTGATTAACTCTTAGTATAAGCAGAGGGAAAAATCCATACCGCGCCGATAAGACAATTCGAGCATCTATTCTGTGTTTGTTGAACTTCTTATAATCAAACTACAAAAAACAAATCAGACGTACGTATTTCATTCGGAATATACTAATATAAGCTAAGTGAATGACGTTCTAAACCTTTCTCCGATCCGCCACCACCCTTTCACCAGCCGCCATTATTTTCGAAGCTCAATGAGTTGCAGCCATTGTCATTTTCTTGCCATGCCTTACAAGAGGCCGCACAAGCGGTACCATTTCGGGGAACAACGCCAAACTCGAAATAGTCTCGCAGGATCTGGTTGGTACAGTCGCTCCAGCCTGCTGGGATGGCACAATGGCCTACCGAATCCTGAATCACTACTGCAGAGCCAGGATGGTTTGCTGACATGGCGATTGCATTGACAGGAGGCGTAACTGGGTCTATTCGATTTGACAAAAATAGAAGTGGTGCTGCTGGTACGCCAGGTTTGAGACTGGAGTCCGCCGGGGGCGTAACCCACGGCCCACGAAACTGATACTTGGGCTGAAGACGGTAACCCACGCATTGGAACGGAATCGTGGCCCATTTTGCACCAAAGGTGATGGATTGGTTCATGTAATTTCTCAATTCGTTAGAGTAATAGGCAAGATCGTGTTCAGTCTGGTTACCCGCGGCATCGCTGCAAGAGATACCATACTCAGCTTCTCCGCTGAGAATTTGACTACCAGTGGCACAATCGGTTTGGATATCGTCAGGCGTGACTGTGCTTGTAAGCAAGGTGTAGTTACCCTCCAAGGCATCTGAAAGCAACTGTGCCAATGGTGGAAAGCTCAAGATGGGCCTGTAAAGGGCTTGCGATATGCTGTCGCGAATGTCACGACCAGTCAGAGCTGCGATACTTGTGCCCCCAACGCTGTATCGAGGAAGCGCGTCCATGTCTGTGATAAATTGATCCACGCGCTTTCTAATGCTAGCACCGCTCACATCTTCGGGGGTACGAAGCGTACAAATATCGCCAGCCTCGAAACATGTGTCGTAGAAATAGTTGACGACAGCCTCCGTGTCGATTAGGTCATGATGCCATAGCTAGATATATATAAATCAGTGGAATGGTCAGGACAAAGCTTCGGTTCGGTGATCTTACTCCTCTCATATAGTCCTCAGCGTCGACAACGCCATCCAGGACCACTCGCCCAACGCGCCCGGGGAACATAGACGCGAAAGTGTTTCCAAGAGCGGTGCCGTATGATAAGCCCAAATACTGAAGTCGAGGAACTTGGTTCTCTTCCGTCGTAACCTCTTGCTCATGCTCACCTCTGCGACGCTTGCGCAATGCGACTTCCCTTTTCCGGAGCTCATCAACGCGATCCACCATCTCGACCATGTCACGGCAGACAGCAGCGGTAGTGACATGCTCCAGAATACTAGATTTGCCAAGCGTGGTCTCACAGAGAGCACCTAATCCTTTAGAATATGCCAGAAAGCGTCGTAAGGCGTCTTCACTAGAGTCAAGGGTGCTGAGCCCGCGAAGTACTTGTTGGTAGGCGTTCCTCGCAAGTGTGTCGCCTCCGAAACAGTCCAGTTGAGGGGTTGTGTTTCCTATACCCCGAGGGTCGAATCCGAGATAATCGTACTTTTTATTGTTGTCAATCACCTTTTGCAGATGCCGGCCGGAGAGGCGTACTAGGTTGACTCCAAGATCGCCTGGACCCCCCGGGTTTAAAATAATGGTGCCACCGTGGTCGGGGTGGTCGACCGGCACTGAGGCCGGGAGCGTGGCGATGGCAATGGCGATGGTTCTATTGTCTTTGGGGTTGTTCCAATCCAGTGGCACCTTGAGGCGCGCACAACGGAGCCCATTGAAGCAATCACGGTAGCGCAAGTCTTCCGTTGGTTCAATTGCCGTCCAGTCGAACTCGATGCTATTTGCATACAAAGCACCTGCAGTTGTTGCAGCCAGGCCAGCGAGTAAGATTGCGGTGGATCGCAGCAGCATGATTTAGGTTGAGCACTTCTGTAACAGTCTGCTTAAGGGCCAGCTCGATATGGTTAAGTTTTCTTTGTACTGATAGGTACTTAGAGCATGGTGGCTTCCAGATATTTATATCCAATGCCGATGACATTAAAGGGGTCAGTTCCTAGCAACTCTTGAGCCCGCTTAACTGTGATTTGCATGGCCGTAACAAGCACGGTATCTACTGCCTGAACCTTGTGTCAGATTGGTGGGCATGAAGAACTCCATTCAAACAAGAGACTGGCAGATCAGGGGACCCTATTTTCATTTCTTGGCCTTCCAAAAGGGGTAAATCAGCACTTTCTAAGTCAAATACTCCTGTTAGATCGACAACATAGTCCATATAGTTCTCAACGATATTGACATCGGGCTACTTTAGGTCGCATACGAATGTCACTTTTGATTCTGGTGACAATAGTAGTTTTGCTGCTATATCACGCCAAGCACAAAACCGTGCAAGTACGCCATACTTGATTTACACTTGAATTATTATAAATATTATAAATCCAGCAATGATCACATCACTTTATGGTTAAAACCTTCACTTACTATTTCCACATTATATGTCCTCTTTCAATAGTATTAATACAAATAATTATCTATTCATTTCATCGAATTTCAAAAAGATCTCTTCCGTATAAAGTGCTGAGTCGCTTTTCCTTACTCTTGTGATCCTAAATACAATAGATTTTACAGCCGCGCCTGTGCCCGCCGCAGCCATAGGATTGGAGAATAGCCACACTTTTGACATGGCCTTCATTGTTTACGTATTGCCACAGCGCAACGCCAGACCGCTAGGTCTCTCATAGCTAGAATACTTAACAGTAGTTCTCTGTGACATGTAGCCAAGAAGAAAGGGGAACCATATGGAAGACGTAAAATCGACCGTGAGGTCTTGTTCGGAGCTAAGTGCTATCACTTCGCCCGGTGTGTTTTCGAGGTAGTGTAAAGAGGTACCCCATACTATGAACAGAATAATGATAGGGGTTTCTGAGAGAGGGAGAGAGGTGGCGAATATTTCTATCCGCCGATTTAGATACTCTACTGTTAAACTGTGTAGAGCGCATATCCAAATGGCCTTTGCTGTACCGTCTCGCAGTTCAAGGCTAGCGCTAACAGGCCACACTAAAAATTGGCTGAACACGAAGTGCAAAATTTCCTCTTATGGAAGTGAATGTACCCGGCATATCAGCTCAAGTGCCGAATAAAAGTACTTGAGAAGGGATGGGCATAGCATTCTTAGACCGCTAAACACGTCACCTAAAGTTTGACACATCCACAAGTCCCCCATGCCCTCCACTTTATTTACAGCAACTTCATTTCTGCACACAGCCTCCGGTTGAATTTGGTAGTGAGAGAGTAATGCTGCCTAAAGGGACTCTAGCCAGGGATAATAGCCATCCCTTATTGGGGCTGTGAACGCAACGGCGACTGCAAACCACTTCCTCTGAAATATGGGGAAAAAATGATCTCTTTGACCGCATCTCGAAAGATAGTGGCTCGCTTCTCTAGCTTATTGATGAAAGTACCGAATTACCACATCAAGCAGAAAGCCGTACAATTCGCGTTTGGATGTTTCAGGGGCAATCAATCCATCTGGAGCTGAGAGCACGTACTGCTCGCATCGCCAGGCCAAAACGGCAGTATCGAGCAACATAAAAGTCTTATTCTTGTCGCTGAAGTAGGACGTCCCCTCTTCATCCAGTACTTCCTTATTCTACAACAGCAAATTGAAGTCGTCACAATGCACTTCAATGCTATTTCTTCCAAGACAGCAGTTACTAGCGTGCTGTTCGCATGGCTGATGTCTCAGAGAGTCAAGGCTGGCCTAAACGGCCTATGTCCACCAATGGGGCCTGTCCTTCCGCCGGCCACGAGCCTTCGTACAGACCCGGGATTTGACCCTGCAGCAATTACACTGACAACGAAACTTCAAGAATTAACATCCGGATTTAACTACTCAGCCGTGTCGCTGGGTGTCATGTCTATCCACGAGGCAACTCCAATGTTCGAATTTCACCACTCTCCGCAAAACTTCGATCCTAGGGGTGTCTCGGAGGTTAACTCAGACACTATTTACCGGCTAGCGAGTATGACAAAGCTATTCACCATCTTGGGCCTGTTGAAGACCGAAAAGGTCAACCTCGAGGATCCCATCACTAAGTATCTTCCTGAACTTCGCGATATCCATAAGGAGGCAGCTTTACAGGACGCAATCCATGTTGTCGACTGGGATAGTATTACGCTAGAAGCCTTGGCTGCACATCAAAGCGGAATAGGCGCCGACTGTAAGGCATTACCTTCAAAGGACTAGAAAGTTGTCTCCAAAGCTAACAATAGCCAGTGACAGTAGACATTGCAAACTTCCCAGGTGATTGGACGGCGAAAGGCTTTCTACCAGCTGATAACAAGACACGGCTTCAATGCTCCGGCTTTTTTGGACAAAGACCCTGCAACAGAAAAGGTACCATCTGGCCTGGTCGCCAAATCTCAGCTACAAAGGATTGTCCAATGCTAAAATTCAAGGTAGATTTTTTTGAAAACTTTGGCAAACGCCCGCCAGTGCACGCGCCATTTGAAACGCCGCTTTATTCGAATATCGGAACGACTCTACTAGGACTCGTCATCGAAACTGTCACTAACCAGACATACGAGGACTGGATTCAGCATACTATCATAAATCCAATCAGAATGAATCAAACATTTCTAGCAACCCCTGAAGATTCGTTGGGTTTCATCTCTGTCAACGCCACCGATTGGGCCGTTGAGCTTGGTGTTGAGGCACCGTATGTTGCATCTTGTTTTCACTTCCAGTTTGTCAAACTAATGATTTTCTTAGCACTGGGGCGATTTACTCTACGACGTCAGATCTTATGGCTTTCGGCAAAGCAATTCTAAGCTACGAAATGCTTTCCCCTATAAGAACTCGCAAGTGGATGAAACCTCTGGCGTCGACTTCTTCCATTAGCACCCTCATCGGAGCTCCATGGGAAATTTACCGATCTAGTAAAGTAACCAAAGACGGCCGTTTAATAGAGTTTTATACGAAAGCTGGTGATCTCTTTACGTATAATTCTGTTATCGCTCTGATTCCAGATTACGACTTGGTGATGGTCGCTCTTATGAGTGGACCTGAGGTTTCTGGCGACACAGCCTACCAAGTGATTGGAGACGCAGCGACCGCTTTGCTTCCCGTCATAGAACAAGCTGGTAAGGCCAAAGCTCAGACCCAGTATGCGGGGACATATACCGACTCCTCGACCAACTCGACTCTCACACTATCCCTCGATGACAGCCCTGGTTTCAACGTCACAAAATGGCAAGTTCGTGGAGTGGATGTTATTGGAACATCTTTGCTTGGCGACTCTCCAGTCGTACCGCCACAGGTCCGATTGTATCCCTCGGATCTCTCTACCAGTAGCCAAACAGCGTGGAGGGCTGTGTTTGGCGGCAGTGCCGATGATGTCGCTGCGGAGGACGCGCTGTATCCCTGGGATCAATTTAGCTGTAGCTCATGGGCATCACTCGACAAACTCGTCTACCAATTTCAAGGTCAAGATCTCTTTGTTTTTGATATGGTAGAGGAAAAGGGGGGCGATGCCAGGGCCAGCGCCATAACTCTTCCGGCTTACCAAGTGAAACTGGCCCGCATAGCCGAGTAGGATTATTGAGATGATCGGCTTCTATCAACGTTGATTGGAAAAACGTGTACAGCGATCCGGATGTTGAGCATCAGATATCTTTATACAATTGCTGCTGAGCTTTGGATTGGCTGGTTATCTTGAATTAGAATGGACAGTAATATAATATATCCATGATATCAATTGAGTCAAGTATTTCTACCTTTATACTATAATTCGCAAACAATTACCACTTCAGGTGGTGTAAGCACTACCACACCATTGAAACAGTAGGTAGATTTAAGTTTAATGTAAATTAGCGTTGCCGGATCGATAATCCCCGAAGGAATAACTAGCGTTATCTGCTATTATCCCCTGCAAGGGGGCGCAGTACATTCTTTTAAGTTGCGGAGTACATTCGGGGTATTTTCGCCCGGTAATCTTTTTCCTCCATCCACTTTACAACTCTATTACAGAGCCATATCATGCCTGGCCACGGCAATTTTCAAATACAACTATCCCTTCGTAGCCAAGAAGCTACTGATCTAGCCTCAATGGAGTGTGCTACCATAACTTCGAAAGGTCCGTTCATGAATCGCCCGCAAGCAACAGAGATAAAGGGTTGGAGAGAATATGAATCGCTGGGTGCAATTCAATGGGAAAGACATAGAGCAACCATAAAACAGTTATACATCGACGAAGGAAAAAGACTCAAGGATGTTGCAGAGATCATGAAACAAGACTACGGTTTCAATGCCACGTAAGTTTTTTGCCGCCTCTCTCCCTATTCCCTGTTCTCGATTTAAATATGTGTCAGCATTAAGATGTACAAGATACGATTGAACAAATGGGGATATTTCAAAAACAATCGGAAGCTTGATACGAAGTCGGTTTCGCAAACAAGGAACGGCAGGCAAGCGAGAAACAACCTTACAAATACCGTTGCCCTTGCTACTACACGTCGGCCCATCACACTCCGCGACCCAGAGGTTTACAATACACCGGGACAAATTTTCTCTTGCATCAGCACCTACATGTGGGGTTCTTGTGAGGACCAAAGATGGACAGCCACTGACCTCGCATGTGCTACTTTCTACGAAAATGCCTATTTCCGGCCCTCTGCAGAGCTGTTACAGTCAATCGGATCGCTTACAAACCTTCTCCAGGAACAGAGGTACCAACAAGCGGGGCCAGTGATGCGACGAGCGGCTATACAGATGGAAACTGTTTTGCGAGAGCAGCCTGTGGATCTCCTCACTTGTCTCTTAGAAATCGCACTCCGACTGCACTCGAAGGCTCCCGACTTGGCGGCTTTGCTTATGCGACATTCAGCAGATGTAGCGAAAATCCATTTCTCATCGCCCAAACACCCCGTACGAATTTTCACACAGCAACTAGCCAGCCTTGATGGTGTCGAGGTCGGCGCATTGGCGGTGGAGGCATACACATGCCAACTGAAAATCTGGCAGGATATCTGGGACTGCAACACACAGAACGCTGATGACGGCAACGAAGCAGGACTTGTGTGGATAACAGGCTTGGCTCTAGCAGGCGGTCTCGATAAGCTGCCGTTAAGCCTAATCCCACGCTTGGACGGAATCATGCTGCGATTAGTCGAGGCTGTAAAAGGCTCAGAATGGTGCACGCAGTTACTTCAGTCCACCGCAGAGAACGGTCAATTTCAATTTTTTGTAGGGCAGTCAGAGGGAAAGCTAACACAAGTAACCATGCAGCCACTCGGCACACCGACTAAAGTAGCCAGTGCTCAGCCTGTCGCTCGCTATAGTCTATCCCATCTGAATGCCCGTTACCGGCAGTTTGCAATCGAAGATCGGTCTGCGCGCGAAGCTATGGAAATACAGCGCGTGCTCCAGACGGAAATGGGGACCTTATTCATGGGTATGGCCAGTGCCCTTGAAGGATGGCTGGGTGAAGTCGGGGAGTACAACAAAGCAGCGGCAGTCGTACAATACCGTGAAAGGTTTTTGGCTGCTGGATTGGCCGATGTCATCCAGGTCACGTAAGCGTCTTTTAACCGGAGGATTGTCTATCAATAAAAAGAACCAATGGTAAGTCCTTTTGCATCAACTTATCAGATTTTGGCTTATAGTTACTCATTGCTTAGGGACGAATTCAATCTTGGGTTTTACTTGTCTAGTCAATGCGTAAGGCTATCCAAAGCACAGCACAAAAAATGGACCGGAGTAAGCAACGAGTAATATCTCTGCTAGCGATGAGAATATACCTAGGCTCAATCACAAAGCCGAGGAAGCAGCTTGATTATAGTAGATCTCCACACGCTAATCTCAGACGGAAGCAACGTCTATCCTGGACCAACTGAAACCATCACATCGTGAACCATAGTCTGAACCTGGTCGGTAACGATGTCAAGTTGGCGCAAAACTAAAACAGTTGAAGTTATATTGGCGATCAAGCAAATCGGGGTCATAGCAATACAAACTTAGAAGATTGGACCTTCCTCCTTGTGCAAAAGGTATAACGAAATATTAGCCCTAAAAGACTAATTTCTGCATGTTTGTCTACTAGAGTAGAGTATTTGAGTAGGACTAGGTATATAGGTATATAAACCTCTGAATACTTTACTTAGATCGCCAGCAATCCAGATCAACTGCATGAAAGAAACAACAGCAGCTGCAATTGCTACGTGATCGATTTCGTTCGTCTCATCAATCCCTAACGCTTAATCGAGTCGATTTCCGAGCTTCTTTATCAATTCATATGCAAAGTCTGGCGTTCTATCTACTAAGTCCTTGAAGCCCTCATTCTGAACCATGTCTTCAACTATACAGGCGCAATAGTCGACTAACAAAGTGCGTAACCTATCTCCTGTAATCGTGTTTTCAAAGGAGTAGCTGGCTAGGTTAACAACATCTCCAATGCGGTTCGGGTATAGTGTAAACTCCTTCAAGCTGGCGTAGATCTTATGCAAAGAAAGTTTTCGTAGCTCGGGTATATCGTATTTATCCGCTAGGGTGTAGAGACGAGCGTGAGAGAGGAAAACTTCGCCATATTCTTCGCAGCTCTCTCTGTTCTTCCGAGGCGTATGAAGTACCGTTGGAGACAAATATCCTGTGCTGTTGTTGAATGTCAGAATCATAGTTTGCTTCTTCGACATTTTTTGAGGAACCTTCCAACATTTCGAGCAGCTATTCTGTTGATCGCGACCACAATTACTGCAATACAGAGTACCGAAGCTTTTGCGACATGAATCACATGGTCTGCTATGGCTCAAACGAAAAACTATTCCGCAATGATCGCATTGATCCTTTTTCTCATCTTCAGTCCCGACATAGAATGAAGAAAGAGACTTGGCGGTATTATCCACTGGGGCGTTTGGCGCCGCACTGTGTTCAAGATTTGCGAGCTGAGCCGAAGTTGCAATGATATCTGGCTCTGCGGGAGAATACTCTCCAGTATAAGCCCATTGAGCGAAACGAAGGAATGTTTTCTCATCAACATCTTCCCAGTGAACACAATGCTCATTTGCTTCTTTCATACTTCCATTCAAGAGATCGTTCAAGCTTTTCGAGAGCCGTGACACAGCACTTTCATGAACAGTGAACAGCTTCTTCTGATGTCCAATAATGAATTTGAAAGGCTGTGAAAACAGGATGCTGGTGAAAAAGAAATTAGTGTCGATTGCAATCTTTTGGCAAAACACAGCTAATAGCATTCACAAACCTCTCATACTTTGCTTCCATATTTTTCTTTTCAGACGGTATGTTTTAAAGTAAGAGTCGCGCCAAGCAACTATAAGAGCAAGTATATGTTATTAGAAGATAGGACTTGACTGCGCAAAATAATAAAATATTCACTATTACAGAATATAAAAATTTCAGCAGCTGGCACATACGCACACTTATATATATATATTTTTTATAACATCGCAGGGCTGTTTGGGCGGCCTGCATGCACACTATCAGGTTGGGCTGCAACAGCTGTTTATTGGATAGCAAGCCTATACTTCCTACCAGGTCTGCGGGAGGCCTACAGGTTTACTTCAGATAGTTGTGTCAAAGCCTTGAAGTAATTCTTCTTTAAGTGACGTGTAACTTACTACCCCGCAATCCCTTTTCTTTGCCAAAAATAACACATATCTATATGTGAGAAATTCGACCTAGCCTGATAATTGTTAATTGATGCAACAGTTTGATAACACAGAGGCGGGGAAGCCTGAGCAGTAAGCAGCTACCCAACATCATCTACAGGTAATATACTCAGTGCTCTACAGTATTAAAGAATTACTCTTAGGAGTAGCACAAGGCTTATTCGAGGATGTGCACTGCATGAAAGATTATGCACTGTCTAGAACCTCGCACTTGTTTATTGCTTATATACCTCTTTATCTCTTTCAACAACGTCAAAGCATTCTGTCTCTGACTTTGTGCTATCCCCAATAACAGAGGTACAGGGCTTTTAATACCAGATAAACGCCAGTAGGCCTGTAGTACAAGGCAAGTTTAGTTGGCTCTAGCCTATTAAGTACTAGACATCGCTATAACCTTCTCAATTAGGATTTCGCAGCAAGTACTGCGAAGGAATCCTTCTTGTAGCTTATCTAAGAACTAAACGTACTAGCTAGGGTGGACCAGCATAGGAGTTACGTAGCATTTGTGGCGAAGCATATGCCTATAAAAAACAGGTAAGTTTGCAACTGACTTCTAGTTGTTCATAAGACATAGGCTTTCGCTTATTCTATATTTTACTTTTGAGAGCTGGGCTACATATCTCCTTTGAACTTTGCTGGTGTAACATGGAGCCAGATAACGACGTCAACGATTTACAAAGCATTAACAATAAAACGCTTGGTACAAATGCAAACGCATTTCCAATTGTAACGCTTCCAAATGGGCAGAAAGTTCCAACAGGAACTGTAGGAGCGTTGCTTGTGAATATTAAAACCTATGACGCAAGCGAAGAAAGCCAGAGAAAGCAAATAGAGCCAGCATTACGAGCAGCGATACCTATACTACAACAAGTTGGCATGTTCGATCTCTTTAGACCTGAGGAGTGGGTTAAGGGAGGAAGTCCCGGAAGGGCGTTTGTTGGAAAAGCAGCAATGGAAATGCATGTGGATAGCAAGACAAAGGCTTGAAGAAATTAAGATGCTCTCATCAAATACAGGATTCATCAGCTAGCTAGCTCTACCAATGTTGATGTTAGACTCTAAACAATATCAGCTATGCCGCTATATTTATAAGAGAAAACTTCACTGAGGATTGTATAACTTATGATGGAAATTGTAGTTGTGAAATTTTGTGAATCTGTGCGTTATTTTGTATGGCTAGCTTTAGTTAAATATTGTAACAAACTATTTTTTTTTGTGGCCTGGAGAATTATGTCTTAGCCTGCAGTAAGTTTTCTGATAAGAAAGCTTGCTTAATAAAGTGTTGAAGTCTCTCTATACATGACCGGGATCGACTTTGCATGCTGTTTACTCATTTGCGGCACGGCCTCGACTGGCTCGCCAAGGTTGGCACGATCGCCGCAAAGTCAATGACTTAGATAAAATAGCAATGTATACATTCATTCACAACGATAATTCCAAATCATTCTGTTTGACCTATTTGGCAGCTTACATTAGTCGTGCTGCGCGATCATCTGGACGTGACTGCGCAGGTACAAGTTACCCTGCAACTCCTTGTTTAGTCACGGTAACTACACTGGGGTTTCTGGCCCGGTCATCATGATCTATCCGCAACGTATCCGAAGACCCAATGACAAACTAGCGCTAAAGAACTGTGGAGAAAACTATGAAGAACGCAATGACGCAAATGACGGAGCTATCTGTTTTTGCGTAGCTTTTCGACCCTTGCGCCAGTCCAACATGAAGCTGCACGCGGTATTTCTGGAATAATAGAAGACGGAATACCTCCCTTCGCCTCCATAATCCATATGGAAGATCGGCCTCTCAATTATACCATGCATGGGTAGTTGCTCTCTTCGCTAGGATAGGATCTTTTCTCTGCCCCATAACTAGCCGTTCCTGCGGTCTAACTGCGCTGGCACAAGGACCCAGTGCTGCGTATAAATTACCGGTCCTCAATAAGTGTCAAGGTGTTCTCCTCATGATTCTCGTTCCTAATACTTCTCCAGTTTGATCTTTATGCACATTATGAAGTCTGTTATCGTTAAAGCACGCCCTCTACGATGTGAAATTATCGACGTTCCCATCCCAGAGCCAGGACCAGATGAAGTCCTCATCAAAGTCATATATTGCGCCAGTAACCCACGCGACTGGAAGGCGCCCGATCACCTTATTCCTGGTGTTGAAATAAATCAAGGGAATGAAATGTCTGGAGTTATCGAGGTTGTTGGAAGCAATGTCTACGAATTCCGGAAAGGCGATCGAGTTGCAGCAGCGCATCCTATGCAGACAGAGAATGGCACTTATGCAGAGTATGCGACTGCTCCTATAAATACGTGCTTTTTGCTGCCTCCAAATATCTCATTCGAAGGTAAGTGTCTAATAGGTGATTCCACATATTGGCAATGGTTTGCTCATTCACGATACAGAGGCTTGTACCATACCGTTTGCCTTATGTACAGCAGCCATTGGATTATACCAACGTCTCAAAATACCGTTTCCGACATCTCCAGAGAGCTCACGTGTTCAAACTCCGCTCATTGTCTATGGAGGAAGTTCTTCCATTGGAGCCTTTACACTGAAACTAGCAAAGATGGGACGCTTCGAAAAGGTCATTGTAGTATGTGGATCTGGTAGGCCATATATAGAATCCTTTGGCGTTGTTACAAATTTCGTCGATTATCGGAATGGTAACGTCGTTAATGATTTAAAAGCTGCCCTTGGAGGACAAAAGTGCTTTCATGCTGTTGATGCCATCAATGATGGTAACAGCTTTCGACATCTATCGGAAGTTTTGGCGCCAGAAGGAGCTCGTATGGCTGTATATCTACCCCGTCTAGATTACAGCTGCATTCCCGCATCAATATCTATTGCGATCACTTTCTTCGGCACCGTCCACGGCCAAGCGACTCCAATTAGCAATGAAGTATTCGAAGAAGATGTAGATTTTGCGTACGTTTTCTTTCGACTGGTCGGTCGATGGATTGCTGAGGGCAAAATGAGTGGGCACCCATATGAGGTTCTGCCGCGCGGGCTGCAGTCCGTTGAGGATGGTTTACGGATATTGAAGGAGGGAAATGTGAGCGCTAAGAAACTCATCTATAGAGTGGCAGATACGCCTTGCCTTTAGTCTAAATGGTTTTGTTTTGAAGTAGGATAACAAATTTGAAGAGCTATAACTGTTTATCGAGTCCCTTGAAGCAAGCAGATGTACGCCACATTTGCCAACTCACTAAACGCTCTCGCTGTTGATAGTATGGATGTTACAAACTGTATTAAACATTACTCTTTTTGGGTGGTCGTTCCATTAAAAAGAAGTATATGTACTTTAGGTTTCTTTCCCCGTAGAATGCTCTGTTGCTCTATTCTTTCCGATCCGTATCCGACGCGCTATTAGTGATCCAAAGTAGGCCATGTAATCACGAGGCATATGTAGATACATCATCGCAGCCTAATATGCAGAGAACACCATATCTATAAAGGCATCCTAGACTCCAATCCCAAAATCCTTTGATGCATCACCCTCCAACCAGCAACGGCAATCATTTTTAAAATTCTCCAACATGGACTCAGCTCCCGCAGTTCATCCCAATCACCAGAAGCTCATCGATCGCGCACAAGAATTTTTTGCTGAAGTCGAAGACTTGTACGTAAAGAATCTTTTTTTCTCTTTCACGATAAAAACACGTTTCTATTGCGTCAGCTGAATATCGCTTCTTGTAGAACTCCAGGCAAAGACCTTGAAGCTAAACTGAACCGGGACTATGGTATCGGAAATACCTACTATGACGATTTCTGCCATTTGATTCGACAGGCTCTAGCGAATAACGAGGGCTGGGTTGCTGCCGACGAGATAGACGGGCCAAAGTACCGCCGCACCAGGATATGTGCTCCGTCCGAGTCGAACCGCTTCTTCAGCATTACGACGGTTTACATGGAAAGCGATATAGAATATCGTGGCCAATACCACCTCCATCCTTATGGCGAAATCAATTGCGTCATTCAAATAGATCCATCAGCCGAGCTGAAGGGAATGTCAGGGTGGCAAGGCGCTGGCTGGACATCTCCGGGGCCCGGCACTCATCATTATCCTGAAGTCCGTGGAGGGGCGCTGGTGGCTCTTTTCTTCCTACCTGCAGGCCGAATATCGTACAAGCTCGCGAAACCGGGAGATCCGCAGCCGATGGCTATCTGATGTCTAGCAAGCGCCCTATGTAAAATGGGTTGTCTAGTGAATCTCGGGCTTACAAAGGGAAGCCCCGCATTTAGATCGCGTTGATAAGTGGTCCAACAGTTCTTGAATCTTACTTCAACACTACGACTTGGCCAAAATTCTTGTGACTTCATTTCTTATGCTACTCTTGTACTCTTTGTATCTTTCGAATATTTGAAACCCTACTCTCGTCATCGCGATGCCTCGAGCGAGAGTGTCCGAGGGCCGAAGGCGCGTTGCGAAAGCGTGCACGCTTTGCCAAACAGACAAGAAAAAGTGCGATGGTCTCTGTCCCTGCGGACAATGCATCAAGCGCGGGCGGTCTGATTCGTGTGCCTATTCATCCCATAAACGCATCTACGGACGTCAGCGCCGATTGTCAAAGGACGTGGACATGGCCATCGCGGTGCCTACCCAGAACGATACTCGAGAGGCCGAAAACTCACCAGTTGGATATGCGAACCCGCATAGCCGGCGGCCTTTGTGTTATGACGATAGGGAGCGGAATAGTCCATTGGGCAAACATATCGCGATCCCAAAACTTCCCAACATTATGCGTGACACGAAAGGACGAGCAAGTAAGTGATCACTAATCTGTACAGAGCCTACGTATGGCCTCAGGTGACATGGCTAAACATGTCTTTCATTGCTGTAGTGTACCTTGGAGATTGCGCAGCGCTTTCTTTTTTACAAAACATACAAGAACTTATTCAAAATGAACAAGAGCTCGCGGATGCAGCAAAAGATCTCTCTTCTCTCTCAGTATTAGAAGAGGCTGAGTCGAGAGAGAGTGAAAGCGTCCTAGCTTATAGTAATGCTAATCTCGGCGACTTAGAAGCTCTGGTTAAAACGTTCTTCACCGCGGTACGAATTCTCTTCCTCCTTGCATTTTGTACATAACGCGAAATGGTTGAGTGTAAAAAAGTTATATGCTGCTAACAAAGTAACTGGTTTCAGACATGTGGCATCCTGGATATTATGGACCGGTCTACAATTGACAACTTGCTCAGCCGCTGGATTGGTGGAAATATTTCAGTTACAAGCAGTAGCGCCGCTCTACTGTACCTGGTGCTTGCCTATGCAGCACAAGTACGTAGTGAATCCACGCAAGACACTTACCGATCACAATCATTCTTCTATCATGGTCGACGAATTGCGCTCATGGAGTTAACGGAGTATCCCACCATGGAGACTGCCCAAGCTTTCACCCTGATAAGCTTGTATATGCTTGGCAGTTGTCGGCGCGATGGGGCGTATTTGAACCTGGGTATTGCGATTAGCGCAGCAAAATCTCTAGGATATCATCGATCAGAAGCTGCTCTATCTCAACAAGGAGATGACAAATGGCTGAGGTATGAATACTCTTCATAAGTAACACGTGCGGCATCTGCAGCGCTGCTGATAAGAAAATGGCAATATAGACAGCGAATATGGCGTACTTTATGCTATCATGACTTATTTTTTTGCGCCATGATGGGTCGCACCCCTTTGACATCTGCTACAGATTCATCGGAAGAAGAGGACAAGCAGCGACCTGATCCGAACCACCCCGATAAGTGTCAGCAACTTGGGCTCTACGAATCTGCAAGAGCCTTTTCCATTCTGAAACAGACAGTGCTCGAAATATACACCAAGCATTCAGCGCCGCTAGAATTGCTTAACAATCTTTCTCAGCAGCTTCGTGAGATGGGAACTGAGTTGCCTGTTGAGCTTCGCAACATCAGCCCTTTGGCATTTCCAGAGCATAAATGTCCCAAGACGAAGCAGCTTATCATAAGAAATGCCAGTGTCGCATGCAATTATTATTTTAGCATGATGCTTCTGACAAGACCATTTCTCATCGCCTGCCTCAAGGCAAAATATAACAAATCCCCAAGGACGACCCGAAGCCAGAAGCAGCGTGGCGACATTGAGGAATCCCTGGAGATCGATAAGAGCGTTATTGTCGGCGCCATGACTTCATTTGACACAGCTCTCAAAACGATTCAGCTTCTACATGAGCTGTACGTCTCGGGAATACTCTACAATAATATGCCCCTTGTTGTGTAAGTGGCCGCCTGGAGGCATGGGCCGCAGAATACGTTTTGGATGATAGATTTACTGATACTGTATGAGTAGCGCATGGACATTTGTATCCGCGTTAACTGTCTGTGCTGCCTACTTTGGCCGTTTAGGCGACGCAAGAGAATGTGAACTTGCAAGTTACAGGGCAAGTCAAATATTACAACATTTCATCGCACATAGTCCACAGGCAAGGCAATACGATCTTATTTTAAGGAGACTGTCCCGAGTCGCACTGGGGTGCATAAATGCGTCAGAAGATCAACTTCATAGCAACAGAGACCTATTCTGGTTCGACTTATTTAGGCTAACACCGGCACACCTATATCACTTAAAGGAGGAAGAAAAATCCTTGAACTCGAATACTAGTACGCAAAATCGACTAGCAACATCAGAAGGAAGCTATGTTCTTCCATTAAATGTTGACCCACCGCAGCACACTATGCACCTAAATCCTTCGGATGATATTTTTAGTTTTCCAGACGGAGCCTATAAGGAATTTGATAATTATATGTTAATGCCTGAAGGCCTGCTTTTTGAACAAGGTAGTTTCTTTTTTGATACTGAAATATGATTTCTTTTGTTGTTCATCTGTAATTTAACTTAATTTCAGTTGCCATTTGAGAGGTTTAGATTAGCATCTGTTTTCACATATTTACAGAATCGGTAGAAATGTCTTTGATGTTGTAGACACATATATTTGATGATACGTTGTAAATACCTAATTTAAAACTTGTCTCGCTTCCTTCAAGACACTAGAAGCTCATAATGTAACATCCTAGTAGCATAACGAGTATTTTCCAGACCAACTCTCTCTAGAAGTACTAATTGCATGGATTTAACCTAACCCCGTGATTTATTGATGACGGTCGGGCTTAAGCCCAAACTTGATTTTAGAATGCGGAAGCAAACATCTGCCAATACTACATAGATATATATATGACAAAGTTGCCGCTGAAGAAAATGATGTTGGAAAAACTGCCTAGAGTAACAACTACTATATAGTATCACTACTGTTTCGCTAATCACCTCGTGTATGTTCAACGCTCGCAATCATGTCATCCTCTTTCAAGTACGAAGTCAAAAGTTCCGCGCGCTCTCTACAGGTAGCAGTGAGTACGGAACCGGCGACCAAAGGCCTATATCAATATTTGGGCAGGTCTGGCCTCAAAGTTTCGAGAGTCATTCTGTATGCTATCCTATTCGGTTCATATCTAGGTTCTGTACTAACGTCAACAGTGGTGCAATGAGCTTTGGAGCACCAGAATGGCAGGGTTGGGTTCTTGATGAAGAACAGTCACTTCCGCTTCTGGAACATGCATTCAAAGCCGGCATTCGAACTTGGGATACTGCCGATCTCTATTCCCACGGCCGATCCGAAGAAATCATTGGTAAAGCCATCAGGAAGTTCAACCTTCCTCGAGAAAAGCTCGTGCTTCTCACCAAAATCTATTTTGGTGTCACTCCCGACACCTTATCCAATCAGCCAGGCTCGACTATAATCAACGATGGCGAGCTTCTTAATCAAACGGGACTGAGCCGCAAGCATATTCTCGACGCTGTTGACAAATGCACTGAAAGACTTGGAACTTATATCGATGTGTTACAGATCCATCGTTTGGACCGTTCCATCCCTTTCGAGGAGAGTATGCGAGCTCTAAATGATGTGGTGGTGTCTGGAAAGGTAAGGTATCTTGGAGCTTCCAGTATGGCCGCCTGGGAATTCCAACAGCTCCAAAATATTGCCGACCGGCATGGCTGGCATAAATTCATCTCAATGCAGAACTACCATAACTTGATATACAGAGAAGAAGAACACGAAATGATTCCGTACTGCAATAACACTGGCGTGGGTTTGATTCCCTGGTCACCTGTTGCTCGTGGTGCCTTAGCCCGTCCTTGGGGTACTCGAAACACTCTTCGGGAGGAGAAAGACCAGGGCCTCCAACTGCTAGTTCGGGGAAGCGACAATCAGGTCAATGAAGCGATTGTCAATCGCGTTGAAGAAGTTGCAGAGAAGATTGGCAAAACCATGGCTCAAGTTGCAATTGCATGGACACTGAGCAAAAACATGTGTCCCATTGTTGGCCTGAACAAGAAGGAGAGGATCGATGAGGCTGTTGAAGCAACGAAATTTCAGCTAAGCCAAGAAGATATTGATTACCTCGAAGAATTATATTTACCTAAGGCACGGGTAGTTTTATAATGGTTATGCTTCTTGATTCTACTCTTCGTTACTGCAAGATGTAACACAAAATGCAAACCAATGCTTAGGCCGTTGACTCAGCTATAATGTTGATAATTCTTCTGTTTTTGTTGCGTCTCACATTGTTTGACGAAATGTCTATTGCTCTAACTAGCCGAAGTGACTTTCTGTTGGTTTGAGAGACCAAGTATAGAATTACTAATCAATGACGCTGAAAACAACCGATGCTCCTTTGAAAGCAGCCTCCAGAACTACACACAGGTTCGTCGATTTATTAACGACCATCTCCACACCCTTTCGCGAGTGATGCAATGGATGTGGTTGACGATATATCCCGAGAAATACCACGAAGCACACAAGGAGATGGTGATAACGAGAGGAGGTGGGAAGTCACAGACTTGCCTATAATACGTGGCATTGAAAACGACCAGAATAGGCTTTGCTGAAGACATGGTGGTATATTGTAGCAAAATTCAGTAAGTTGCATCATCATATTCGAGGTTATGAGAATATCAGCGCAGTATATACCATCGTAGATCCTAAACCTCGCTTATAAAATTCTTCTGGTTCCCCATGGCACGTTGCATCTCCTAGTCAATTACAAATGCTTGCGTACTATGTGATGTAGCAGCGCAAAGTTCCCAATGGAGTTTAAGTCCCCTTGGTTCGATTCATGTGCCTCCCATTATGACCAATTGCAATCAGAGCGAGAAAAATATCCCCAGAAAAGTCTGGGCTTTTCATGTCGAGGTTTTGTGCAAATACGTGCAATGAGCTCAACTGCTCCCCAACTTCCTTGCCGAGCTTAGCTCCTGCAGTAGCAATCCATGCCTGAGGCGATTCGGCCAACCATAGACCCAGCCTTCTGTCAAGCGGGAGGGACTCAAAGAAAAGGCAGTTTGAGCAAAATCCATGCTTCAAGCTGAAAAACAACAAAGCCACCGCATGAGACATGAGTATGGTCCTTCGAACGCTTTCACCAAAGAGCCATGTTTGCCATGGAGACAAAGCTGCAGGTAGCTTGGGTTGCGCTTCTAGCAACAAGGCTTGAGTCCATACAGAGAGTAAATCAGTAAACTTTTCAGCATTTGCTTGTTCCAATGCATCCAGGCTGAATAGAGATGATGTTATGTGGATAAGAAGGGCTTGAACCGCAGTGAGAGCTTCTAGTATTGGTGCCGCTTTAATGTCCACTTTAAGTAGACGTTTGAAACCTGGATGGTTGACACCTCCAGTTTGGTTCTCAGCCAATACTGCATAATGATTATAATTGCCATGCATATGTAAACTCGGATGGATGAACAGAGCGGGTTTGCCTTTCCACAAAAGTTCGTGAACTGATTGAACAACGATACGCATTGTATCAAATATAAATGTCTCTTCATGTTTGTAGATTTCTGGGTTACCAGAAGGGAGAGATGCCAATGTTTTAATGACGCAGTAACCGACCTCCACACTATCGAATGTACTGGAAGCGGCTTTAAAGTCTTTTTTCATATCGACTGGCGATGCGCTGAGAGGCTCAAGGTCGTATACACATTGAAGTCCCTTCTTCGAGCAGCGGTCGCACTGCGGAACTTGGATGGTGCACTTGCGTTTAGAGGATGTGCAGTTGCGACATGCTTTCCGAATAGTTGCCATATTGAAGTCGGGCCACAATTCACATGGATTTGAAAGTGAGGTCTCCGAGAAAGGAGGCTGAGACACTGGGGTAAAGAAGTTTTAAGCTGTGGAAGGGTCATTTGTAAATTAAAACTTCGCTAGGCTATTTGAGTTTAGTTCCCGCAGGTATAGTAACAATGTGGAGAGCAACTCCACCTTCTAGACAACAGAGCTGTGTGGTATAGATGGGTGTTTTTATTTGTTTACACTACAATAGGTAGTGACAGAGCAGAAAATAGATGTACCTAGCCGCCAATTCAACTCGAATAAGGCATTTGTATAGCAGACGTGGGATTGGAGCGCCTGTATTGTCTCCACTTTCTGTATCTTTAGTATAGGTTTAGAGTCTCGGGCCAATTACAATGCGCTCTCTGACTTCTATTATTAATTCATCCAACTTTGAGTGATGAAAAAGTCTTATATAGCGACTATTCTCGCCATGTAGTATGCAGACAGAGTTGTAAACCGTCAGCTTATGGTCTTGAAAATGACACCGTCGAATCATTTCCCCAAGTCAGTACTAATTACCGGCTGCTCTGCTGGCGGCCTCGGTGCAGCCCTCGCGTTGGCCTTCCAGAAACATGGGTATATTGTATTTGCAACAGCTCGATCTCCCGGAAAGATCCCTGCTACTCTGACGGATCTTCCAAACGTCCACGCCCTTTCGCTGGACGTAACATCTGACGAATCTGTCTATGCTGCTGCCAAATCTGTTAAGGCAGCACTTAGAGGCAAGGGGCTCAATGTGTTGTTCAATAATAGCGGCATAGGCTACAGTTCAAGTCTACTGGATTTAGACCTAGAGCGAGCTAAGCAACTCTACGAGGTCAATTTGTGGGGAGTCATTCGCACGACACAGGCATTCGCAGATCTTGTAATCGAGGCAAAAGGGGCTATTGTCAACCAGGGTTCGATTTCCGGGGAGAGCTATGAGCCGTTCAATTGTAGGTACAGTCCACCAACTCATAATCCCCATGGCTGTGAACTAACTATGTACGACTAGCAATCTACGGCAGCTCCAAGACGGCATTATCTATTGCAGGAGAGGCATGGAGACTTGAGCTGCAGCCACTAGGCGTGCGAGTTATAACTGTCCAAACGGGTGTTGTTGAATCGGAATTTTTTGCAGATTTGCAGGGCTTCAGTCTTCCCGAGACCTCGTACTATCGCCCCATAGAAGACCAGTTGCGGCGGAGAGCTGAAGGACAGGCTGGATATAAGGCGATGAGGGCAGACCTATACGCCGAGCAAGTAGCAAGGGATGTGGCTAGTGGGAAGAATGGGAAGATTTGGCGGGGAACCATGGCAACTCCTGTCAAATATATAATGTGGTGGCTTCCGACATGGCTAGCTGTAAGTGGCTCAAAGCACTCTCGACCTGTGATATATCACTCCACCATATAAGCTTAACTGCTTTGACATAGCTAACAGGTATACTTCGTATAGGACTATCTTTTAACAGGCCTTAGCCCAGGGCTTGTAGAGTTATACAACAATAGAAAGTAGGTATAGATTGCCATATTAGTTTTTTAATTTTATTTCACAGGAAGTTGTAATAGACGGATGGACATACGCAATGGAGATACTAAGCACTTTTTATTTGTGACACGATGGACGCAAGCATCTGAAGGGAACGAGAGAGTTGTTTCATTAAGTATTTTCCGAGCCTCTTGAGTAGTCTTTGAGTTCAACCCATCAGATTGTCAATGCATATTACATTGAATGGAAGAAACACCCTTTGAACTGCGGAAGGGGACTGACTAAAGTGAGCTTCAGTCTAGCTGAGGAGGCTGTGGAGCATCAAATGATGACTTGGCATACTACGCAGGCTCGTTTCTCAAACCGACTGAGGAACGGTACATGGAACTGAGTGCTGCCGTATACATATACGAATGATTTGCTATAGCTTGAGCCAGCCAACAACGAGGCAGCCAACAATAAATATGAAAGAGGCTTCAGGGTTATTGATTGCAAGTGAGTCCTTCGGAATATTCGGAATATTGCACGAAAGTTCATCTGCATTCAATCGCTCCGTAATATATCGAAATGAAAAGAACACCATGAATTGATCTTGAACCTTGAAAGCATTAGGATTCCTCAAACGCGGGAGAAGGAAAAGACAAGACTAATATCTTCAAGAATACAAAAGCGGAAAGGTCCAAATAGTGATAAACAGTGGCATTAGTGATAAGCTAAGACCTAGACTGGTTTCACACTTTAAAATGCAAATGCTATATTGTTGTAGCATTTCCGGTGAGGCGATCCAGACTTACTTTAGGAACGGGATAATCTATGTTCTCTTTCGCGCTCAAAACAGAGATTTTCGATGCTATGCAAAAATTTCTTGGAAGCGATCTCGGTATGCACTTGATGGCCGCCGATGTGTATATCTCTTGCAGCTTCTTATACATATGTAATATGATCCTGTGTATCGCGGTAGATAGGTTACAATTCGCAGGTTGGTTTTCATCCGCTATGAGTATCTGACCCTTTAATCTGGATAATTAATCTAGGTCAATGTGAGGCGTATACTAATAGGTTCTTAAGCGCATCTCTGAAGACATACTTTGGATTCCTGCTAACATTAGTAAGAAAGTCTTATAACTTTTAATTACATTATTCTTTACTATTTCCACAGGCGTTGTGACCTCTGGCCACATTGAAGTGTACTGCTAAACCTCGCCTTTAGGATCAGTGCTTTGCTAGTTACTTGGAATTGTTATGTACCTGCTATAAAAATATAATGAAGAAGCTGCATTCAATCCAATGCTGCCCTCTGTTTCCCATAAACTTAGTGTTTGTTTTCATTACAAGCAATGCAGGCGTGCTTGGCTACCATCGCCAAATTAGAGATTTTAATACTAGTATCATTATCTAGTTTGCAACTTTGGCTGTTACTACCTATTTAAAATAGCTTTTCACTTGCCCCAGCGTTCTTCCAAGCCTTAGCCATTAGTACTCTTGCCCTTTCAGTCCCTAAGCTATCCAAAAACTCTACAATCCGACAGATCTTTCCCTCTCCATCCACATCCAAAAGAAACATATACTCTCCAACATAATCCCACTCCTTCCCATCGTCGCCTTCTTTCAAACCTTTCACTTCCTCCCTGAAATTTAAAACAGCGCTGGCCCAGATAATAACTTGGCGTTTTGGAAAGTTGACATGGATCTCCTTTGCTGTAACTGGAAAGCCAGTTGCGATTGTATGAAGCTTGATTAAGTGGGCAGCGAAGTCTTCGTTCGTCATAGGCTGCGGTGGGTTTATAGATGATGGAGCGAAGATGTGAGTGCATCTGGCGGCACGGAGGGAGGTGTGAGTATTGGCTTCAAGGTTTGCGAAAGCGTTGATGAATGCTATAGCAGTGTCATAAAGTGCTTCTTCAGTTGCCATGGTTGCTAAGTAAGATCACAATAGTCAATCGAAGGAATGCTTGGATTTGACATTGGGTCGACAGCTACAGATGTAGAAACTTGTACTCTTTATACAGCAGGCTTACTATAGTTTGGTCGGATTATGGAGTTAGCCTTCTTAAACCCTAAACTCCTCTATCGGAGTTAGCGCATAAGATGTAAAGGAGCTGAGCTCACTAATACTTTGTCAAACAGTCAGTAGATTAAGAAGTTGTAGTGTATAGTAGCTTACTACAGGTAGCATGTCCACAACCGGCAGTGAAATAGTCTACTGTATCTGTTTCTTATAGCTTAGGTATGGCTGCGCTTACTGTCGGGCCACGAGACCAAGTAGTCAAGAAACGTACCTTCGAAACAACGCTCGCATCTTGCACCAACGGCATAGCAGCGCGCCAGTTGCTAGTTGCACCAGCTACCATTATTGCACCATCTTAAGAAACCAAGCTTAACGCAACTAATCTCAAGCTGCTCCTCCAGTTTAGTGGCATTTGTGACCGTCTAGTGCTTAACCTCTTGTGGCTGCCTGTCTAATAGCTTGGTTACAGCTTCAAATGGCCTGCAGTCTGTTGGAAGTTACCGTAAATTTTATTACAGCTTATTCTAACACTTGGGATTAAATGTCCAGAAAATTGTATAATGAAGGGAGGGTCTTTGCTGTCGTGTGCAAAAGAGGTAAACTATGGTTAATTTTAGAGTTGGCATAAGCTGTTGCAAAGGAGGCGTACGTCATCATGCACAAGCTCAGAAACAAGAAAAACACATTGAATAGGTAGCGACAAAAAAAGATCGCTCTAATAACACCTACGGAAGATATTCGGTCCAGGTTTAAAACTGATTCTTGGAGCTGAAGTGGTGTGTTGGTGAAACCAGGGTACTATAAGTAGTGCCAGTACTTATTTTCGCAAAAAAAGCAGCCACTTGACCTTTGCCAAGTAACCTGGTTAACATGTATACTACATACACCTTACTACCAGTAGCACAATATAGGCCAATCATTGTGTATGATTCAACACATGTATTTGTGATGAGCCCGGCCATGATTCTACGGATAGCCGCATTAGAATGTTTTCCTGCCCCGCCTCCCACATCTTGGAGGCTCGACTGTGCAACCGCGGGTTTAACTACTCTTTCGGGACAGCAGCTCTGGATAAACTGTCACATTTGTCCTTCTTGACTGCCCGACCCCCAACAACAAGATTAAAGTCACTGTTCTACGCAATTAATTTAGTGCCTACATAAGGACGCCAAGACACCTTATCAAATCTCAGCGTGTCTTGCTTCTGCAGACGAATCTATGTTATTGTCTGCGAAGAACTCAAACTAAGCCCGCTGCAATAGGACGTTGTAGTAGACCATCAAAAGTCGGGTATTATAGCAAAGGGATAGCGACAAGTACCAGAACGCCAAGCTACAAGATCAAAGCATTAAACACAATCAGCCAAACCATGGCGGAGGAGGAACGAATTCAAGAAAAACATAAGAAAAGTGTCGGCTTTTTACTATGGAAGTTTGAAATCCTTTGCTGGGCAGCGTCTGTTTTTTCGTTGGCGTGGTTGTGGCACTGCTACAATTTAAAGGGCGCCCGCTTCCTGAGCTGCGGCTGCATATCACGCCGAGTGCCATTATTGTGCTTCTCGCGACTTTCTGCCAGGCGCTCATGATGGCGTCGGTGAGCACAAGTATTGGTCAACTCAAGTGGGCAAGGGTGCTCCGTACGCGGCCTTTGTTTGAGATGATTGTGTTGGACGTACTTCTTCACTCTCTCTATAGCTTTAGTATTTACAAGAGCGCCTATGGTTGTTTCGGTTTTCAGAGGGTTGCTGGGTTTATGTTCGACATTGATCTTTTCGATGACTAGTTTGACGACCTCTTTATGAATCGATTCGTGGAGAAAGACGCGGGAAGTCGACGAGCATGACTGCCCACACTAAAACTAATTCATGCCTTTGACAATGCCATTAACCAGCTTTGGAATGTTAGAATCTGGATAGGCAACTAGAGCGTTTTTGCCGCCCAGTTCTAAGGTGGTGAGTTTGAGCGTATCAGCGGCGCTGCGAGAGATAGCTCGCCCCACAGGGACGCTGCTAATAAGAGTGACCTTTTTGATAATGGGATGACTTGACAGGACTTCGCCGCTCTCTCGGCCGCCCGCAAGTATATTGATAACACCAGGTGGGAAAAGGTCACTAACAATCTCCATCAGTCGGAAGGCGGATAGCGGTGCCTGCTCCGAGACTTTGATGATAACTGTGTTACCCATTACTAGTGGCGTCACTATCTTAATAGCCATGCCCAAGACGGGATGATTGTACGGGATGATGCGCGCTACCACGCCCAGGGGTTCTTGGATCGTGTAATGGAATATGTCGTCTGTTAAGCGGTTGGTCTCCCCCGTCACAGCCGGAGCCAGGCCGGCAAACAAGTCAAAGTTTATGGCGGAGTACTCGACCTCGGCCCGCATAATGGAAATGGGACTTCCTATGTTCCAAGCATCTAACGCAGCAAGTTCCTCGGCATGATCGCGCACGATCTGTGCTACCTTGCGCATGATTTTGCAGCGTTCCAGCGTTGAGACAGCGCGCCAGCTATTAAAGGCCTTGTCAGCAGCTTCCAAAGCGAGGACAGTGTCTTCTTTTCCGGCAAATGCGACTTTGGTGATTGCCCTGCCATTTATGGGGCTTATAATCTCTTGATAAAAGCTATCCATGGGCTTGTGGAACAAACGGTTTATGTACAGCCCCAGGTATTTGGGCAGATATTGCGGAGCACTGTTCTCATTGATATATGCTATAGTTTAGGTGATAGTGACTTAGAAAATTAGGATAATTCCAGTTAAGAGTATATAACAAAGCAGTTGTAACTTCCCAAGTTTCAGACACCGCGGCCAGTACACAGTAAGTATTTGTGCTAACCATGCCTCTGTCGGAAACAATTTAAAGAAATCGAACTTTACCGGCAGGACTAATCCAATGCAGGACCAATACAGTATCGATTCTCACGCGCCGAACTAGTTAGCACGGTTAATCTTAAAGCAAGTTCTAGGCTAAGAAAAGGCTTGAAGACAGCCACACTGACTACCTTAGATTCGTCCGTATCTTTACCTGGCTAGTAGGCTTGTGGTTATGGGCCGATGACTTGTTTGAGCATTTTGGAGCTTGAAGCTTCTCTACGGACGCAGCTAATTGAGTGCGAGGGATAGCCCGAGCCGATTCGGCTTCGGCATGTCGGTTTCGGTCACCTCGATATATTATCCTATTGGTCAAGGAGTCGATCTGCTTCTAACTTAACGAGCATGTTTCTGTTGTAACTAGATAATTTGACAGAATCTTGGAGAGTCTTAAGAAGGATGATGGTGAATGTATTTTGGTTGTTTAAAGTTGGATAATATTGATAGACATTGTTAATTTTTACATTGTTGAAGGACATAACTCCCATTCTTCACTGTTCCTTATTCCGGCGCCTTGGCAGTTGAACACAATAGAAATGGATTCTGCTCCTGCAGAGGCACTTGAAATTAGTTGGCATTGGGCCTTGGCGTATTTGATTGGGCCGGGATTGCTCCTTATAGGAATTGTAAGTGTTTGGTGGAGAAACGCTTTTCTCCATCGGGGACCTCTTAGTTGTTGATAGCTAGCAAGCTGACCCGATGGCAGTATAGGTATCTAGCGCAAGGCGGATAGAACTTTATTTAGCTCAGTCCTTTAGCATCCATCCCCAACAATAAAACGCCATGTTACATCCTGCCATCCCGGCCGTTTCCTAACCCTTGCTAGCATACCCTGTTGGTCCTCTTGCAGAGGCTTCGCAACTGCCTCGGAAAGATTGTTGTTCAGTCGAGGCACAGAAAGTCTGTCGCCCTCCGGCGTCTCAATGTCGAATCCCAGCACGAGAGCGGCCACGGTACCTAGGATCTCTGCGTAGGCGAAGTGACGCCCGGGGCACAGGTGCTTCCCGCCGCCGAAGGGGTTGGCTGCCCGTCTTTTCAACCTCTCCTGCTCACGAGACAGGTTCATGAATCGGCGCGGCTCAAATAGGTGTGAGTCTTTGCCCCACGTCTCCTCGGCAAAGTTAAGGGTCATAGAAGGCATGAGAACAGAGACATCCTTCCTGAGCAGGTATTTCCGGGGCTCCCCGCCGTCCTTGGGAGTGTAGTTGAGCATTACGTCGTTCAGGATAGTTCGAGTGTTCATCTGCCGGTTCGTAAGTCGCATGACCTCTCGGTAGACTGAGTTCAGTAGAGGGCAGGCAGTTGAGAAGGTGCTGACATCGAGAGTGAACTCGCGGGTCTTCCCATCCTCGCCCCTCGCTTCACTGACGACTTTCGACAGCTCCTCTTGCAAGTCTGCTACCAAGCGCGGATCCCGGAATATGTAGACGACCATCCAGAACATGGTAGGGATTGCATTGGTGACCGCAACGAAGAGTAGGCCCACTTCATGGTCAGCAACGTCATCAATGGGCAAGCCCCATCTCCGGTTCGTCGTTGCCCTTTGCTTAACCACCATCGAGACATCCGAATTCTCGTCGGATCCGTTCCTGAAGTACTTCCGAAGAGACTCCTGGAGCCGGCGCCGTGCCATGTATCCCTTCCTTACGAGAATCGAGGGGAACGGGGTCAAGAGCAGTTGTTGTTGAGCCGTCTCGTACTCCCTAAGCATTCACTTTAGTCCTGTTCGAGAATCTTTGGAAATTTTATTACCATAGGTCATCATGCAATGATGGGTTGTTAATTAGTGGGTTATCGAGCCCAAAGAGCGCTTTTGTTGTGGCTATGGTAAAAGTCTCTCTTAGCCAAAGATAGAGCGTTTTGGTCTCGAAACTGGCATCCACCTGATTGAGTACACCGAATAGGCTCTCCAACACGCATACGTTCATCTTATAGAGTGCCGGACCTGGTGCCAACAAATCGTAGGGTTTGTGCTGGTCCTGCAACCAGGTAACAGAACCGTCGGTCGGAACATGTCGCATTACGTGGGCGAGATTCGGGCCAAAGCCGACCATTTTCTCCGCAAAGGCGATCTGGAGGGGATCCATGCTGAAGGCCTTATTTCGGTGGACAGCCTGTAGAAGTTGGGGCGAGGAAACGATGTACATCTTGCTGGCTCCCAGCGGGAGGGTGTAGATGGGCAAATCTGGGCGGGTCAAGCTGAAACATCCATTAGAGAGATAATACGGGAACGAGAATTCATGGTAGCTCACCCCAGGTTTCCGATATACTCGATTTTCCCGAACACCAGTCCGATTACATGGCCAATGAACGGAATCCGTGGTTTTAGGAGAGGAGGCTCATGAGGGTGCAAAGGAAGGGCTAGCTTGGATAAGAGGAAAAAGCACAGCGCCACCACGCCGACAACAGCAGCTATAGCATATTTACTAGCCAGAAAGTGATCCATTCTATTCAGCAAACTATCCTTCTCTAAAATCGATTGCGTCGCCAGCATGAAGGGGTAGCAGTCGATGGGCCGCCGGAGCAGGATAGGGATTATTAATAATCCCCTACATTTGGGCGGCCCGAGTAAGCCACTCAGCTTTGCGAAACTCAGTAACACCATCGCCTATTGTGGAGACTGATGGAAATTTACCTATTACAGCGTTATCAGAACCGAGATAGGCTAATCACCGGAACTCGCTAAAGACTAAGGCAGCGAAGGCCAATGATGCTTAGGGTTTGTTAGCGTTGGTTTGCTGGAGCTGCCTAGCTTGGAGGTTTCGGAGTGTGGCTGGGCTTGGAAGGTGAAGGTATGCGTATCCTAGGGCTGTTGACGACAATCCACGATGGTACGCTCTATTATCAACGCAACAAGGGACTTGCCTCCTCAGATGCCGAATCGCAGTTCCATGAACCAAGACTGCTTCCTCAAATTCAAAGAATAGCGGGCGGTACGTTTGAGTATGGTGATGGAAACGGCCGTGTTAATTACGTTTTGCGAGACAACACAGGTAGTCTTGAAGGCTACTTTAAACGACTGGATACGGACACATGGACCAGCTTCCCCACTTTTGCCGAGACTTTTGGCGGGTATATCTAGCGGGACACTCAAGGTATCGACTTAACTAGCGATGGTCAAGCCCATACTCTGACTGTTGTGGGCGACTCACAAGCGCTGGCGTGGCAACAAAACCTGTGCAAGAAGGGCGTCACCGGATTTAAGCGCATCTATGAGGCACACTCTAAACGTCGTCCAAACTTGACACAAACGCCTGACTTTCAGTCTTATGTTGCCAAGATTACAGGCAGTGGACTGTCAGACCTAGTCCAGATCTCAGCGACATCCGTAGGTACTGGATGAGTTTGGGATACGGCAAGTTTAGCGCTATTGTTGCGATGGGCAAATCCCTAACACTTTCGATAAGGGATGATTTTAATCAGGCTCGAGTTTGACTCATACGTGTAGATAGCAGCGGCACGACCGACCTTCTTTACATTCTTTCCGCTAGCGGAGCAAATCTCTACTGCAACTTTGATGGCCACTCGTGTAGTGTTACGATCTTTATCACACAACTCCCTATAACAGCCCCACCATCCTCCGTCTTTACTCTCAATGTCCTCGGAAAGGGACTGGATGCCTTTGCTAGGCCGATACCTTGAGTGACAATAAGTTCAAATATCTTGATCTCATGAGGAGTAAGAAGCCATACCTTTTGCGGTCTTACAGCAATGGCTTGGGCGCAACCAAATCTGTAACATACGCTCTATCCACATAATTATATGTTGAAGATGAGATTAGGGGGCCACTATGGTCGATAAACTTCCCGTTTCCAGTGCAGTGTACATCTAAGGTAGAAGCCAAGGACGCTATAACAGGGAATCAAGAGTTACTGAGTATAGTTATCACAATGGTCGCTTTCATGAAGTCAAGAAACAGTTCGTTGGATTCGAGATGGTCTAAAAATTTCATCATGAGAAGCTCTATCGGAGAGAACGAAGTCTATGAGCCTCCAGTTATGTACACTGAATCTTGGTTCAGAGTTGGACTGAGCCATGAAATTCGTGAGACTCTTTTTTTTGAGCAAAGCGTATGTATCATTCAGATTGCAGGGCCCTGGCAGCGACCCTGCAGAATGCTTGCAGGCTCTGAAGGGAGTCAGCCTGCGGTCTGAGACTTACAGCCAGGACGGAACAGATAAGGCTGGTCTGCCTTTTATGATCTCGCAGCTGTCATACGATGTTGAACTGGTCCAGCCACGAGGGTCCAACAAGCATTCTGTGGCCCAGATGAACACACGAGAGAAACTTTCCATCGAGAATGAAAGAAACATGCAAGACCCACGAACCACGCATGGAATCATTCTTAAAACCAATTCATACGACGACGTGGAAGAGAGCCTGCAAATTGTTTGTCCTCGTACCGAGCAGGCTGCATTCGATGACGTAAACAATAACCAAAAGGCTGGAAATATAACACTCACTCACTCAGAATTAGTACGCCCGCGAAGTCACAGAACAATACAACTTTCGCAAACCGCTGGCGTGGAAGCAGCAAGAGCATGAGATCCTCAGCTTATCGTTCGCTGGGATTCTGAGCGTTGACGCAGCTCGCGAATACGACTTTGACGGGCTACCCAAGAGGAAGTGTGCGACGACATGGAAGGCTATATGCAGTGAAAACAGAGCCTTTTACGAAGACTCTTTTCTCCTGAACAGGCTCGCCGAGGCATTTTTGATTTTGGATCACACATATGCTCTTGCCTTCACACCCAAGATTTTGGACAAAATCGAACTGGGTCTACGCAGTTATAAAGTTTCAGGTTCAGTTGATGTTTTGAAGACAGGCAAGTATGTCAAGTTGAAAGACAGAGATGGGTGGTGGTGTTGCGATGTCAGTCGCTGTGGGTGATTCTCCGCCAACGTCGTTTCCCGAACCGTGACCACGTCTTCCAGCAGCTTGACCGCCTCTTTTACCTGACCATGGCTAAGATGCGTTAGAGCCCTTTTTTAATTGAATTTGGAGCTGGAATAATGATATATAATTCTTAAGTAGGCGCTTGGCTTTTTTTTTTTTTTTTTTTTTTTTTTTTTATTTATTCAAAAGGGAAGCGAGAAATAGTTGATAATATGCTGTTTGGCATATCTTAGTATAAAGATTAAACTCTCTAGAGTTGAGGAATAACCCTAATGTTTCGCCTTGGAAAGTGAAGATGAAGTTCATCGCCTTTAGGGGTAAAAGAGCTGATAATAACTTCCTGGGAAGATAGCCCAAGTAATTTACCACTGTTGAAATGCTTAATAGCCGAAGAAATATTATTGGTACGCCATACTTTTACTGGTTGCCTAATGGAAAGCTCGGTACTGTCTGCTGTTAAGTTACTGCTGTGCTCCAGAAATCCGGCTTGTTGAATGATCTGAGCAGCCTCTTTCCCGCTTAGTGTAGGAGTTGCGGCTCCATGCGTTCCTTGAGTAGCATCCTGATATCTTGCTAAGTATAACATAACATGTGGGAATTGATCTGAGTTGAAGATAGCTTCCGGTAGCGAGCCAGGCACGTTTGCAATATAAGTAGGAATAAAGGCAGCTGTAGAAAATATCTCATTGGTGCCCGTCCTTATTGAAGTTTTGTGGGTACTTACTGTGAATATCGCCTAAACTGATTGAATTTGTCCCTAAGATCCACTTACGGCTATCGCTTAGGAGATTTTTGAGTAGCATGTAGTTGTTCCTTATTTGTGCGAGACTATCTGGGCGGCGTTGAGCGCGGGCTTCTGTGCTAAAGTCTAGACCCTAAAGTTCTAGATGATCTTGGATAAGTCTTTTACTGAATAGGGGAAGATCCACTGGAAATGTCGCAATAGCATCTGGTAAAATAGAGTTTTCGGCCTAGTCTTAGAGAAGACTCTGAATAGCCTGCTGCGCTAGATCAACAGCCCCGAGAGGGGTACTAGGAAACAAATCCTTAATTTTATTAATAATAAGTCGCGAGTCGAAAAATAAATCCCTGCTAATGGCTAAAAAGGGAATCCGCCGATAGCGTATGCCGAGAAGCTTAACATTAGGTCGTGGCCACATTATAGGTTGATGACACTCGCTGAAAGAGATGTCTCTTAGTTTTAGATATGTAGTGACCTTTCCGCCCCAGGGAGATCCGGGAAAGGTGTAAAGGATAATGCGGGGCATGTCGGTTGCCATGTTTTAGGGCTGGTTTGAATGAGTGTATATACAATAACAGATAAGTAGTGCCAATGTTTTTCAATTTATAGCTGGTAATGTATATTAAATGCGGGTTCTTCGTTGCGCCCGAATGCCTCGGAGCCGGCCTTAAACATTGCTCCGTGCCCAATAAATTTATGAAACTAGTTTGTAAATTCGATCTATAGTGTATACTTGCATTCAGGTCACACGGCCCAGAGCAAGCCGCCCCATCTATCACTTCTGCCCTTCGATGCGACCATACACTAACTCTTTAGTACAGTTAACAACTTCGGCCTTCTCTACTGTAGCCAGGGCAAGCTTAAAGAGGCAGAGGAGATGTATGGAGGAAGATTCCTTGCTGTAGTCTTGGGTTATATGGCGCTTACGGTGTTAATAGTATTGTGTAATTGCAATTGAGCTAGGGAAATTAGTGGCTTTTATATATTGTTGAAAGAGAAAATGAAGTATTTTGAGATAATAAGATTAGCTATTAACTAGATTCTTTAATTACTGTATATACTATCTCTTTTTAAAATTATCCAGTAGTTTTAAAGAGTTGTCTAGGATACCTTTTCTTTTTATTAGGCAGCTAGAATAAAATGGCCAACAGCAACTGGATTATACTATCTCTGGTGTCCTATTATTTAGTGGCTCTTTTTATATTAATTGCTAGTAAAGTAGAATTTTAGTGGCAAGGTATCACGACCCAACTCTTATGGTCGCACCAACAGGCCTACAGGGTAGACGGGGCCGGATTAACTTAGGACCGGCTAACTAATTAAAAAAGAATTAAGGAAACTTCTCTTAATCCCTTATTGGATTAATAAAATAAATATTAATCTATCCATAGATTAACTTATAATTTATTAATTTAGTCTAGGCAACTGGATATATAAGTTCACTTCACTACGCTTATTTAAATAACTTAAATAGCTAGTTATTAACACAAAATTAAAATTATAACACACTTTACACTACTTACTATTTAGTAATATTTATTATTATTATTTATATTACCTAAAGATCTCCTAATTACTCCGCTAATATAAACCTAGAATTAAACTTTAGGTTTATCCCTTAGGAAGCCCTTATATTACTAACTATTTAGTATATAGTTTATTATATATTAATAACTCTTATTTAAATAGTTATTAAACCTATAGGCAATATTAATAAAATAAGTCACATAAACTTTTAAAACCTAGTTAATAAAATAAATTACTTTAATAAGGAAGAATAAGCACCCTAGTTTAATAATTTAAACTATTTAGTTAATTAACTTATAGCCCTAGAAGCAATAGTCTAAGGAATAGTAACTTAGCGCACTAAAGACTAATAAACTATTACTAACCTTTAAAGAGAAATTATATAACTCTAAACTTAATAAAATAATCCATTAATTATATAATTACTTATAATACTAGGAGTATTACCTATAGTAGCTCTAATATTACACTTAGGAGGTAACCTAAAACTTAAACTTAAGAAGACCCTAAGGGTAAAATAACTTAATAAGTTTAATGGAGATACCGCTAAACTTTATAAATTTTAATATAATTTATATATATACTTTAAATACTATTACTTAATTACTTTCTTAGTAAATAAAATTAAATAAAGAATTTATTTTATAGGAACTTAAATAAAAGATACTGCTGTAAATTAGTTTACCTTAATCCTTAAGGATAAATAAAAACCTTATAATTAGCGAATATAACTTATTAAAAATATATTCACTAACTATAAGGAGTTTAAAAAATAATTAAAAAAATCCTTTAGAATTACTAATAAAGCCTAAGAAGCTAAAAAAAAGCTTAAGGACCTTAAGTAAAAGGGCCTATATTATAAACATACTTTAACCTTTATTTAATTACTTACTAAAGTTAATTAAACTAAGGAATTAAAAAAGGAAATATATTATTATAGCCTAAAGCTAAAAGTTAAAGATAAAATCTATAAAATAGATTAATAGGCTATTAGCTTTACTAATCTTATATAAGAAGTAATTAAAATTAATAACTACTAGTAAAAAAGAAAGTAAAAAAGGAAGGTAAAGAAGACTAGGAACCCAGTTAAATATTACCCTTAGCCTAACTAAGGAAAGAAATAAAATAACTATATTATAAAAGATAATAGTACTTAACCTAGAAAAATAAATATTAATAATATTAATAAAAGGAAGTTTAAAGGCACCTATAACTCTTATAGTAAATTAGGCTATAAGAAAGCAGACTGCTGTTTTAAGATAACTTACGGATTCTATAGTAAAAAGGGCTATAATAAAGCTTACTGCTATACTAAGAAAAATATAAAGAAATCTAAGACCACTAAAGATAAGGCTTAAATAAATACTATTATAGAAGTACCTTATAATTACCTTAGCTAAATAGCTTATTATAATAATTTATATCTTATATATAAAAGTAATAAGGAAGGGTTTAAATATTACTTAAAGAAGCTATAAGCTAGAAAGTCTTATAAAACTATATAAATTAATACCCTTAATTTTTATAAAAAGAAATATAAGAACTATAGCTCTATAGAACCTTATTCTATTTACACACTTTATAAATACTTATCTTATAGCTTATAAAACATTAATTACATATATGAAAATAATAAATTAAAGGAATAGGAACTCTTAAATAATAAAGTTAGTAAAAATAAAATTATCTATAATAAAAGTAAAAGAATTTATAAATGTAATTTCTATATAATTAATAGGAAATACTAATAGTAAATTAATACCCTTTTAAATATATACCCTTTTATAAAATATAAGAAAGCCTTAGACCTAGAATTAGTTACTTTTAAAGATATATATAATAGTAATAATTTTAATAATAATAAATGTTATTAGTATAGCGCTTTAGAGCCTTAATATAATATAATATACTTAAAATATATAGGAGAATATAAATGCTTACTATATATATTAAAAAAAGAAAATTATAAATATATAGGATATATATATTATAAAAGTATAAAAATATTATATTTATATAATAAAGAAATGCGTAAATAAAGGAAATATTAATGTAAAGTCTATAAATTAATAAACCTTAACTATAACTATAATAAATACTATACCTATAGATTCTATAACCTTAAATATAATTATATATATATTTTAAGGGAATAAGTAAAAAAATAAGAAAGATAAGAGGAAAGATAATAATACTTTAATAAAAACCTACCTTATAAGATAACCCTAGAAGAGGCTTAGGAATAAATTAAATTTATTAAAATTAATATTAAAGGAGTATATAATTAAGTCCTTATTTAAGACCTCCTTAATACTTTAAATAAAAACTATAAAATATATAATTAAAAATAGTATAATAATATCTATTGCTAGATATATATTTTTAATAAATTAAAAAACTAGCATAAATATTAACTAAAGTAAGTTAAGTATAAAGAATATATAATAGGCTATTTTTTAAATTATATAGTAATATATTATAGTATATATAAAAAAAAGAAAAGTTAATTTTATTAAATTACTTAAAAACTAATATAAAAAGGTTATAATTTTAAGAATTATTTAAACTAAAAATAAGGTAATAAAACCTTAATTAAGAGATACTACTATTT